AAGACCTACTGAGGTCTAAAAAAGTAAAACTTTTCAGGGTCAAAGGTCAAGATCATGGAATTAGGTCACAAACTGTGCTATCTAAGTTTCGCAAAGTTCGAGACTACAAACCAATATTTTTAATCCGAAGTCGAAATATACACATTCCTCTAAGGGTTCTACACATATTAGCAATTGACTATCTAATGGAATTTTGTCCCACTTTGAGATATAAGAGTTCAAAAGCTGAAAAAAGGTCAATTTTGAAATTTTTCAAGGTCAAATTTAAACTCGCTTCAAATTGACAAATTTTTTTTTTGAAAATCATCTACAAGTTCTCAGGAGTTCACATCTGACCTCAGATTTGATATTTGTCCTTTAGTTGACCTTCAAATTGTCAAAAATGCCTAAGAGGGCCTCCGTGAGATTGCTTGCAATCTTCCAAAGTCTAGTTTATTTATTATTCTATCAAAGCAGTTTTCTCCTACTTTCAACTAGCTTTCAACTTTCTACTTTATGCTCCTACTAGATACCTGGTTTGATCTTGATGGGAAAATATTTCATATCTAGGTCAAGGTCAAAGGTCAAAATCTAGGTCAAATCTAAGTTTTTTTTCAAGTTTCTCAAGTTTGTCCTTATACTTCATTATTTCTTGCGATGAATTAAACTGAAACTACATTTAAGTATTCTCTACAAATCGTTCACTATATGTCAGCATTAAATTTTTACCGTTTTTGAGATATTTGACGTCAAAAAAGGTCATTTTTCAACTTGCTTCAATCTGACCAAATTTTTTTTAAAAATCATCTACAAGTTCACAGGAGTCCAAATCTGACCTCAGATTTGACCTTTGACCTTTACTCGACCTTCAGTGACCTTCGAAATGTCAGAAAAGTTGATTTTTCAAATTGAGTCCTTGGATTCAAATTTAGGTCAGTCTAATTACAAAAAGCCTACTTAGGTCTAAAAAAGTAAAAATTTCAAGGTCAAAGGTCAAGGTCATCAAATTATGTCACAAACTCTGCTATCTAAGTTTCTCATAGTCCAAGACTACAAATCCATATTTTTAATTGAAATTCAAGATATACATTTCTCTAAGGGTTCTACATGTATTAATCATTGACTATTTATTAAAATTTTGTCCCAGTTTTGAGATATAAGAGCTCAAAAACTGTAAAAGGTCAATCTTTCAAAGTTTATAAGGTCAAATTTTAACTTGCTTCAAATTCACCCAACTTTTTTTTAAAAATCATCTACAACTTCTCAGGAGTTCATATTTACTCAGATTTGACATTTGACCTTTACTTGACCTTCAGTGACCTTCGGAAGGTCAGAAAAGTTGATTTTTCAAATTGAGTTTTTGGGTTTAAATTTAGGATAAGCCTAATCATAAAAGACCCACTGAGCTCTAAAACAGTAAAATTTTCAAGGTCAAGGGTCACGGTTATCAAATTAGGTCAAAGGTCAGAATCTAGGTCAAATCTGTATTTTTTTCAAGTTTCTCAACTTTGTCCTTATACTTCATTATTTCTTGCGATGAATTAAACTGAAACTCAGTTTAAGTATTTTCTACAAATTGTTCACTAGATGTCAGCATTAAATTTTTACCGTTTTTTAGATATTTGACGTCGAAAAAAGGTAAAAAAAGGTCATTTTTCAACTTGCTTCAATCTGACCAATTTGTTTTTTAAAAATCATCTACAAGTTCTCAGGAGTTCAAATCTGACCTCAGATTTGATATTTGTCCTTTAGTTGACCTTCAAATTGTCAAAAATGCCTAAGAGGGCCTCCGTGAGATTGCTTGCAATCTTAAAAAGTCTAGTTCTTATTATTCTATCAAAGCAGTTTTCTCCTACTTTCAACTAGCTTTTAACTTTCTACTATATGCTCCTACTAGATACCTGGTTTGATCTTGATGGGAAAATATTTCATATCTAGGTCAAGGTCAAAGGTCAAAATCTAGGTCAAATCTAAGCTTTTTTCAAGTTTCTCAAGTTTGTCATTATACTTCATTATTTCTTGCGATGAATTAAACTGAAACTACATTAAAGTATTCTCTACAAATTGTTCACTATATGTCAGCATTAAATTTTTACCGTTTTTGAGATATTTGACGTCAAAAAACGGTCAAAAGAGGTCATTTTTCAACTTGCTTCAATCGGACCAAATTTTTTTTAAAAATCATCTACAAGTTCCCAGGAGTCCAAATCTGACTTCAGATTTGACCTTTGACCTTTAGTTGACCTTCAGTGGCCTTCGAAAGGTCAGAAAAGTTGATTCTTCAAATTGAGTCTTTGGATTCAAATTTAGGTCAGTCTAATTACAAAAAGCCTACTGAGGTCTAAAAAAGTAAGAATTTCAAGGTCAAAGGTCAAGGTCATCAAATTAGATCACAAACTGTGCTATCTAAGTTTCTCATGGTTCAAGACTACAAATCAATATTTTTTATTGAAATTTTGTCCCAGTTTTGAGATATAAGAGCTCAAAAACTGGTCAAATTTTAACTTCCTTCAAATTCACCAAACTTTTTTTTAAAAATCATCTACAACTTCTCAGGAGTTCATATTTAACCTCGGATTTGATTTTTCAAATTGAGTGTTTGGATTCATATTTCAGTATTTAGGGTTAGCCTAATCATAAAAGACCTACTGAGCTCTAAAACAGTAAAATTTTCAAGGTCAAGGGTCACGGTTATCAAATTAGGTCAAAGGTCAAAATCTAGGTCAAATCTAAATTTTTTTCAAGTTTCTCAACTTTGTCCTTATACTTCATTATTTCTTGCAATGAATTAAACTGAAACTACATTTTAGTATTCTCTACAAATTGTTCACTATATGTCAGCATTAAATTTTTACCGTTTTTGAGATATTTGACGTAAAAAAAACGGTCAAAAAAGGTCATTTTTCAACCTGCTTCAATCTGACCAAATTTTTTTTAGAACTCATCTACAAGTTCCCAGGAGTCCAAATCTGACCTCAGATTTGACCTTTGAACTTTAATTGACCTTCAATGACCTTCAGAAAGGTAAAAAAAGTTGATTTTTCAAATTGAGTCTTTGGATTCAAATTTAGGTCAGCTTAATTACAAAAGTCCTACTGAGGTCTAAAAAAGTAAAACTTTTTAAAGTCAAAGGTCAAGATCATGAAATTAGGTCACAAACTGTGCTATCTAAGTTTCGCAAAGTTAGCGGAGTTGAAATATACACATTCCTCTAAGGGTTGTACACATATAAGCAATTGACTATCTAATAGAATTTTGTCCCAGTTTGAGATATAAGAGTTCAAAAGTTGAAAAAAGGTCAATTTCAAAAATTTTCAAGGTCAAATTTAAACTCGCTTCAAATTGACAAATTTTTTTTTGAAAATCATCTACAAGTTCTCAGGAGTTCACATCTGACCTCAGATTTGATATTTGTCCTTTAGTTGACCTTCAAATTGTCAAAAATGCCTAAGAAGGCCTCCGTGAGATTGCTTGCAATCTTCAAAAGTCTAGTTCTTTATTTATTTATTTATTTATTTATTCTTCCTAAACCTTTTTCTCCTACTTCCAACTACCTTTCAACTATCTACTATATGCACCTACTAGGGACCTTGGCTAAACTTGGCGGGAAAGGAATTTTTATCTAGGTCAAGGTCTAAGGTCAAAATCTAGGTCAAATCTAAGTTTTTTTCAAGTTTCTCAAATCCTGACCTACACTTCAATATTTTTGGCTGAATTTTTGCATACAGATAGATATTAGTATTCTATTAGTCTTAGCCTTTTGCCGTCTAGAGAAATTTTGCCTAAATTTTGAGATATTGAAGGTCAAAAAAGTTCAAAAAAGGTATTTTTTCAACTTGCTTCAAATTGACCAATTTTTTTTTTAAAACTCATCTACAAGTTCTCAGGATTCTAAATCTGACCTTACTTTTGACCTTTGACCTTTCGTTGACCTTTGACCTTTCGTTGACCTTCCGTGTCCTCCGAAAGGTCAAAAAAGTTGATTTTTCAAATCGATTTTCTGGATTCAAATTTAGGTATATTTATTCACAAAAGACCTACTGAGGTCTAAAAAAGTAAAATTTGCAAGGTCAAAGGTCAAGGTCATCAAACGAAATCACAAACTGTGTTTTCTAAGTGTCTGAAAGTCAGAATATATATTCCTCTAAAGGTTCTACACATATTAGCGATTGACTGTTTATTAAAATTTTGCTCCAGTTTTGAGATATTAGAACTCAAAAACTGAAAAAAGGTCAAATTTTGAAATTTTTTAAGGTCAAATTTGAACTTGCTCTAAATTGACCAAACTTTTTTTTAAAAAGCATCTACAAGATCTCAGGAACTCAAATCTGACCTTAGTTTTGACCTATGACCTTTAGTTGACCTTCAGTGACCTTCGAAAGGTCAAAAAATTGATTTTTTCAAATTGATTTTCTGGATTCAAATTTAGATTTATTCAATCAATAATGATATACTGAGGTCTAAAAAAGTAAAATTTTCAAGGTCAAAGGTCAAGGTCATCAAACAAGATCACAAACTGTGTTTTCTAAGTTTCTCAAAGTTTGTGACTACAAATCAATATTTTGAATTAAAGTCAGGATATATATTCCTCTAAAGGTTTTACACATATTAACAATTGATTGTATTTAAGATTTGACCTTTGGCTGACCTTTAACTGACCTTTAAATGTTCAAAAAAGCCTACGGGGCCTCCGTAAGATTGCTTGCAATCTTAAACATCTAGTTTTTCATGATAACAACCCAACTTCAGGATTCACTAGGATAAACTTAGAATAACCCTGATATTGATCATTTTTTGCCATTTTGTGCGTAGGAAGGGTGTCTACTAGAGACTGGTGTTAACTAGAAAGATGTGTTCACTAAGACAGGTTTTACAAAAATAATATGTTAAAATGTGTTGTCCCCTATGAGAAATTGTCTGTGCCATCGCCAATCAGATTCAGACATGAAATTCAAACAAATCCTCAATAGCAAATAAATCTGGTAATCCCTCATGCCAAATATAACTTGTTTTCAACGCAGGTGCAGCAGGAGATCATCCAAGACTTGGGGAAGGTGAAGGGAGAGAGAGAAAAGTCCCTTGCGACATACAAAGTAATCCTAAATCAACATTTGGACCAGATTAAGAAAGCAAGCATGCAAGCTGAGCGTCTGCTTGAATTAGGTGAGAGAATCAGTGAGTTTTATTTGCTCACAAACAAAGCTGGGGAGATCTCTGGACTTATTGATAACAGTGTTGTCATTGGTTTAGCATATAATTATAGTGTCCACTCCAAGCCATGTACATGTACCTTTCTTGTTTCATAAGACACAATACAATGAGAATTTTTTCCAGTCGGACAATTGCTTTTTATTAAATGATGTATGCTGAATATGTCTTCATGTTAAAATTATAATTCTTTCAACTATTTTCCTTCATCTTGTTGGTTGTCAGAAATTTTAAAAAGATTCTTGAGTGTACAATGTTCTAAACAAAATATCTTCACAACTGTGTCAAATGAATTTTAAAAAAATCACTTTTCGCAATTTTCTGAATGCAAATAGTTTTTCAGCTTTGTCCTTGGTGCAAGCCTATTTTCAAAATCTCAAGTTGATGCATCCTCAGATCATAGGGCTTCAAAATCCAGAATATATTCTTTCTTTTACCCCCTGTGATAAGCAGTAAGCATTTCCCTGATCTAGAACTCGCAATCTGATTGGCTATCGCAACAATCCGACAGCAATCATGTATACCTCATTGGTGCATAATTAGATCACGTGACTCGGTTTAATCGGGCACTTCCAAATTGGTTATAGCAGGGGGTAAGAAGGAGGTACGGATTCTGGATACCTGCTTAGGAGGATGTAGTTGATGCAGCCACACTTTTTTCTATGCCAGGAAATCACTGGTGTTTATGTTTTTCCTTTAATAGGCCATGAAGACCAGCTACAGGAAGATTGCCAATTGATAAGTCTCAAGCTGGGAGAGTTGATGAAGATGCCTAAAGTACCTGCATTTGATGCTTTAACAGTATTGGACTTTGTTCCGTCCCCACAACTAACAGACTTGATACATAAGGAGATGGTGGGATACATTAAGCCATGTTTGGTATCGGATGTGACGTCTTCTATAGATCCAACTATAGTATACAAGGCTTATATAGGTAAGTGTTCTAATACAGGGTAACCCAAAAATACTTAAACTGTATTGGACTTTGTTCCAATTCCCAACTAACAGACTTGATACACAAGGAGATGGTTGGATACATGAATCAATGTTTGGTGAAAGTATCAGATGTGACATGAAAAGGATGGTCAAATTACTAGCAGAAGAAACCAACCTGATAGGCTGTGTATACTGGGTAAATTCTTTACAAACAATGTTGAAAATAATCATAGAAAGAATAAATGGATATAGCAAACTGAACATGTATTTAAAATAATTCACACATAGCCAGGCAATTGGTATTCAATTCCAGCCAATCAGAACACGCTCTTTCATGTAACTGCATTCCCTTGTTCAACCAAAAATGCATATGTTGTATGGTTGTCAGGGTGAGGAGATTGAAATTGATGCTTTGTCAACTTGACACTTGCCTGTTAGTGATTTTTTTATCTTTTAGTTGAAATTTTGGAAAATATGTTGCAATGTGTGAAAAGAATTTAAGCCCAAGACTGCATTGTGGCTGCTTCTTTTCACTCAGGCGTTGTTTCCTAAACTTTGCATTCCCGCTGTGTGGTCATGCAAAAAATTTGAAACATCACCTTCAGTGGAATGATTCAGCATAGAATGCTCTTGAGTCATGGCCTTAGATCCTTAAGTAAATGTTTCATATCATTGCAGGTATTGATGAACTTATCGAAGTAACTGCTGCATCTGAGTATATACCAGACATCATAAAACACTTAAATGCTCGAGTCACTGATCAGGAAGGTGTCAAACTTAATACGCAAATTAGGGACATGAAGAATGGTAAATATATGGTACAGTTTGTCCCTCTGCGTGAAGGCAAACTAAACATAGATATTACGCTATATGGCCAGCATATTACACACAGTCCTTTCCCTGTAACCGTCAAAGAGGTAGAATCAGACACTGAGGATGTTGTTGAAGATGATGATGTGATTTTTCTTAAGGAGTCAACAAAGCCATGTTTGGTCAAAGTTTCCGATGTGACATGTTCTATTGATCCAACTATAGTCTACAAGGCTTATATAGGTAAGTGTTCTAATACAGGGTAACCAAAAAATACTTTAACTGTATTGGACTTTGTTCCGTCCCCACAACTAACAGACTTGATACACAAAGAGATGGTTGGATACATTAAGCCATGTTTGGTCAAAGTATCGGATGTGACATGTTCTATTGATCCAACTATAGTCTACAAGGCTTATATAGGTAAGTGTTCTAATACAGGGTAGCCCAAAAATACTTTAACTGTATTTGACTTTGTTCCAATTCCCATCTAACAGACTTGATACACAAGGAGAATGTTGGATACATGAATCAATGTTTGGTGAAAGTATCAGATGTGACATGAAAAGGATGGTCAAATTACTAGCAGAAGAAACCAACCTCATAGGCTGTGTATACTGTGTAAATTCTTAATAAACAATGTTGAAAATAATCATAAAAAGAATGAATGGATACAGCAAACTGAACATGTATTTAAAATAATTCACACATAGCCAGGCAATTGGTATTCAATTCCAGCCAATCAGAACACGCTCTTTCATGTAACTGAATTCCCTTGTTCAACCAAAAATGCATATGTTGTATGGTTGTCAGGGTGAGGAGATTGAAATTGATGCTTTGTCAACTTGACACTTGCCTGTTAGTGATTTTTTTATCTTTTAGTTGATATTTTGGAAAATATTTTGCAATGTGTGAAAAGAATTTAAGCCCAAGACTGCATTGTGGCTGCTTCTTTTCACTCAGGCGTTGTTTCCTAAACTTTGCATTCCCGCTGTGTGGTCATGCAAAAATTTTGAAACATCACCTTCAGTGGAATGATTCAGCATAGAATGCTCTTGAGTCATGGCCTTAGATCCTTAAGTAAATGTTTCATATCATTGCAGGTATTGATGAACTTATCGAAGTAACTGCTGCTTCTGAGTACGTACCAGAGGGGGAGAAACACCAGGGTTCAAAGATGACATACGCTTATAATGTAAATCTGTATTGAGATGACATCGCCGCTGATTGGTCAAAAGTCGACAAACAAATGACGTCATCAATGGCGGTTTCAAAATTTTCGAAATACGCTTCGAATAATATAATGTTCATTTCTGGCGTGTTAACCAATATCATACAGTGGAGACGATTAGGTCGTTTAACGTTTATTTCGACAATTGACGTCATTGTGTGTTAATTGCCAGGTATCGCGTTAATTGACGTACTTCAAATTCAAATTGATTTAGAAGTGATTTTCGTTGCATTTCATTTCAGAAAAATTCTTTTTGGTGATATTTATACATACAGATGAGCTTAAATTTTTAATTATTTAGCATACAGAAGAACATGGCTTCACTTCTTTCTGTTTCAACCAGGCTTTTAGAAGCAGAAACACTATAGTATAATCATTTGAACAACTGACGATCAAATATCAGGATGGCTTATTTTGCGGTAAACACACGCAAGAGAGGCATCTGGGACATGTTTATTACAATTTGGGCAAGATGTTTTTACTTTTATTCGAAGCATTGGATAGATATCTTCAACTTCCATGTTGGAATTGTGTTTTCTATGATGCAATATTTTTTTATAAAGCAATAATGAAGACGTTGTCGAAATATGGAGTCACGACTCCATGAAATAGTCGCAATGACTCTATAGCATAATGATCACAGTCTCATTGTTTCACCAATGAATTTCTATTATGGACAAATTGTGTTGGTATATTTTATTGAACAAAATTAGATTTCCATATTGATGATGAAATTAAATACAACATTTTGAATGTTTCATCCTAGAACGGGCCCGTATTGCCGATTTCTCCCGAGTGCATCTGACTAAAATAAAGTCCACTTCAGAATTTAACGAAATATCACAATTAGAAGAAAAAATATAAATACGTTCTTCATATTTATGATGATAAGGACGTCTTTTATCATGTCCTTGAACAATTTTAATGATTGTTTTTACATTTAATTTTTTTAATTTAATTTTTAATTAGTAATATTGCTGAATATACGTAACACTGCGAGTCGGATCCAATTCATAATTTATGATAATGATATACAGGTTAAAAGTCAGTAGGTCAGACGATTAGCCAATGAGGGCAGCTCAAGATTTATAAGTATAAACATTTAGAAGCTTCAGATGGGGTCTTCCGGGGGCCCAGTCCAGGGGTCTTATTCATGTTCTTATTTGCAGCAGAAATCTACTTCGATTTAACAATTAATCAATCTTTTAATCAGTATATCGCAAATATGTACTACTAGTTGAACATCGCATGTCATCTGTTAAAAATTGTCACCTCAATTCACGCGGGCTTTAATTTAGTAAAGGCTAAAAAGACAAACTATCAGGGGAGTGCAGATAGTAGGCTATCTAGCCGATATCGGTTTTTGAAAGAGGTCTGTGATAAGTCTGCCAGTTATGAATCGAAATACAAATAAATTATACAACTGTTTATGATTTATAATAGACGCTCTTTATCGATTCTCACAATTTCAAACATTGACAATTTCATCAAGAAGTACTAATGAGGTACAGCTGTAGGTACATTTCGGCCAGTTACCTTGGTAATGGGCGATAATAAAAATACGACCTAGCCCGTACGACAATCAACGTTCCCGCACGTTGATTATACGATTACACGTCAATTGACGCGATTGATTACACATGCGCAATTGAAAAACATAGAACGTCAATTAACGTAGTATCCGTCAATCAACTACAATGACGTTAATTGACGGGATAAACGTTAAATGACCTAATCGTCTCCACTGTCATAGCTTCTCATTTCACATCAAGATAAAGAAAGGTGTACGGAATATGCCTATATCAATTAAAACATCCCATCGAAGTGTAGTATTTGATAACTAGCCAATGAAAATTCGAACGAATGAAGGTGGTAAGCAAGAGAGGTAATTATGTCTGTCATCTTTAAACTCTGGGACTCCCTCCTCTTAGTACATACCAGACATCATAAAACACTTAAATGCTCGAGTCACTGATCAGGACAGTGTCAAACTCGAAACGCAAATTAGGGACATGAAGAATGGTAAATATATGGTACAGTTTGTCCCTCTGCGTGAAGGCAAACTAAACATAGATATTACGCTATATGGCCAGCATATTACACACAGTCCTTTCCCTGTAACCGTCAAAGAGGTAGAATCAGACACTGAGGATGTTGTTGAAGATGATGATGTGATTTTTCTTAAGGAGTCAACGAAGCAAGGGATGTTAGCAAAGGGGAATGAAACCAAGAGGAAGAAGAAGAAAGTCTCAATGAAGATTTTGGCGAATCTGAATAAGCTTGTTACCCAGAATGCATCTGAAAATGCCGAGCAAGATAGAGAATGTGCACGTAGTATGAAAGAGAATGTCCCTGTTATGCAGACGCAGGCAGAGTTTAGTACCAAGTCACTCGCTCAACTAGCAGGAAAAACATGTAGCGAGTTTAAATGCTACAAAGTGCAGGATCAGTTAAATGACAAAAGCAAAAACATCAAAATAGAACCTCCCTGGTCTGATAAAAAATCATGTGATATCAGAATCAAGGAAGAACAGATTGATGATGATTACGACAAAATGCATAGTCTTAAAAAGGAGTTGGGGCCCAAGAAATCTGAAATTGAGGCTGGAGGAGACAGACAAGTGGAGACATCTAGTGAAAATCTAAGACATCAGCAAGGTCAGTGAAAATCGAATAATATATATTTTTGATGATGCAAGTTTGAATATGGCAAAAATAATTTTATGTTGCTAATAGGCGTTAACTCCCTCATTAGGTTTTAATGTCAATGCAACATGTGGTGACATATTGTTAGTCTCAAACTTGAAATTTGTTTTTGTGGATGGTGTTTTGCATATGGCGGGTGGTGTTCGGAATTTGTAACAAATGGCATTTGTGATCTGTCTGATGATTGGAGAAATAATGGTCATTTGATCCTTTAAATTAATTCTAGTCATTAAATAACAAAATATTGCTTCTGGGACAAGATCAAATGACTTTTACATATTCTTTACCCTACCTGTTTTGTATTTTAACAATCAACACAAGTATACATACCATATTCACGGTGACCAAGAGTTAACAGTGCAAATTGGCCCGGACGTGTTTTTTCAAACTCTTTAGACATGTTTTGTTGAAAATTTGAGAGGTAGGTTGATAAATTTGGTCATGAAATTGCTGTCACTTGACTTTATGTAAAAGTAAGTACTTTATATTGCTTTCCATACTATATCTTAACTTCAGGTATCCGTAAACGTGTTATATGCACGAGTCAGTGTTATACATATTTTTGCCTGAAAATCACTAGCCTGACTTGTATTCAATGAATACATCGATTCATAAGGAAGGCATTCACAATATGTGTGAAAACCAAAAGTTAGAAGAGCTTAAATAAGTAGCAATTGACCGAATGATATTTTTTAGATTAAACTCTTTAGACGTGTTCAAAAGATTGCGGTTAATGACGTTGACCTGTTTAAGTGAAACATTTTAGACGTGTAGAGACATTGGGGTTTAACGATTTGGAAGTGGGAAACAGCACAATTAACATTATATATTTCCCCAAAAAATGATCAGAATGTGGAAGAAGTTGTTGTCTGAGTGAAACTATCTTAATTATAAATGATTAACAATAATCAAATGTACGACAGGTTACCTGTATTTTACCGGCGGGCAAGCACCCAGGCGGGCGCTTTCACACATTCCAAAATTAATTTATGGACTATCTTTGAGATTATGTTGTCATAACAAAAAAGCTAACATACTTGGCCGCGCCTTAGGCCTACCCGAATTAAAAGTATCCAAATTGTCCTTGAAAATAAGAAATCAAGTTTACTGCATTATCTTGTTGGACCTATCTTGTTGTTGTCGTCTTCCGGTCAGGTCAAGGTGTCACTAGGGTAAATCTAAAAATATTGAAAAAATCACAAAAGTCAAGTTCTGGGATACATATCGCCATTTTCGAACGAACTACCCATACAATGACTATATTTCTGCGTTCCCCTATACATAACCTTCATCTTGACACTATATTTAACATAGGGTTTGCGTCTCGATTTTTATATATCACTACGCCAACATATCGACTCATTTTCAGGTAAAATCCCTGCTTTGATGAAAATTAACGAATAGAGTAGTTCCAGTTTATGGGACTATATTCTTGCGATTTTTTTCTTAAAATGGCACATTTAGAAAGTACTTGGCCTCAGCTTTAGATACATACCTCAAATGGTCACATTGCGTGGGTACACCCCAGTTGTCCGAAACCCAGTTGTCCGAAACCCAGTTGTCCGAAACCCAATTCCCCGAAACCCAGTTGTCCGAAACCCATTACTCCGAAAAATAAAGTCATAATTTACCAGAGAAAGGGGGGGGGCGTAGCTTACTTAAGCTTACGTCAGTTTCATGCCATGTATTTGGCCAAATTAATGGCATGGACGCATTCTGTTATTCATAGATCTCTCTCTCACTTTGAATTGCATCCATTGCATGGCGTTACCAGAATGGCAGGAACGGGAGATTTATTTTACATTGTGATTCTAAAAAAGGTTATTAAGACACAATATATATTACGGAACAGTTTATCTTATCTTCTTCAATCTCTTTTATATAGGCAAAATAAAATGAAACATTTTGAAACAGATAAAATAAGTTATCGCATAACACTTTAAGAATGAAACGTTGCATTTAATTTCTTAGTCTCGGTCTCTTATCAAATCGTAAAAGAATAAAACATTCTAAACTTAATCACTTGGGATTTATGTTTCGGCATTCGTTTCAGGCATTTGTTTTTTATGTTCTTCTCCTGAAATATATTTGTTTGACAATAATCAGAGAAAGTGCGTATACGTATAAATATGCCACTCAAACAAACGGGTGTGACTTCAATTTCTTGTCTGTCTGAGGACGTATTGGGAACGAGGTAGAATTAAAGAATTCTTATGAACGAGTCATGCAAGATACTAGAACTAGTAAAGTAATGTATTGGATAAGTTAATTTCTGATGGATCTGGATAAAATATATTTCCAAACTTTGTAAACACTAGATAACTTCATTTAGGCAGATATAGTATCTTGATATATTTGGCTATCATGCGTTTAAAATACGTTCCTAAAACTATGAAGACGTTGGGTGAGAAATATTGCTATTGTACGTTCGAAAAGTATTTGGTTGTATTTTGTAGTTCTCAAGTTACCCATGAACTTTCGTGGGCTAATTAACGTCTTGACTTAGCATATTTAGCCTAATTTTGCAATGATGTCAACGTGATTCAAATGTTATGCTGTCGTGATTCGCAGAGGTTGCGACAAGATTCGTTTTAAGAAATTGTATTTTTTTATAAGATCCCCTAATTTTCGGAGAACTGGGTTTCGGACAACTGGGTTTCGGAGAATTGGGTTTCGGTCAACTGGGTTTCGGACAACTGGGTTGACCCCACATTGCGTACACTTAAACCTACTATACACACCATTGAAGTTGGCGTGGCTTCATTTTTAAAGATCTAATAGCAAAGGTTTTGCAAAAATGAATCAATGTAGTATAAAACAAATGTATGTATAATGAAGAAATAAATATATAATGAAAAAAATAGATACGTGCTTGTAATATTGGTATTAAAAAAGTGTCACTATCTCTTTCATTTTTCAACAAATATAGGCTCACGTGACATGTGACGCGGGGCAGGCAATTTTGATCTATCGTAGACAATATCAGTATCAAATTGCCGATATTTCAACCTCGTCTTGCGAGGCCATTTTGATTTGAAACATCTTGAATTTGGTGTCAAAATAAAGCTGGTCACGCCCACTTTCATAGTTATCAATGAATCATTTACTACGACTACTATATTCATTTAGGAGGCGTGTAAAGTTAACCAATCAGAAAGACAATTGTTCCATATATGGCAGTTCAGTAACATATTCAGTGTTTACTACTGCTTTTCGCAGAGCTGTCAAGTGTCCCGCGAATGGCGGGATTATCCCGCAAATTTGATCAAAATTAGGCTAATTCGCGTGTCCCGCATTGTTCCGCGAAGTCCCGCAAAATGTGGCTTTGACCTCCGCAAATTTCCGAAATTGTTGCAATCCCCTATATTTTGATTATCTTATCTTATATAAGAAGCTAAGTTTTTGCACTTTTGAGGAGTAAAGTTTACCTAATTTTAAGTACCTAGCATGCTGTTGTTTGGTATCAAAATAAAGGGGAAGGGTTCAACTTTCATTTTAATTACGAAAATAGGGATGTAGGTCACAAATAGTTCCAACGTTGGCCTTTTTACTACCCGTGTGGCCTTCATCTCAGAACTGAGCAAATGTTAGCAAACGCGAGTTACAATAAATGTACGCTGATATCTAGAAAGGGTTTGTATAAAAAACCGGGTACCGGGTAGTAAATCCTCCATGCTGGGTTCAAACTTGGTACCCGGTACCCGGTCAAAAAAAACGGGTACCCAAAAAACGAAAAATATGAATATATAACATAATTAGATTATGAGAAAACGTGTAAGATTTGTTTTGAATTTGCAACAATGTATGTAACATGATTCAAAATTGAGCTAGAAGCTTCAAATAAAAAGCATATTTTAAGGCACTTTTCTTCCTCTATCGTTATGGCCATATTTTCATTGGTTATGGGGGGGGGGGTGCGATCGCACCATCGCACCCTCTCCTGGCTACGCCTATGACATTGTAAGACATAACAATTTACAATTCAGTGGACATTTTGTCATAAATTGGGATAACTTAAATTATGATTAATAATCAAAATCTTACACGTTGCATCATGCAAATTAACACACGTCACCTCTCTGCTAAAGCAACGATAGCTATTTACAGATTTAAATCATAATCAAAACAATTCACGTACCAACATACGAACTATTGAAAATAGAGTAAGATTGATTTGTCTTGTTTTTCAAATCGTCTTACAATGTCATTGGCGTAGCCAGGTGGGGGTGCGATTTCCAATGGAAATATGACCAAGATGATAGAGGAAGAAAAGAGCCTTAAAATGCCTTTTATTTGAAGCTTCTAGCTCAATTTTGAAGGAAGTTACATACATTTTTGTAAATTCAAAACAAATCTTACACGTTTTCTAATGATCAAATTAATTTGTTGTGTATTCGTATATTTCGTTTTTTGGTTTTTTTCGACCGGGTACCAAGTTTGAACCCAGCATGGAGGATTTACTACCCGGTACCCGGTTTTTTATACAAACCCTATCTAGAAAATTAACCTCATTCCCTATAATTTGATGTAGATTAATCGAACCCCTATATCATGGGCTTTCAATGAATAGGTACATTTTAATATATAACATTACGGGGGTAAGCGTTTCATAGTTGGTCACGACGCCAGAAGTGCAAAGTATTGTTCCGAATTTTTGAATTTCGTGTTAGATTACGGTAATCACACCTGAAGCATGGTTTTTGTATTTTATAAATTACAATAAAGTTTAATAATATTCCTATGCGTATTTTGTGAAATCGTGTTGACGTTTATTTAAGTTACAATGTAACGGTGCATTATATTTGATTAATCAGTATCTGAAAGTTTGATCTAGTACTTCTACACGCTTTTACATTAGTCCCAATCACGCAAATCCCTTGAATGTCCCGGGACATCCTGCAAATTTAGGTGGATGTCCCGCGAAATCCCGCAAATTTAGGGCACTTTGTCTAAAAAATCTGTCCCTCTATGAAGTTTTTGGTGGTACACCTGTTAACTGTCCCGCAATTAGGGTGTTTGTCCCTCGAATGGTCCCGCGAAATCCCGCGAATTTGATAAATTAGCGCAATCACGCAAATCCCTTAAATTTGTCCCGTAAAATCCCGCGAATTTAGTAGATGTCCCGCAAAATCCCGCGAATTTTGGGCACTGGGTCTAAAAAATCTGTCCCGCGAGAAAATCTTTAGGGGTTGACAGTACTGTTTTCGCGTCATGACAACATGAGGGAACGTGAGTAGTAACCAATCAAGATGCCATATTTTATCACCTGAGTTCAGAGTGACAAGTACACAACATGTAGTCTGAGCTGATCGCGATGTTGAACAATTTCTTCTCGGAATTTGTCCCAGAGAAATCAGCGATTCTAAATTAAGGTAGGATCTGCCATTTCTTCCTGTAAAAGTTATAACTTATCTCTAATGAATACTAAAGTTTTTGATGAAGATATGAAGCATACGTTTAAAAACGAAGCGATTAATTTGACGATCTGATTTTGCAATTTGCAATGGCCAATTTACCGCAAGTCTGCGTGTTGACAAGAGATAGTCAAGTCTTGTATCTAAATGCTTGTTAAGCCTTACTCAAAAACAAGATCCATATTTTCTAAAGTTGATAACTTTGCAGAAAACCTGTTTTCATAACCTGTTTTCCGCGTCAAAAATTCAAACTGAGTAATAGGATCGCTGGATCAGTCTCCTCGGGTCTTCATTCCTAAACTCAGATTTTTAGTTGATTCTCCGACCGTCATAGTACTTGTCTAAAGTCCCAATTTCTGCTCTCTTACTAGTATACGTGGACACTTTTTCCCCTGTATATAGTCCCCAGTCAAATTACACCCTCTCGCCGATTTATAATAGCCATTTTCCAGAACCCGGGAATCAGAATCGCTGATGTTTGCCATATTGAACATGTTGAAATATGTACTGTAATATCTGTATTGCCTGCTACGCGTAATGGTCACATGACTAGCGCGTTACAGGAAAAATGGGGAATTTCGAAACAACAATTTTCGGGCACTTTTATTGCAAATTTCAGGTATCTATAAGTGTTTGTGGTATAAAATATCATCCCCAGACATAAATGAACATCCAAACTACATATTTTATTAAGTTTTGGAGCCTTTTTTACTCTTAAATTAACATCTTTAAAGTATTAAAAAACACTGTCCTACCCGAAGTGCTATTTACCGGAGTGACACCTCAAGGACACTGGATTTTTAAATTCTGGTCAAGATTTTAATTACACTAAATTTAGGAACTTTCCAAACATTTTCGGCCTTTTAAATCCTGTGTAATATTTTGCAATATTGTTCAGTTTACTTATGCCATGCTCAGTTTGTCCCGATTTTCTCTATATTTAATGTTCTCAGTGGTCAAGCAGGTGACCTCACTTGACCCTGACGTCACTGATCACTGTTGACCAATCAGCGCGCTGTAGACCAGACCCATACATCGCATCGCTCTCGTTTTATTTGAACAGATTCCAATTTGAAAAATCTTTGAAATGACACATTTATCGTAAGTATTTACACACATGATTTGCCCCATTTGTTCATCATTCTATAATCTTTCATTCAGCTCAAAATGATAAAGTTCACCCCCCCCCCCGAAACAACCCAAGATTGCGTTTCGGGACAAAGAGCAGCTTTCAGTAAACACGATTTCTTATTTTCAACGACAATTTGGTTACTTTTAATTTGGGAAGGGAACTTTTTCCAATTGTGATTAGCAATATAGTCACACGACCGGACATAATCTAAAGATAATCATGCAATAAAATAATTTTGAAATGTGTTTATCCTACCACCCCTATGAAAAAAATAAAAGCGCCCGCCTGGGTCGCCTGGTCGCCTGTAAAATACAGGTAACTTGTACGACATAATATGTGAAGATTGATCTATGGAATCACTACAGAATTTGATACTTAAATCAAAATGGTTAGAATCAGACATGCAAGGTTAATGCAAGCGAGCTTTGCCTCGTCGCTTGTCGTTTTGAAAATTTGACTAGTCACATTTTTTAATTGCCATGTCGCTCATTTAATGGCTCATCGTTGCTAATTTTGAATTTGCCTCAAATAAGTTTTAAAACGTCCCTATTGGCCTTAAACTCACTTTCCCCTGTCATGAACGTAAATAAATTTATTCAGTTCAAAATGAGAGGAAATGTTTAGTTTGTGATGCATACATGTAAATGCATATATATGATCACCTTATGTAAGGAATAACTCCACCGTTATTTAGTGCTCAAAATCAAACTTGAGAAATCGAGATGTAAAGGTGTCTGGTTTGCTTTATGACATTTTATGCGTCCCCGATCTTATTGATTAAGCATTTGCCTATCAGATACATCTGCGATCTCTTCCGGGGGATGTTCGTGTGTTTCAGCGTTGGAGTCCTGTATATAATAACAGAATATAATAAAGTCCGTCTGTCTATCTGTCTGTCTGGTCGGTCGGTCATTTTAAGATAAATATAATTAGAATATAAAGACGATCTTTAGAGTAGTGAATATCATTCCACGTTGTTGGTCTCTAATTTGCATTCAATTAGATAGTTTATATTTTCATTATGAATCAATAAAAATAAAAATTATTACATCTTCAATTTCATCATATGAAAAACTCACCTCTTTTTTCACAGGTGTTGAACTTTTCTCAGAAAATCGCATGCACTTTTGCAAAGGACTTGGTATCATATATGCTTCCTCTTTTATTGATGTACTGGTGCCATCAAAACACAACTTTGAACCCAATTTCTCGCACATCCGAAACCCATAATTAATCCATTGTTTTATATCTCCATAATTCCTTGATCGTGGATAGGGATGTCAATTCTGAACAGATAAGTTGGATGAACCTTCTCATAATGTTCAAGGAACGTGTTCTTATCAGCGCTTTTGAAAGCACACAACACGTGACACTTATTCCGAGGAACTAAAATATCAAAATATGTGAATAGTCATTTTTTGGTACAAACATTCATCTTCGAAATTCTAATGCGATTATTTTCAGAAGCACAGACAAATTATAAAGCAACAAAACATGTGAAATGTGAATACTATTACAAGACAATTCAAAGTTGTTAATTTTATCACGTCTAAAACGGTATCTTTACAATTCCAAAACGTTAACATGCTTATTATAAGACACATCCATGACGCTATGTTTTCCCTTCTCCATAGTTAACTCCACTTTCTACATTTACAGTCATTTATGGCAATTTTAAGATAAAGACATTTAAATATTGACACGATCTTTAGAGTTGTGAATAAAATTCCACGTTGTTGAATGGATTGTCTGTTTAAACTTGATTAAATAACACTAAATGCAAATTAAGTACATATTTCTGGCACTTTTGGTATATAATTGCGATTGATATGAAGTATGATAAATTTATCCCCAAAATAGATTTGTGGGTACGAAGAAGAACATCTTAGGTAGACGTCAAGATATGTAAGTTTGTAAAATATAAAATATTCTCTATCTTTTTGCTTCATTGTAACGAATGTCGCATCCCATGTTCTTACAAAACACGTCTAAAGAGTTTGAAAAAACACGACCGGGCCAATTTGCACTGTTAACTCTTGGTCACCGTGATATTTCAGCAGATATCAGATAAATTCATAAAAATATTTTGTGATTGATATAATCATTGATTATAAAACGGGAAGTGCGTTCTGTGACGTCTGCTTGTGAGTATTTCAATTATTCAGATTTTGCTGTGGATTCGATTTTAAATGCTTCTAAATGATCTTCTAATGCTTACTATGATTTCCATTAGTAATGTTTTGACTTCGCTGCTTCATAAAAATGAACATTATCACCATTTACTCGACTCGAAAATTCACTTCCGGTCTGTGGTAATAAAGATGAACACCTTTCAATCCTCAGTCTAAATATTGCTTTTCAAGGTTCAATAGGCGACTTTGAATGGACTTTCATGCATACACTGTAGTTCGAAAATAGAATCACCAGAGAAGTTTTTAAACCATGAAATCGACTCTAAATTGGTAACCATTTTGTAGGCTGTGTATGTAGGCTGTATTACACTATACTGTACCTTTAACTTTGAATTAATTTGTTGTCTTCTAACCAGTTGTAGCTTCCTTCACTTACTGTTGATATTCATGATTAAATTATTATAGGCGATAGTGATAGAGAAATTGCAAGAGAAGCAGAAGAGAGTCACCATGTTGATACCGACTCTGTGAGTGACATTAGTGAGAAGCTGAATACAACTAGCATAACAGAGCCATCTAGAGACCAAGCACGCAGATTGTTCAGTACTCCCAGCAGTGATAGGACATTGCCCCCTATGAATATCAACTTGACCAAAGTCACTGAGGTTAGTACACCCAACATTTTATTTAGTTCTTATATCCCATGAATCCTCACTAAAACACTACTCCTTTGAACTTATCAGGTAACTTCTCACTTTTAAGGTGTCGCATGTCAGTCTGTCTTTCAGAGGACAAAATGGTCAATTTTCAAACAATTTCAAAAATATTATATCGACTCTGTTCTTGGTTATTATGTGCATATACAAGCCTGCTTCCAAAAAGTCAAATACACATAAATGTTGAGATAAAGTTCCAGACCTCTCAATGATTGGTATTTTTTCAGCTTTCTCTGTTTTGTTGGTATTTTTATTTTCCTGATATATCTATGGTGATTTAATATATCTAACATTTTGTTATGGGTGTGTCTCGGTTCATGTGTGATCAGTAAATATTCTAGTAAAAATGAATGGATCGTGTGATGCAAACACTCGCCATCTTTCATTGGCATAGCTAGAAACTTGATGTATAAAAATTAACTGATCGAAAACATTTTTTAATACGCTGGTGTGGTCTGTTTGGGCTGTTCTTGGTGTCTAATGAAAGATCAAGAAATTATCAATCCATTGGAAATACTATGAAGATCAAAAGTAAGACTTCATTTTGCCAAAAAATAAATTATAGGGAGGGCTTGGAAGCAATTATGAAAATGAAGGCATCGAAGGGAAAAAGAGACCTAAGGGAACCATAGTTTTATTATATGTTTCATGTTCTTTGAAACAATTCTAACTTAACCTCTCAAATGATAATATTGACCAGGAAGTGGAAGAGGTACAATCAGAGCTGCAAAGACTTGAAGACACCATTGCTGAGGACACTAATGATGTCACAATGGAACAGGAGCAGCAGACTCACCCAGTAAGTATTTTATGATGTCATCGGGAGAGAGTATAGATTTTCAAATTCTTGAATTGAAGCTTGTTTAAGATGCTTGTATTTGCATTTTTCTTAATGTCGAGTGTGATAAATCTTTATTTTCCATTTCTAATTTTTCAACAAGGTAGTACATTTTGTTGTGAGGTTGAGTTGACAATTTATAGCGGATTATAAATGTTATGTTTATTAAGTAAGGATATTAGTAAACCAGTATAGCATTGAGCCACCTATCGCTCTATTTGCCACCTATTGGAGCAGCCATCGCTAAAGTAAAATATACTTTTCATTTAATAACAAGGAGAGATCAAAGTCTACCAGTCCTACTGCTGCACAACCAGGTGATCCAGCACAGCTCTGTGTATACAACTTTGCTGAACCAGAAAATGCCAGACCACGATCTACATGTCCAAGTCCTGTATTTAAATTTGGTAGTGGAGATATGACAAAGTCTACAATGTTTGGAGGTACATGTACATTTACATATTAACAGGGTGGGATTTGAAGATTTGCAGGCACGTAGCTAGCGGAGTTTGAAGGTTTTGGGCCAACCTCCCCCCACAGCCAAAAATTCTTAGATTCATGCAGTTTCTCATGATTTTGAGCAGTTTTCATCTGATTTTGGGCCAAATTTGTCAAAGTGACCCCCCTGGAATTTTCGAAAAGTGAACCCCCCTTCGCAAAAGCTGGCTATGGGCCTGTTCTGTCTTCTAGTGGAAGAGACCTATTTTGCATCATTTTTTGTAATATCTCTCTAACAAGTTTTCCTCTTTCAAGGTAATCAACTGAATTACCTCAAAAATTGCTTTTGTACATTATTTCGTATGTATGTTTGCGGTATTTTTATAGACAAGTGAGTTGTAAGGTCATGATTAATAATAATCTCTGGTCCATTGCAGAATGATATTGCAATCTGTTTTTATCGCACTTTGAAAAAGTGCTATATTGTCGTCATCTTGTGCTGATTGACGTGCATGCGGATAAAAACTGCTTACCTGTTCAACTTGATGGTAGCCATTTTGAGTTTTGATAGATCAGCCATTTTAAATTTTTCAACTTGCTTCAAATTGACCAAATTTTTTTAGATTTGAGATTGGACCTTTGGTTACCTTGAGTGGCCTTTAAAAGGTCAAAAAATTGAATTCTAAATTGAATTAATGGATTCAGATTCAGGTCAGCTTAATCACAGAAGACCCGAGGTCTGAGAAAGTGTAATTTTCAAGGGCAATAGAACTCTATTAGTTTGTCTGACTTAGTGTTTGGAATCCAGATTTTGGTGTAGGTTAAATATCCAAAGAATTTTGTCCACTGTATTGTATGAAACATGCACTAACACCAATTAGTATCACCTTGTTGTGGACCAGTATTGATATACATTGAAGCCCAATGCATTTTTACCATATGTTTATGTGTACTGAACTTAAATTAAACAGCTTCCATGTTAAAAGGTTTGAATGAGGATGACAATATGATGATGGGTACCACAAAGACTCCACAACAAGCCTTGAAACGGCGCAAAGTGCTCCATAATGATAAAGGTAAGTACAGAGAGCTTGTTGAACCAATATGGAAACTCAGTTGAATTTTCAGTGAAGCTAGTCTACTGCAATGAATGGCAATTAATATAACCTGTTTTTTATGGCATTTTGAAAAAGAGCTATTTTGTCATCTGGTACTGATGGTTTGGCATGTGGGCAGGCGTTACACAAATCTAGTCATCAAAATTTCAAGAAAATAGCTCATCCGTTCAACTTGACAATTTTACAGTTGCAAGAGCAGACGAGTGCCAAGGTCTGATTATAGGTTTTAGGCATGCTGGGTCAATGAAGTTGCAGCCATTTTCTTCGTTGATATGCAATATTAATCATGATTCCTTGTTTTACGTGATTGTGTACTGATCAAACTTTTTTTAAGGCAAAATGGTAGGAGAGTCTCCACATCATCCAGTCAAGCCTCAAAGTCCAACAAGCCGAAAAAAGATTGCCGAGAAAGATTCTGGGAAAGCCGTACGTGTCAACATAGCAGGAAAATTTCAAAGGACATTAACCAATAAGGATAAAGAGTTGGATTCTGATCAAGGGATATCAGAAAAAACTGTTTCAAAAATTCTGACGCAAGCGAGGGAATTGATCAGTACAGCTGAAGGGGTCCCCAAACAGACCCCACAAAGTGACACAAACTTATTAGATAGGCCAAGATCAGCAAGTGTGACAAGCCAAGGTGCAGAAACTGATTTAAGATTTGGGCGATCACGAGGCATGGGCTTCATTCACAGTGACAACCCAGCTGCCATCAAACCCAAAGGGAAGGTCATTAACACAGTTGAGAATGTATCCTCAAATGAACATGCAAGTGTAAAAGTCACTGTTATGGGGGGCAATACCCAAACAAAAACTAAGTCTAACAGGGCACTTATTGTTGATGACAAACCTCATAGACGTATTATCACCTTTGCCAAATCAACAGACAATACAATTAACAAACTTAATGAGCAAGGGAAAGTAAATGAAACCAACGAACAGCAAGGAAGTCATTCAAATACAAACTCAAAAGTATCAGCTGGATCATCAGATAATGGTAATATGAGAGCAAACATGAACAAGTCAAATGATGTCCCTTCAAAGTCAACAAAGAGAGGAGTGACACCTATGGGTGAATATAGTGCCATTATGAACCACGTGAGTTGCCATGCTCAAAGTAACCACAACAAACCAATACCAGGTGAGATCAAAAGTGCATTTCCGTAAGCATTCTTAAAATTCAAAATTCATCTTAGATTTCCATTTTGTCTTGTATCTTGGAAGTTATCTTTTTTATTATCTAGATATTTGTGTCTGAATATTTCTTCAGTTTGTTTTCAAAAACTTACTTTTATGCAGTAACTTTTTTACACTGAATAAATAAAATAATACTGTGATCAAACTTGGTACACTGTAATTTTATAAGCTTTGTTTCTTTTCATAAGCAATTTTTGCAAAGCATGTGAATACAATAGGACAGAAAGGAAAAGATGCACAAAGTTTGAGCTTCCCTATTGGTGTTACCGTGGCACCAAGTGGTGATGTCATAATTTGTGATCATGGCAACGACATGGTAAAAGTTTTCACACCAGATGGAACAAACAAGTTCACATTAGGAGACTCAGTGAGATATTTTTATGTATTTTTAGTATATTTAATGCATGATGTCATGGGTGTAGCCAGCGGGGATGAGATGAGATGGGTGCGATCCCCAATCCCGACAAAAAAGAGAAAAGAGATTTAGTAAAATTTGTTGAAAAAGAATGATCAAATCATACCGTAATTGCTGTAATAAGGGCCCACCCCTAATTACGCCCACCCGCTTCTGATGCCACTTATAGTGCCACAATATTGTTGAATTCTTGCTCTATTTCAGGGATATTTACCGTATTCTCTCCAATTATGATACATATCATTATTGTAAAAATATGCTGTCACTTTCGTTGCAAATAAGGCATTTTTGGCAGGAAAAATTCCCATACAGGAAATATGGGCGCTCTTTGCAGTGGGTTACAATGGGAACTTTCAAGGGCCTTTTTACGGCAAATACGGTAGTTTGAAATGCTTGGAAGGCACCATATACAATGTAAATTTTTTTAAATTTCCAGGGGTGAACCCCGTACTGCTTTTTCCACTTTTTGGGGCTCACTTCGCTTTCAGTGATGGAAATCCCAAAAATCACACCCACCTGAAAATTGCTGGCTATGCCTCTTGTATATTAGTTTTCTCATCAGATATAGTACTTGAGCAATGTTAACTAACAGTGTCTTTTTATTAGTGTTCACTTTTCATGCATTGTATAAAAAATGTCAGCTTAGGATGAAGCTCTGTTCTCATTTGACCAAAGAAAAGCATATATGTTAAGTTGTAACGAGATGCGACCAAAACTATTTTTAATATCTAACGAGTGTCATGTTATTTAAAAGCGCAACACTTTGTAATATATAGAAAAGCATGTATGTCAAGTTGTAGGCCAGGCAGGTAGTTCTCTGCACATTTCATGACAAGCTACCTCATTTCGTGTACACAAATTTCTAAGCAGCCACATCTGATATTTAGGGATGATACTCACCATGCACCTTGCTAATTAGTTTTAAAATGGTCAGGATAAATATGCTGAATGCATACATCTATATATTCAGGGTTCTGCAGTATTTAAGAGGCCATCAGCCACGGTAACAAATGATGCAGGTGACATCTTTGTGAAGGACATGAAAACAATTCAAGTCTTCAACAAGAATGGAGAAAAGATGAGGTTGTTTGGAAAAGACATTCTTCAGTCTCCCTATGGTAAAATATTTTAATAAAAATTCTCTCTATGGGTTTTGCAATTTGCAAGCACCATTTTAAATGTAAATATATAAATGCAAACACACACGTATTGACATATATATAATATGTAATCTATAATTGACGTATACATATGATATATAATCTATAATTGACATATATATAATATATACATATACAGGGTGTCCAATAAATAAGGTGAAAGATATTGTAACTTTCTTAATATTGCACCAATCTTGATGACATTTTCAGAGTTTGTAGCCCAAACCTTTTTACCTTTATTCTGTGAATTCAAAGCGTCTTCTATTTGATTGGCCAGAGTTGTGGTTGCTATAGTAACTGAAACAACAAAAAGGCGGGGCAAGTTTGTTTACGTCACAACTTTCTAAAACATATTTATTCTTTCTGATAGCTTTATTCATACTTATTCATGATCTGAGTTCACACACAGCTATGCTCACTAGTGAAACTATTAGGGCACTGGGGCTACCCATACTTGCACACCCTCCATATTCCCCAGACCTTGCACCCAATGACTTTTACTTATATGCAGAACTCAAGCGTGACTTTGGAAGCACTGATGAACTCAGATCGCATGTCTTAGCAAGACTTCAGAAAATGGGCAAGAATGGGTTTGAAAATGTGTTTAGAGAGTGGGTGAATAGGCATAAGAAGTGTATAGCTAGAGATGGAAATTATGTTGAATAGCTTATTTTCATAACAATGGGACTTTAGGACTGTTTTTTTTATATTGTATTGGTGGTAGTAATAGACCTTGGAATATGAATAAAGCTATCAGTAAGAATAAATATATTTTGGAAAGTTGTGACGTAAACAAATTTGCCCCGCCTTTTTGTTGTTTCGGTTGCTATAGCAACCACAACTCTGGCCAATCAAATAAAAGACGCTTTAAATTCACAGAATAAGGGTAAAAAGGTTTGGACTACAAACTCTGAAAATTTCATCAAGATTGATGCAATATTAAGAAAGTTACAATATCTTTCACCTTATTTATTGGACACCCTGTATAATCTATAATTGATGAATATATATAATAAATAATCTATAATTGAATATATATAATCTACAGGGTGGTCCAAAAAAATTGGAACATTTGTTAATTGAACACAAAACCTTTATTTTTACTCTAAAATGCACTAAAATTTCACTGAGCATAGTTCAGTCACTTATCTCTCTGGCCTAAAGTTTATAGGTGCAAACCACAAAGTTAATGCATTAAACTAACAGTCAATGTTTGATATGACCCCCTTTTCTTAAATATACACTTGTCAATTTCGCAGCTACTTTTTCAAGTATTCTTTATTTCAAAGCTTTAATGAACATGTTGTTTGCTATATACACATTTTATAAAATCATATTTAGTTGACATGAGGTATTATCATCTATGGTTTACTGGAAAACAACTGTGTTATTGTCAACTTAGGAATACCCCAAATCATTATTTTTATTTAAGAGTAGGAAAGAAAGAACACGTCAGAGGTGAGTGATTGTATAACCCATACAGCTACTAAAGTGACAAATCATTGTTTCCACTTTTCAGTAGAGGGGAAACTGACTAGTTATTTACAAGGCTTTATTAAAGACCACCTCTAAGCACACATAATATAATATACAAGTATCATTTGTGTTCTGGGAAACTCCTTTATGATATTGGTATACATATATTGATGGTTTCTAGACAACTCATCCCAAGACAACTCATCCCAAAACAAGTCATCCCTAAGACAACTCATCCCAAGACAAGTCATCCCCAAGACATCTCATCCCAAGACAACTCATCCCAAGACATCTCATCCCAAGACAACTCATCCCACTAGTATAATTGATAACTTATTTAATTTGTCCTCTATATTATATATACAAGGGTCGATCCAGATATTCTGATAAAAATTCTCTCATTTCTTTATTTTTCGAAGTTATTACTTGTTATTTGGACAGACAAAAAATAATTTATTTTGGCAAAAGATATAAAAATATAAATTTTATTTCTTCATAACTCTCCTCACGGGAAAACTTTTTCGTTGCCATGGTAATGGCACCTGGGACAATAAAACTAGAATAAAAGTTTCACTACAAAATCAAGAGTCTCACAGACTGATTAAATCAACTATTATGTCCTTTATGTACGCATGCACTCAAAATAATGTCCTTGTGCAGCCACACGTCGGCTATGTCTATCAACCCAGCGAGTATATACATCATTGCAGTCAGGGAAGTTGGTGTGCAGGGAACGCATAACTGCCTGTTTCATCTCATTGACATCATGAAAACGCCTGCCTTTGAGGTCACTCTTCAGTTTCCCAAAAATCGCAAAATCCAATGGCGCTAAATCGGGGGAATATGGGGGATGACCGAGCAGCTCCATACCCATACTCTCTCTGATAGCAGTTTGCACACATTCACTTCGATGAGATGGGGCATTATCGTGGTGGAGGAAGTTGTACTTCGCGTTTAGCCTCCTTTGCACTTATGCAGTCTGACATTTTGATTTTCGCTTATGCACACTTTGACAAAACTTGCTCAAGTGATTTGGATTTGGAGCCAGCTTCTATTTGCTCACAATGGACAATTGTCTGTTGTGATGTCATAAAACACTTAATTGATTGTAGGTGCACCTGCTAAAATGCTAATTGAAGAATATTTGACTCATAAATGGGTCATAATGGATATAAAAGTATGTAAAGACAAAATATGAAGAGACAGAAAAGCTACTTGTCCCAGGTCCCGTTTCCATGGTTACCAATTTTCTACCCTAGCAACGCATTAGTGCCTGTATGTTGACTAAACCTTGTATATCCCTTTTCATTTTTACGATTACAAAGTGATATTTGATTATTCACTCAATCTTAATATTGATAATTTTTAGCATTTTGAAATGGCACTTGAAAGTTATGTTCTACTTTTACGTACCAATATTTTTATTTAATATAATTTAATATATTTATTTAACCAATATTCTTATTTAAGAATAAGCCAAATATGACATATTGGAATTAAGCAAAATATTTTAAAACAAAGACTGAATTAATCTGAGAGAATTATTCTGATAATTGCCGGATAATTCATTCTTATTTTGTTAATCTGACACCCTTGATGATCTTTGATTTAATAATCAAAGTACGGTATATATTAATTTGAACATGTTTATCTTTATCCCAATCAATCAACAAAAATTAACTAAAACCAGACTAAACTAACTACAAAATATAAAATATATTCCATGGCCAAACACAGTGTGCTTACTGCTAAAATCTCTAAATGTGTTTCAAATATTCTTTTTAAAGTTGAAATCAATTGTATAAAATTATGTTATATTTCAAGTTGGGAAGAGTTGTCTTGGGGATGAGTTGTCTTGGGATGAGTTGTCTTGGGATGAGATGTCTTGGAATGAGTTGTCTTGGGATAAGATGTCCTGGAATGAGATGTCTTGGGGATGAGTTGTCTTGGGATGAGTTGTCTTAGGGATGAGTTGTCCTGTTACCATATTGATATATTCAATGAATATTATTCATATTAGATCAAGAAAGGGGAGGGGTTCATTTAACAGTCAAAACAGACTGCCCTGGCCTCTTTCTGGAGAATATTCAATCAGTTATATATCCAACAATAGCCATCAAAATATGCTTGATACCCATCGATTTGGGTTAAAAATGTTTAATATGTTCATATATTTGATCTTCCAAGGCAAACATATAAGTAGTTTGTTCAAGCTGAATTTTTATTCAAGATGGTTGGACAAAATCAAACGAACAGCAAAGTGAATGAATCATTTCAAAACTGAGTCCCGGGCTTCAACATGTAATTCAGGAGAAAGGGGGTCATATCAAACATTCTCTAGTTTAATGCATTAACTTTATTGTTTGCACCTTTAAACTTTACATCAGATCAATAAGTGATTGAACAATACTCAGTAAAATTTTGGTGCATTTTAGAGAAAAAATAACGATTTTGAGTTCAATTATCGAATGTTCCAATTTTTTTAGACCACCCTATATAATTGATGTATATATATAAAATATAATCTATAATTGACGTATATATATAATCTATAATCGTTTGTCGCAAAATGTCAGGCAATTGTGTTGTCGCATTCGCAACAACCAATGAACCCAGACATTTGGAACTGATGTAAGATAAAAATAAAATAAAAAAGTTGATTGCTGCACCTTTGGCCTTATAAACCTGTAAAACAAGTGTCCATGAGTAATAGGCTACAGTTTTTAGAATACAAATTGATCTTGTCACTGTTATATACTGTACAGCAATACATGTAAAGTGAAACACCTCGATTATAATTTTCAGAGACCCAGGACTAATTGACTGTTAGTGGAACATCTCCCATCTGAACCACCTTTTACAGGGTGTCAAATTTGTCCCCCCCCCCCTTAATTTCAACGGCATGAACTTTTGCGCATCAAAGTACATCTAGTTGAGATAGTCATCTGAAACTTCTTGTGGAATTGTCCCATGAAGTTATAGTTATAATGTAATAATGAACAATTCAGATATCGTGCAGACAATTTAGCGACATAATGTGGATGTTAAAGCTAAGAATGAGAACATATTTATTTGACACCCTGTAGAGGTACCAGATATGTTCCACACATGTATTAAATAAATCTTGCTAATTTTTGAACAGGTATCGCATTGAACAGCTTCAGAGATCTAGTCACAGTTGACCCACAGCGAATAGACCCAAGTCTATTCATATTCAACCAGGATGGTCAGCTCATCCAACAAAGTTTGTTTTCTCCAATTCTTGAACACAAGCGTGGATCAAAGTGCAGATTTCTAGATGTTTTCGATCAACATTTGATAGTTAGTGATTTGGGTAAGTAAATGTTAAGTGTAAATACTACCCATTTTACTTACATTTTTACATAGTTAGCGATTTGGGTAAGTAAATGTTAAGTATAAATACTACCCATTTTACTTACATTTTTACATAGTTAGCGATTTGGGTAAGTAAATGTTAAGTATAAGAGAGATTTCGCACCTAGTGAAAGTATAACCTATAATGTATACTTATACTTCTAGGTAAACGTACAAGGTGTTTCATAATGTGGGCTTTTCGTCAGGAAAGATCTTCTCGAACTGTAATAAATACAGGTCAAAGGGATGCCATTTGTACTTTCTTGAATTGTAGCATGTTTAGTTGATCCAAATGTGTTTGTCTAGAATAAAATAGGCTCATATATAGTACATATGTTATTGACCCATCTCTTCTCAAATTGACTTTTTGGAGATGCTCGTTATGAAACACCCTGTATGTCATTTGTTGAGCTACTGAATGGGTCGTTTCCACGAATTGCTAGAACCTACTGGTTTGATTGGTGTTTCAAATTGATGGTTAAAGTATTTGATTGGATACTGTTCCCACTCAGCCAATTAATTTAAAAAAATGCTTGCGGTCAATTGTTCCACACACATGTGGGCAAATCTTTATATGGAGATCCAACTGTATACGTTATCATCTACGTCAATATACCGTTTTGTAAGTTCATTGAACTTATACTGATCATGAAAACATTGAAATAATCAACTTGTTTATGTAATGACTCACTTTAAAGGATCATGACTCACTTTAAAGGATCGTGTTTATAATACACTACAACTACAATGACACGGAAGCAAGCATTTAATTATAATGTGCATAATCTACACGTGCAGATGACAGTGCATTCACAGTCTCTAGTTGATGGAGCTTTTCTATAACGGGAATAGTTATAAAGTTATTAAGTACAATTTAAAATTGATTTTAGTAAATATATTAGTTCGACATGACCCTTTAAACTATACATATACGTATAAGTTGTACTTTCACTTATGTGCGAAATCTCTCTATAAATACTACCCATTTTACTTATATTTTTACCCATGACATATCTTGAAAATTCAGTAGTAATAAAAAATATATTTCCCTTTACTTCAAGTGCTCATGTGTTATTCCTTTTTAGGTCACAGCCATATTTACATGACAAACTTTAATGGTGCACTCATCTGTGACTTTGGCGGATTTGGCACAGATCATGGATTGTTCAGAGAGCCATCTGGTGTTAGCATCGATCTCCATGGTAACATGATGATTGCTGACAGCAAGAATGACAGGGTCCAGGTAGAAATTATTTGTAAATAAATGTTAGAGTAAAGAATGTGTTAAAATATTATAGTATTATATATATATAAATTGTTCTGAGGTTTACAGTATGTTAATAGGTTGTGTAGAATTTGAATGACACCTGCAGTGAATCATAATAAACTAACTGTCAAAGGACTAGTCTCAGTTTGGAGAACTAAGTTCATCAGTCTACTGCACGTTACACCTGCTTTGGACAATTTTTATATTTTTTACATATTGTAGATTTAAATGTCCTCTTTTGAATTTTCATAATTTGGTTGTTATTATGTCACCACCAAAAGTGGTGACATATTGTTATGGTCTCCGTTTTTTTGCGACGGCGGTTGGTGGTTGGCGGTTGGTGGTTGGAGGTTGGCGTCCGGCGTCTGTAACAATTTCTTACAACTTCCTATAACTTAACAAGTACTGTTTAGACTGACTTCAATTTTTTTCTAAATCATCTACATGTTCTCAGAAGTTCAAATCTGACTTTAGATTTGACATTTGACCTTCAATGACCTTCTCAAGGTCAAAAAGGTCTTTTTTCAACTTGCTTCACATTAACTAAATTTTTTTTCAAAATCATCTACATGTTCTCAGAAATTCAAATCTGACTTTAGATTTGACTTAAGATTTGACATTTGACCTTCAAATCTGACTTTAGATTTGACATTTGACCTTCAATGACCTTCTCAAGGTCAAAAAAGGTCAAAAAGGTCTGTTTTCAACTTGCTTCAAATTGAATAAATTTTTTTTTCAAAATCATCTACGTGTTCTCAGATATTCAAATCTGACTTAAGATTTGACATTTGACCTTCAATGACCTTCTCAAGGTCATTGAAGGTCAAAAAGGTCTGTTTTCAACTTGCTTCAAATTGACTAAAAAAAATTTTCAAAATCATCTACGTGTTCTCAGAAATTCAAATCTGACTTTAGATTTGACTTAAGATTTGACATTTGACCTTCAATGACCTTCTCAAAGTCTAAAAAGGTCAAAAAAGGTCTTTTTTCAACTTGCTTCAAATTGACTAAAATTTTTTTTCAAAATCATCTACATGTTCTCAGAAATTCAAATCTGACTTTAGATTTGACATTTGACCTTCAATGACCTTCTCAAAGTCAAAAAAGGTCAAAAAGGTCTTTTTTCAACTTGCTTCAAATTCACTAAATTTTTTTTCAAAATCATCTACATGTTCTCAGAAATTCAAATCTGACTTTAGATTTGACATTTGACCTTCAATGACCTTCTCAATGTCAAAAAGGGTCAAAAAGGTATTTTTTCATCTTGCTTTAAATTGACTAAATTTTTTTTTCAAAATCATCTACATGTTCTCAGAAATTCAAATATGACTTTAGATTTGACATTTGACCTTCAATGACCTTCTCAAGGTCAAAAAAGGTCAAAAAGGTCTTTTTCAACTTGCTTCAAATTGACTAATTTTTTTTTCGAAATCATCTACATGTTCTCAGAAATTCAAATCTGACTTTAGATTTGACATTTGACCTTTAATGACCTTCTCAAGGTCAAAAAAGGTCAAAAAGGTCTGTTTTCAACTTGCTTCAAATTGACCAAATTTTTTTTCAAAATCATCTACATCTTTTCAAAAGTTCAAATTTGACTTTACAAGTTCTCAGAAGTTCAAATCTGACTTTAGATTTGACCTTTGACCTTCAATGACCTTCTCAAGGTTTAAATTGACCAAATTGTTTTAGGTGGTGACATTTTGTCATGTTAATGCCTTGTTTCTATATTTTTTCATAAAAAATGTGAGCCCAGTAGACTGTTCACCGAAGCAAGACTTGCCTTTTGATTTTTAATGTACATGTGGTAGTGTATTTTTTATCACACCATCGGTGGGATATAGTCGTCATACTGGTCGTGGTCATGATCGTGGTCGTGATTGTGATCATCCCGCTTTTTGTCATCGCCGTTTAAGGAAAACTGCTCATCAGATTTTCTCCAAATTCGCAGAGATGATAGAGCATATGAAGTACTAGAGCTGATTAACTTTTGGGTGGCCATCTTGTTTTCTGGTGGCCATTTTGAAGGTTTTTCGAAAAATCTCGTCATCACCATTTCAGGAAAACCGCTCATTGGATTTCCTTCAAATTTACACAAATGATAGAGGATATCAAGTACTAGAGCTGATTAACTTTTGGGCGGCCATCTTGTTTTCTGCCAGCCATTTTGAAGATTTTTCGAAAAATCTTGTCATCGCCATTTCAGAAAAGCGCTCATCGGATTTCCTTCAAATTTACACACATGATAGAGGATATCAAGTACTAGACCTGATTCACTTTTGGGCAGCCATCTTGTTTTCTGGTGGCCATTTTGAAGGTTTTTCGAAAAATCTTGTCATCGCCAATTCAGGAAAACTGCTCATCGGATTTCCTGTACATGATAGGGGATATCAAGTTCTAGAACTTATAAAATTTTGGGTGGCCATCTTGTTTTCTGGTGGCCATTTCGAAGGTTTTTCGATAAATCTTCTCATCGCCATTTCAAGAAAACCCCTCATCAGATTTGCTCCAAATTCCCACACATGATAGAGGATATCAAGAACTAGAGCTGATTAACTTTTGGGTGGCCATCTTGTTTTCTGGTGGTCATTTTGAAGGTTTTTTGATAAATCTTGTCATCACAATTTTAGAAAAAAACGCTTATTGGATTTCCTTCAAATTCGCACACATGATAGGGGATATCAAGTTCTACACCTATTTGATGGTGTGATCTCGTTCACGTCCTGTGCCTTGTTTCTGTTCACAATTATCCAAAAGGACGATTCTCGGTTTGGAGAACAGTCTCCTGGGCTAATAATTTTTTTCATGAAATATATAGAAATATTACCCAAATTAAACTATGAATATTCAAAAGAGGACATTTAAATCTACAAGATGTAAAAATAACAAATTGGTCTGAAGCAGGGATAACGCTCAATTAGACCGATTCAATAAAATACAAGTCTCGATTTGGGGAAAGAAGTTCACCAGTGTACTGCGCTAATACTTTTTGCGAAAAATCAAGAAATATTTCCCAAAATAAATTATGACTATTCAAAAGAGGACATTCAAATCTATATTATTATTATTGAGGGACACCTATAATGCCACTGGCGATTGGGTCCCTCATGTATGATATGTACTTTTAATGATTAATGGCAATAAAATCTCTTGATGAAAAAAAAAAAAAATTATGTAAAAAAAATCAAATTTGTCAGAAGCAGGGATAATGCTCATTTAGATTGATGAACTTCGTTCTCCAAACCGAGAATCGTCCTTTCAATACTTGAAGTATTGCATTGTTAATCTGTTAATGGACAATTTACCTTCTGTTCACAGGGGTTATGAAAAAAGGTGGAATCAAAATATGGTTTTCTGATATTCTTTTTCTTGATGGCATTCCACGGGTGTCAACAAATGGCATGTGGTGACATTTTGCATGTTAGTGTTCTGTTCAACATCAACACAGAAAACTCCCCTATGACTCCTGGTTCAAAAGCTCGCCTATTTTCAAAATGGCCACCATTTTTGTCTTGCAAAATTCACTTTTGCCCCATTTCCTAGCTTTTCAAATCATATCAGGTGTCTTGCATTGTAAAAATCCATGTCAATGTAAAGAGTAGTTGTATGAAATAATTTTTTACAATAAATCAGCAAAAAATTATATCCATTTTTTTATTTTCAGCCATTTTAGTTGACATTGATTTGTCCATCTGTCTCATGAAATCTACTTTTCCGTCAATAATAGTGGCACGTTTTAAAACTTCTGTCGATAGGATTCCTGTTTTAAGTTATTTCTGCTCAACATTAATACAGAAAACTCCCCTATGACTCCTGGTTCAAAAGCTTGCCTATTTTTAAAATGGCCGCCATATTTGTCTCGCAAAATTCACTTTTGACCCATTTCCTAGCTTTACAAATAATTTCAGGTGTGTTTCATTGTAAAAAGCCATGTCACTGTAAAGAGTAGTCGATGAAATAATTTTGTTACAATATTTGACAAAAAATTATATCCGTTTTTTATGTCCCCACCACATAGTGTGGGGCCATATTGTCGGCCTATGCGCGTCCGTCTGTTTGTCTGTCTGTCCGTCCGTACATCCGGCAGTTTTCTCCAAAACCGCTACAGATATCACCTTCGAATTTTCAGGGATAAGTTATAAGTGCTTACAGATGTGGATGGAAAAAATTTAACTCGATACCTACTTCCTGTCGGCCATTTTGAAGTCAAATGCTAAAATCCTTGTCTGCAAACTTTAAGAAAAACGGCTTCACAGTTGCTTTTAAAACTTTAATATCTTGTTCAGCTTACTTCATTCTACATCTGATCAGGTTTTGGACCTGTTAGCTCAGTCATGTCAGCCATTTTGAATGTCTTAAGAAAAGTTAGCGTGCGATAATACTTTGTATCATATTGAATGGTGTTTTTGAGTTTTCATACTTTAACAATTTAGTAGCTTTATAAATAATTTCAGGTGTACTTTGTTGTAAAAGCCTATGTTATTATCCCATCGAACGAAGTTCGGAGGGATATAGGGAACGCCTCCGTCCGTCCGTCCGTCCGTACGTCCGTCCGTCCGTCCGTACGTCCGTCCGTACGTACGTCCGTCCGTACGTACGTCCGTCCGTCCGTCCGTCCGTCCGTCCGTCCGTCCGGGCAATAACTCAAATACCGTTGGCCCGATTTTGTTCATATTTTGTACACATATACCCTATGAGAGTAGAAGTTCTGCTCGAAAGCCGATTTTCAAAATGGCCACTCATTTCAAAATGGCGGCCATTTTAGTGTTGATTTTACAGTAATTTAGGTACAATATGTAAAACTGTAATAGCAATATGTTTTAAATGTAAAAAATTATAAGGACATTAATAATGCTACAAATGTAGATATTAAAGAAGCACATGGCAGCCATCTTGAAAAATGGCGGCCTTTTACGATTTTTGCTGTAACTCAAAAAGTAGTGGAGCGATTTTGTTCATATTTGGTATGTGAATACTATAAGCATTGCACACTGTCTAAAGACACTTTTTGGTAGAAGGCGGCCATTTTGAAAAATGGCCGCCATTTTAACGTATTTTACTATAACTCAAAAAGTAGTGGAGCGATTTTGTTCATATTTGGTATGTGAATACTATTAGCATGGCACACTGTCCTATGACACTTTGGGTAGAAGGCGGCCATTTTGAAAAAAAATTTGAAAAATGGCCGCCATTTTAACGTATTTTACTATAACTCGAAAAGTAGTGGAGCGATTTTGTAGAATATTTGGTATGTGAATACTATAAGCATGGCACACTGTCCTATGACACTTTTGGTATAGAAGGCGGCCATTTTGAAAAAATTTTGAAAAATGGCCGCCATTTTAACATATTTTACTATAACTCAAAAAGTAGTGGAGCGATTTTGTTCATATTTGGTATGTGAATACTATAAGCATGGCACACTGTCCTATGACACTTTGGGTAGAAGGCGGCCATTTTGAAAAAAAAATTGAAAAATGATCGCCATTTTAACGTATTTTACTATAACTTGAAAAGTAGTGGAGCGATTTTGTTCATATTTGGTATGTAAATACTATAAGCATGGCACACTGTCCTATGACACTTTTGGTAGAAGGCGGCCATTTTGAAAAAAAATTTGAAAAATGGCCGCCATTTAACATATTTTACTATAACTCAAAAAGTAGTGGAGCGATTTTGTTCATATTTGGTATGTGAATACTATAAGCATGGCACACTGTCCTATGACACTTTGGGTAGAAGGCGGCCATTTTGAAAAAAAAATTGAAAAATGATCGCCATTTTAACGTATTTTACTATAACTTGAAAAGTAGTGGAGCGATTTTGTTCATATTTGGTATGTGAATACTATAAGCATGGCACACTGTCCTATGACACTTTTGGTAGAAGGCGGCCATTTTGAAAAAAAATTTGAAAAATGGCCGCCAGTTTAACGTATTTTACTATAACTCGAAAAGTAGTGGAGTGATTTTGTTCATATTTGGTATGTGAATACTATAAGCGTGGCACGCTGTCTATTTCTAATGACACTTTTGGTAGAAGGCCATTTTGAAAATGGCCGCCATTTTAACGTATTTTACTATAACTCGAAAAGTAGTGGAGCGATTTTGTTCATATTTGATATGTGAATACTTTTAGCATGGCACATTGTCTAATAAAACTTTGGGGAGTAGTCGGCAATTTTGAAAAATGGCCACCATTTTTATGTGTGTTATTTTACAAGTTCGTGTGCGATTTTTCATAAATTTTAGAGGTGGCTACTTAAAAGCATATTATTTCTTCTGATGACAACTTGGCTAGTGAGCAACCATTTTGAAAATGGTGGCCTTTCTGGTGTGTTATTTTATGATATTTGCTATATATTTCGTTTGTAAAAATGCCAGCCATTTCTGTTCGATGGGATTCGCTACGCTTTGGCGTTGCCGTTGTTCTGGTTCTTATTTTGGATTTTTCCATCTTAAAATCTTGTCTGTAAAGTCTTGTCTGCGTTTTCAGGTGAATCGTTTGGTAGATCAATTTCAAATTTTCAGGGATGATTCTTAGTATGAAAATCTAGATCTGATTACTTTTTGGGCATTCTGGGTAAATGCCAAGGCAGCCATTTTGAATTTTCCGTCTTAAAAATCTTTTCTGTAAAGTCTTGTCTACGCATTTCCAGGTGAATCGTTTGGTAGATCAATTTAAAATTTTCAGGGATGATTCTTAGTATGAAAATCTAGATCTGATTAGTTTTTAGGGGTTAAGGGGAAATGTCAAGGCAGCCATTTTGGATTTTCCGTCTTAGAATCTTGTCTGCCAAGTCTTGTCTATGCGTTTTTAGGTGAACCGTTTGGTAGATCAATTTCAAATTTTCAGGGATGATTCTTAGTATGAAAATCTAGATCTGATTAGTTTTTTGGCATTCAGGGTAGATGTCAAGGCAGCCATTTTGGATTTTCTGTCTTAAAATCTTGTCTGTAAAGTCTTGTCTACGCGTTTTTAGGTGAACCGTTTGGTAGATCAATTTCAAATTTTCAGGGATAATTCTTAGTATGAAGATCTAAATTTGATCAGTTTTTTGGCATTCTGGGTAAATGTCAAGGCAGCCATTTTGGATTTTCCGTCCTAAAATCTTGTCTGTAAAGTCTTGTCTACGCGTTTTCAGGTGAACCGTTTGGTAGATCAATTTCAAAATTTCAAGGATGATTCTTAGTATTAAAATCTTGAACTGATTAGTTTTTTGACATTCTGGGTAAATGTCAAGGCAGCCATTTTGGATTTTCCATTCTAAAATCTTGTCTGTATAGTTTTGTTTACATGTTTTCTGGTTAACTGTTCGATGGATAAATTTCAAAATTTCAGGGGTGGTTCTTAGTATGAAAATCTAGAACTAACTAATTTTTTGGCATTCTTGGTAAATTTTAAGGCGGCCATTTTGGATTTTCCATCCTCAAATTGTGTCGGTAAAGTCTTGTCTACTTATTTTCAGGATAACCATTCGATGGGATCCCCCATTGGTGGGGACATTTTGTACACATTTGTGTTCTTGTTTATTTTCTGTCATTTTAGCCATCATTCACTTTTGAGCAACACAGTGTGAGCCCAGTACCTATGGTACTATCTTTTCATTTGTTTTGCAGATCTTTAACGAAGATGGTGAGTTCTTGTGTCCTGTTAAGCTGTCAGAGAGAATCTGGAGGCCTTCTGATATACAAATTACTCCAGATGGACTGTTATACATGTCTAGTTTATTAGGACATTGTGTTAAAGTATATGAACTACAAAACTAAAAACATGGATATCACTATCACTAGTGTTGTACAACAAATGAACTATAGAAGGAAAACATAGATATCTTGTGACTGTTCTGATAACATGTTAAAGTATATCAAATGCCAAACTATAAACATAGACATAACTACTCACAAGTCTTGCCAACATTGTGTCAAAGTGTTTGAACTGCAAACCTAAAAATATGGACACCACTAGTCGTGTACAACATTGTGTTTAAGTAAAGGGACTAAAATAAAAACATGGATATTTTGTGTCTGGTTAGTATGTATATTGTGTAAGTATATCAAATATAGAACTATAAACATGCACATCACTAGTCTTGCAAACATTAAGATTTTGTTGTGTTAATTAGGAAACTTAAAACATGTACAGTATGCTCTGCTTAAACGATATTGTGTTAAAGTATATGGACTATTAAACAAAAACATGGATATCTTGTGTCCGTTTGGATATCATGTACATGTAAGAATATCAAATACTAAATCAAAAACATGGATATCATTATTCACTAGTGTTGTACAATATTGTGTTATAGTAGAAAGACTATGAAACGGAATTATGGATAGCTTTTTTCTGTATGGATAGTGTGTCTAAGTATATCAAATATAAAGCTGTAATGGAGAGCCATGCTAGATATTGTAAGGATATTATGCTAAAGTGAATGAAATTCAGAACTAGAAAACATGGAATTCACTAGTCTTGTACAACATGGTGTTAATTAAAGTACATTGATTAGGAAACCAAAAACTAGTACATTTCTTTCATTTGCTTAGACAAAAATTGGGGTTGAAGAAAAAATCAGTGAGAATTGAGATTTCTTTAAAACAATTGCGAGAAAATCAGGTTTTCTAAAAAAAATTGGTGGAAAATTTAACAATAAATCAGGAGATCATATGAGAAAATCAAGCACTAAAATATTTGGGATTTGTCCGGATTTTAATCAGAGTCTCAAATTGTAACTTCGAACCAAAGGAACCCAATATTTAAAGGCCCACTTAACGTAATCAAAGATTACAATTAATTATCAAAAAATTGATCTGTCAAGCTATACATATCAAGTTTCTATCAATATCATTGAAAGATGGCGAAGTTGTTTGTATTACATGATACATTCATTTTTTGTAGAAGTGTTTCCATCTTTTAAATCAAGAGTAATTTAAAACATGCACTTTGTTTAACATGTGCGTGCACTTCTAATGATCTCTGAACTTCAAATACTTTTTTCTATGTGTGTTATTTTTTCTTGGTTCAATATAAAAATAATTCAAACTTTTTGTCATATTTGAGCGAGTGTGTAACATGTTTCAATGATTATTTTTTTCTTCTAAATTAAGTATTGTTTGCCTTTAGATCAAACAACCTGTATCAAAGTATTCACTCTCATTTTCAAACTCATTTTCAATTCCATCATTAGAACGTTTTTGACAACAGTTTGCGTGATTTGCATTAGTGTGAGACCGGCCCACCATAGAATTTTAAAACATTTTGAATTGTATCATAGAGTGCAACAGGGGGGAGATTAATTTGAGGTTATAGTTAAAACATTTTGAATTGTGTCTTGTAGTGAGGAAGAGGAGAAGAATTTGAGGTTTTAGGTTTAGGTAGTGTAAAAGACGTGAGGGAAGTTCGAGGAAGGCTAGCAGCGAGTCAGATGCTTCAATTCATTTCACAAATGGGGAAACGGTGTTATAAGATACCCCCTGGTGGAAGGAGGTACGGATTCTGCACACCTGCTTAGGAGAATGCATGTTTGTTATGACGTGTCGCAAAAAGGTCACGCACGCATTGTTACACATTTTCGCTTTTTTAACACCACAGAATGTGACGTTTTTTGAGAAAAATGTACACATATGGAAATCCTTTCGTCCTCCATATTTGCCCTTATATCTCATAATGTTTAAGTCGAATAACTCTGATATCGTACATATATTAACAATGGGATAGGAGCATCATAAAACACGAATCAATTGATATTTTAGGTGAAATAAATATACGTGTTGCTGTGCTTGAAAATAGGCGAATGGCGTAAATTAGCCCTATTTTAATGAATTTTGAAAACCTTTCGTCCTCCACTTTTACACATACAACAGAAAACACATACTTTTGCGAACAAAATCAACTATTTATTAATAGAGTTTAGGAGCAAAATAATCATGTATGATTTATTTAAAATCGGTGTCGTATTTTTTGTTTAATGTACACCTGAAAAGCTGAAGGTAACAAAAAATGAGCAAAAAAGGTCGTTGTCAACAGATTCTATTTTTCAAACTCTATGACGTCACAATATGGGACGCTTACTAAAATCATAATTATATTGTTTGAGTTATGAGCGTTTAAAGACGAAAAATAATTCAAAATGTAACGTGTCAACAGGGGATATTTGCCAGATGTTTTGGTAAAAAACTCTTTTAAAAAAGAACGCGCAAGAATCGTGAACGGAGTGTAGTTGATCTAAAAACTCCATCGAAATAGCTTTAAAATGATATATAACTTTAATTAGAATATTATCTTATAATCCGGGGAATCAAAGTTACATTCACGCGATACCCCTAAAAAACAAATGCGCCACCTTTTTGCGACACGTCTATATCATTGACCCTGAGAATCGTGTGGTTTCCCCAAACAGGCCTGACAACGATAATGTAAGTATCAAATATGCTCATATTATGTAAGGCGCCAACGTTCACGAACAATACGATATATGGCTTATAGAATTATGAAAGTCAAATGCATGCTTTTAAATATTGAACGAATTGAGTTATCATTTCCTTTTTCAAGAAGAGCTTTTTACATCAACAATTAACTTACAATTATTTACACAAATATGATTATTGTTTCACGTGTATTTTCATTTAACTGAACAGTATTTGAACCAGGAGGCTTCCAAGGAGAAGTTCTTCATTCCCGCTCAATTGATCGGATCAGCTTACATCTAGTACGTTCGATGAACACAGACAATCTCGTACCATCATATATGCTGAACATTCTAAAGTTCATGTTATGTGACAACTGTGTATTCACTTTGACATAATGTACATTTAACAGTGTCAAAGGTATCTTCAGTTAACGACACTTGAGGGAATCTTGATAATGTCCACAATAGAGCTTGGTACTTCCCCCCTAGTATATAATACATATATAAATGTGTGTGTGGAATATCCTTGCTGCCGAAGATCGTCATATTTCTTTGACCGTAATTGATATACCGATTACCTTTCGAAAAATATCGGTATTTACTTATAGTGGAGTCAGCTATAAAGTCTATAAAACCTTAGAATAACCCATGTTATATATAAAGCACCATTTTTTGACCAAAGTTTCATTAGAACATAGTTTTTTTATATCTAACTAAGTGATGTTGTAAAGTGAACCCTACATTTAAAGATCTAATAGCAAAGGTTTTGCAAAAATGAATCAATGTAGTATAAAACAACAAGCAAAACCTCGTCTTGCGAGGCCATTTTGATTTGAAACATCTTGAATTTGGTGTCAAAATTAAGCTGGTCACGCCCACTTTCAGAGTTATCAATGAATCATTTACTACGACTACTATATTCATTTAGGAGGCGTGTAAAGTTAACCAATCAGAAAGACAATTGTTCCATATATGGCAGTTCATTAACATATTCAGTGTTTACTACTGCTTTTCGCGTCATGACAACACGAGTAGTAACCAATCAAGATGCCGTATTTTATCACGCCAGTTCAGAGTGACATGCACACGGCATGTAGTCTGAGCTGATCGCGATGTTGAACTAATTTCTTCTCAGAATTTGTCCAGAGAAATCAGCGATTCTAAATTAAGGTAGGACCTGCCATTTATTCCTGTACGAGTTATAACTTATCTCTATCGAATCCTAAAGTTTTGGCTGCAGATATGAAGCATACGTTTTAAAACGAAGCGATTAATTTGACGATCTGATTTTGCAATTTGCAATGGCCAAATTACTGCAAGTCTGCGTGCATTTGACAAGAGATAGCGCCAAGTCTTGTATCTAAATGCTTGTTAAGCCACTATAAAACAAGATCCATATTTTCTAAATTTGATAACTTTGCAGAAAACCTGTTTTCATAACCTGTTTTCCGCGTCTAAATTCAAACTGAGTAGGATAATAGGATCACTGGGATCCTCAGTCAACAACGTATCTTCATTCCAGAACTCACATTTTTAGTTGATTCCCCGTCATAGTACTTGTCTAAAGTCCCCATATCTGCTCTCTTACTGGCATACTTGGACACATTTCCCCTCCTTAAATATTGTCCTCAGTCAAATTACACCCTCTCTCCGATTTATATAGCCATTTCCCAGAACGGCCGGGAATCAGAATCGCTGATGTTTGCCATATTGAACATGTTGAAATATGTACTGTAATATCTGTAATACTGGACATTGCCTGCTACGTGTAATGGTCACGTGACTAGCGCGATACAGGAGAAATGGGGAATTTCAAAACAACAATTTTTGGGTACTTTTATTGCAAATTTCAGGTATTTATAAGTGTTTGTGGTATAAAATATAATCCACAGACATAAATGAACATCCAAACTACATATTTTATTAAGTTTTGGAGCCTTTTTTGCTCTTAAATTAACATCTTTAATAGCAAGTGGACGGTTGGTACAACGCGAACTTACAGTTGGTATTGCTTAGGTGGAGAACCTATTTGAACATCTGATGGGCAAGTTAAATGCTTTTTTTACATCGCAGTCTAGTCTGGTTGCATTGTTTCTATTGTCAACAAGTAAATGTATTCTATGACCAAAAAAACGCAAGAAATGGGAGAGGAGACGCCCATAGGAATAAAGACCTCCACCAATCATCAAGTCAAAGAAACAAAACCCGGGTAAACTGCATAAATCATTGGAAACTAAGCTATATCTCTAAATTTTTGGCTTAAAAACATGTAATTAAATTTAATTAAAACTGTAAATTGTAGTATCACGAAACCACGCGGTACTAACTTCGACCGTTAATTTGAATTTTTGAAAATCAAGGATTGTGAGTCTCATGTTGCACCGTTTTTCTTCAAACTTGTTCCATTCAAAGCATAACAAAAAATGCCTTTCTGTTGGTACATTATTCTGTTATACAGAGTCACTACTTTCTGCGGGTCCCCAGCTTCTCACAGCTAGGGACCAAAACGCTGCTAAAACGCACCGACAGAAAAGCAACTTTAAATGGAACAATTTTGAAGAAAAACGGTGCAGTATGAGACACGCTATCCTTGATTTTCTAACATGACACTTTAAAAAGACTGGTGAATGTGATTTCATTTTTTAAGTGAATAAATATTGGTTGGTTTATTTCATCAGTAAGGAATACAATTGATTTTGATTACGACAGTATTGAAAACTGATCAGTAAATCAAAAGGGCATCAAATCACGAATAGTACAACTTTTCCTGCGTACAAAGGCAGTGAACAAAATGACATGTTTAATTGTTCGTTTTGCTGTATCGGTAATGATTTAACCGTTTAATTTGCATGGCGAAACATTTGAAATGCAGCTTCAACTTACTTTAGCTGAAATCTGAGGTTTATCAAAAAGGAAAGATTTTCGGCAACCATGTTGAATGAAGCGAACTGCAGTTAGAGTCAGCCAGCTGTGGAACAGTGATATTAGGGAGGACTTGTGCCATTTACAATTCTGAACAGTAGTTGTATGATTCGAGAATGACCAATTAAGATTTAAAACCTTATTTGAAATGTACCTTCTTGTACATTGATCTACTCGTAACATTATATTCCTAAAGTAAATATATAATATATAGAACACAATTCATGCGATAAAAGGTATGGTCAAGGTTTACTCACTTCGAGAGCCATGTTAGATTTTGAAACTTATGGCTCTCAAACGGGGAAGTGAACAGCTGATCAATAGTGACCTTTGAAATCGAATTAAGTCGATCCGCGGCTTACTTTTGGTCTCTAACTGTGTCTTACATCAGTATCATCAATCGCGCGCCGTGTAAGTATTGGAGCGCTGAAGTACTTCCTTTTCGATCAAGACTTGTGATTGTTAGTCGAGCGAATCTTTTTACTACCAAATTCCAATATGGCGTTTTCTGCTCGGACATTTTCGTAAATCTCCGGAGGTTGTCCGAACCTAACTAATTCTCAAAATTCATTTCGTTCGGCCCAAATGCCCTAATACGTCACGAAAAAAGTAGTTTTCAAAAGTGAATGTAGTCCCAACACAATTGTGATCATGACGAGTCAGTAAGCTAGTATGTAGGCACAGTTGTCATCTTTTTGCAATGACAACATGCCATTTCTTCTGAAAATGCGTTTATTCGGGTTATCTGAAGGAAAATTTCGAATCAAGTGGCGTATTAATTTTGCCTTCATTTTTATGAATTTCAATTACTGTCGGCAGAGAGAGGGGGTAGTGTCACAATTGACCAATTATTTCAAAAAGTAGATGATTGGCCCCTATTGAGTTTAGTGTCAAAATGTAGCTTAGACATAGGTTTAGAACCTCAGATAGGCCAGTGAGGCCACGTAAATCCATAACTCGAGATAAAAAGTCAGGCGTTTGCCCTTTTGCCCATTGACTAGTATGGTGACATGAATTAGGGCAGTTTGGCCTATTATCGTTGCGTATCTCGCTCCTAGCAAACCGCCATATTGGAAATTAATAGGTCTAAAGACATTCACTCGATGAACAATTTACAAGTCTTGATCGAAAAAGAAGTATTTCAGCACTCTAATACTTACACGGATTGATGATTCTGATGTAAGACACAGTTAGAGACCAAAAGTAAGCCGCGGATCGACTTAATTCGATTTCAAAGGTCACAATCATTCAGCTGTCCAAATGCTCCGTGGGAAAGATATTATATCAAAATCCAAATAGCTTTCGCAGGAAGTAAGTGAAGGTTATATTTCAATCACGTTGATATTCGGACTGTATTACATGTACATTTGAAGCGTTGTCTCGTAGCAACCCAGTATATGTTTTGAAACATAAAATACATACCGGTATTTGTTTGATTTTGTCATATCTCAACTTGCCAACACGATTTTCAGATTTTAAGCATGCAAAGTTACATGGTAAAGAATTTTCAAAAGCCTTTCAAAAAAGTTTATTTATATGTACTCTTCTGAGGATCACAATTTGACTGTTTAATCACAATACACACGTGGATGAGATCAGATCGTGTAGTTACATTTCAATCGTGTTTACAGCATCCTTACTCTGTGGAGTCGCCCCAATCTGAATAGGATAGTTTCTAAATAGCAGAAAAATCAATGAAATCCAGTGCTGCCATCTTTTATTCAGCTTTTAATTATGGCTTGAGTTCCATTCACTTACATGCTAAAATCTTGGAAAAGTGGCTTAATTTCATGATTTATCAAAGTGTGTTAGTTGAATCTGTATAAAACTTGAAATCTGATATACCTCATGATGACCCTGTTTATGTACATGTTGTGATTAAACATACAAATGTTGATTGACAAACAAATACTCCACGGTTTTTAAGAATTTTAGCATTGCATCTATGGATATATGGCCCAAGTTTTTTTTAAATTGTCATAGGAAATTATTCAAATTACATAACTGTGTAAATTAAAGCTATTATAGGAGAAAACATTTCACTGAATTCAAATATGCCATTTAAAAGAAGGTGTTGTAAGTCATAGAGGTCTAATATGCAAGTCTCTTAGAATCCCACGAAAAACGAGATTTAGCGAGATTTCAAAAGCTATATGGAAACTATACTATTGAAACTGGCAGATATGAACGCCTGGCTATCCAAGATAGACTTTGTGTGATTTGCAATGAAGAGGACGCACTTGTGGAGGATGAAAAGCATGTTATAATGGTAGTGAATATGATGTGTTAAGTGAATGTGATATGTTGCATAAAGTGTCAACTAAATTAACATTTTTTAAGAAAATCACGAAGAACGATTCAAAATACTTATGAGTGATCATGGAATTTACCTATACGTTGCCAGGGCCTGAGGCCAAATCCTCAGGACCAGAGAGCGGGTTCTATATAAATAAGACGGGTGTCTTATAGGCCGATGTCAGCCCGGGGTTCGTGTTTATTTGATATTTTATGTTAAGTTGTACCCAAGACACTATAAAAAAATTTACAATACAATACAAAATACCTTAATACAAATTAAAAATACTTGGATGACTAAAAATTAGGCGACTCTTGCAACATGTCTCCCATGTATTTTTGCCGAACCACTCTCCACAAACACACATGCTCCAATCTAGGTTTATATCTATAATGCCTGGGTCACATTTGCTCCGATCCATCGGCCGGCGCCCGGCCGATTGAGTGTTTTGTTCAATATTGTTTTCAATTTTGAACAAAATACTCAATCGCCCGGGCGCCGTAGTGAAAATTTGAGCCTATGTGACCAAGGCATAAGAGAACAGTGAATTGATACACTATTTTGTTTGGGTTACCTACTCCATATGATTCTCCCTTAAATACGTATACACAAACGAAATCCAAATCCAGTGAACTGTGAGTCGATGGCATGCAAGCGACTTATAAAAAGAAATCAGTGAACTGAAACTGTATGAAATGCAATTCGAGTAATCACACTGGACTAGACATAAAAACAACATTGAACTAAGTCTATTAGTCTAAAGAGCCCCTAAACCGTACATCGAGGAGTTAACATCAACTGCTTCGAGCAAATGTAAGTGAACATCAGTTTATTTTAGTTTGGAAATTTTTACTTTTGAATTTTAGTTTGGAAAAACATAATTATGTAACATTTTGGCAAGGTAGCTGGGTACGCCCATGGTGTCTTTCAAACAATTTATTATGTGGTCATTTCAATATCAAGCGTTATAGTGGGGGGAATTTACCCCTATATTTGGCAGAATATTTCAGATGGTGATACAAGTATAAACTTTTGCTTTTCTACTACTTCAAACCTTTTTAAAAAAATCTGTCCCTGTGATCAATGGATTTTTTTACTTTTTCCCCCCAAAATCCAAGATGGCCGACACACTATAGCTCGGAAAATATATATAGCTCTGATTTGGCAAATACAGCTGTAATATAAAGTTTAAATTGTGTTTTCAGGACTAAATGCACTAATAGGGACACCACATAATGAATGCCATGAGCTTAAGTCAAAATAGATAATTATATGGGAGTTAAGCAAGGTTCATTTCTGGCCCCCCTCTTATTTTGTTCATTTTTAAGTTTGTATAACCCTACTCCTATGAATTAAACATAATTAGTAAGACTGTTCTTAAATTTTAGATTTTTATGCTCTGCTACATATCAAATTAGTTTGTATAAATGACCGTAGCCTAAAGAATTGAAGGATTTTCACAAATAAATGGTTTATTGAGTACAGACATTTACCATGCACTTACAATTACAGACTATTACAGCGACATCAGGACCACTAAAAGCAAATTCAATTATTCATTAAATTTTGGTTGAGATTAAAAACATTAATATAGTCCACCAATGTATTCTATGCATTATTGAGTATGAATATGAAATATGTGGTTTTCCATGACTCTTCAATAAGGAGGAATGAAATACCAAGCAGGAAGGTGATGTGAAATTTGAGTAAGAATTTGCAAAATTTAATCTAACAAAAATCTACCATTATTTGTAGAATTTTGATTAAATGTAAAATATTAATTCATCCCATAAATACATCTTATGCATTCTTTCACGGTGTTCAACCCAAACGCTCTTACATGCACAATGGAATGTTTCATCCACGCGGAAACGGGGCTAATGAAGATCCCACTATGACTGTAAGTATTGTTTCACTAGTTTCTCTTACATATCACGCGCGCGTTATGGTGACATATTATGTACCATTCGATGAACAATACCCTGAACAAAGATCTTATTTATTCAACTTCTGGTGGTAAACTGTTATTTGCTTGATCAAACTCCGTAGTGTAGATCAAACAAATCTGAAGTTGACGAATTGACCACAAATTACGAATTAAATTAGTATTTATATGAAATTTGCTCTAAAACATAAAACTATTGACAAATAAACAAAAAGTTTATATGTGAATTAATCGTTCTTCTTTTGATGCCAAAGGATACAATAGATCTTTTCTTTCTCTTCTTGAAAAGGAAAGTTGAGCTTAGTACCGCAGTGTTTCCAGTTCACTGTGTTAACCAGATCGCAGCATTTCTTGAATATGAGAATGTCATCATTTTTAAGACTTGATTTTTGTTATCAAATCACGATTACGATAATGTATGGTGTGATCAAGGTTTGGAATTTGACCAAAATATACTCTGATGCTCAGGGAAGGTTTTTGACCGGAAGAATGACAAATACGTTTATGAATTTTGATAACTATACTGCTTAAGACAGCTCTTCCTAATTGCTTCAAACGTCAACAGTCATCCAAGTACAATATATCACACCCATCAAATGGTATACTTGAAATAAGTAACACATACTTCTTATTCCCATCATTGTGGAAATTGTCAGATGACTCATCATTTCCGCTCGCATACTCCAGATTGTTCTTTGCTAAGTTTCAGTAATGAAACGCTCAATCTTGCATGTAAGAGCGTTTGGGTTGGACACCGTGTCCTTTAATTGTGAAAATCAAATCAAATTATTTTGCAAAAAAAGGAAGACCAATCAAGAGAATTCAACCTACTCACATGCCTTGGAATAGCACATTAAAGGAACAGCTTACCAGACTGGTGTAGTTTGGGGACAAATGCTAAATTCTTCACCACCTGGCCTTTACGACTACATCAACTGGGGATGGGACAATAATGAAACTGTTACCCCACTGTGGACAACCCAGACACAGTCCTCCAAAGCCTGCCAAGCTCTTGTACAATGTTCATATAAAAAGCTATGTTCTGTATGCACTTGTAAAAAGCCAGGACTTACATTTTGTGACAGTATTTATGAGATTGAAATTATAACAGAGTAAAAAAAGATCCATGTGTAACTCCTTCAAAGGCTATTTTGTATTTGGAAGAGAATAATTTAATTTGAACCTGAAATATAAGATTGAATGATGTTTGAAATATTATCTTTATTCAAGAAAACAGGTTCATTCACTTAAGTTGTTGCAAAATAAGAGCCCTCCCAAAATACTAGATGTAAACAACATGCTTTACTACTGAAACAGTATTATTTTTAAACCACATTTATCGCTATATATCAATCTACAGTGTTATTTGTACCAAATTATGCGTATATGGCGGCCATTTTGATTTTTTCTTGAAATACTGTTTCAATAACAGATGTAAAAAATCAGGACTTACATGTACAGACTTGTGCAATTGCACATGCAATTCTGTATAAGTCATTAACATTTTATGACAGTATATATGGGATTGTGATTATAACAGAGTAAAAAGGAACCATGTGGAACTCCTTTAAAGGCTATTTTATACTTGTAAGACAATAATTTAACTTGAACTTGAAATATTAGATTGAAAAGATGTGTGAAATATTATCTTATTCAAGAAAACAGGTTCATTCACTTCAATTGTTGCAAAATAAGAGCCCTCCCAAAATAGAACCTTGAAGAATCCCTATATAAAGTCATTTTGTCCAAATTCAAATCATTAATGAATGTGACTGTATTTCTAGATGTAAACAACATACCTTACTACTGAAACGGTATTATTTTTAAACCACTACTCTATATATGAATCTATAGTGTTATTTGTACCAAACTATGCATATATGGCGGCCATTTTGGATTTTTTCTTAAAATAGAGTTCGCTTTAATCGATCACAGGGATGGAATTTTTCCTAATAGCATAATAAGAGATGTAAAAAGTCAGGACTTACAAATACAGACTTCAGTTGTTGCAAAATAAGAGCCCTCCCAAAATAGAACCTTGTAGAATCCTTATATAAAGTCATTTTGTCCAAATTCAAATCATTAATGAATGTGACTGTATTTCTTGATGTAAACAACATGCTTTACTTCTGTTCCAATATTATTTTTAAACCATATTTATCTCTATATATGAATCTAGAGTGTTATTTGTACCAAATTATGCCTATATGGCGGCCATCTTGAATTTTTCTTGAAATAGTGTTCGGTTTTATTGATCACAGGGATGGTATTTTCCTAATAACATAAATAACAGATTAAGCCATTAAATTTGCTTGTATCACCAATTGAAATATTTTCCAGCAAATTCCCCCCACTATTAGTTTAACGAGAGAAAACTTAATGGAGTAGAAGTCACACATTTCATTCTATCATGACATCCACCTCATGAGATCATATATGGCCTTATCGTAATGTATAATCCCCATGTACTTACGAAACCGTAATTCATTCAATTTTTATTGTAAAGACGCATATTTTCTCTTTTTTGGTTTTCTGACGCTTTTATTTTTACATTCTTTTCTTTTAGATATGTTATTTGTTAAAACTATGTTATTAAGTTCAAGTTTAATAATCCATCTACATTTTTTATCATGTTAGTAATATTGTTTGTCAACATTTCTATCTGTGTTACATTTCACCTTTGTATAACCAGCTGAATATATATTTTAGATTTCTTAACCCGAGTTGCCCTGCATGTGCCATTGACCAAGATGGCGAAAACGAGCTTGTTGTTAGTGACGTGTACGACAGTGCTGATCAGCCATGTCTTGAGCCTACCTCTAAATGTTAACAATGTAGATAACAGATTTGAAGTACTGGAACGTATGTTGGAAAATTCCGGACTAACCAAGGAACAGAGATTAGGAATATTGCAGGTGCTATATGATTTGAAGGTAAGTAAGCTAATAAGGGATGTAGACTTGTTTCTTATGAAGGAGGCTTAGTCGGCTACCGGGTTAACCTACTATTTCATGATCAACTCGTTTAAATATGAGCGGATTAGTGGCAGGTACTATTCATATTTAAATGAGTTGTCCATAAAAAAGCAAGTAAACCCGGTAGCCGACATGCGTTAGTTGTATTCGCGAATACATGCTTATACTTGAAGACTTTTTCTTGTAATATACAAACTTTTTACTTTGCAAATAAGAAGTCTTCCACATGATTTGAAATTAAGCACATACCAAAATCAATGCCATATCTCTTTTTCACAAATATATTGTATCGCACATTCACAATGACCTGTTCACGAATTTTTTTTTTCAAAATAGACACAACGGCATGGAAATATCAAAAATAAAGTTCACGTCATGGCTTTCCACCAGTCTCAGTAAGATATGTGGCAGCACTTGAATACTACTCTACTTAAGCGTGCTCTAAGTCAACTTACTCTAGTCAACATACTCAATTACAATTAGAAATCAATTAATGGTGTCTATTAAGCCGTTTTTTAAAAAAAGTATTTATTATATGATATTGAAATGTAGTTTTTAAACTTGTGACACAAAAATAAAATATTTAAAACTAAATTAATAGAAATGTTATTATTTGAAGGAGGGACCTTCCCCGGACCTTGTAAAACTCATTAAAGAAAACAATCTTGAAGAATTGCTTGGTGACACTGATGGTGAAAGTGAGACAGGCAGCAAAGAAGATTTAAGCGATATAGATGACGTCGTGTCTGATGGAGAAGTTCCTGATAAGGCTATAGCCAATGATAAAGCAAATCAAGCTAAAACAATAAATGATGACGACCGTTCCGATAGCGCCCCAGAGGAAGATTTAAACCAAGAATTTTATGAGGCAATAGCTAGTGATGTCATCAATCAAGTTCAGGAAAGCATCATTGGACAAGCTTCTAACCAAAATACCGTCGTTCAGAAAGAGACAAATATAGAAATCGACGAAGACAAAATGGATGTAGATAACCCATCCATTCTGCAGTCTCTGGAACACATCGCTGGTATAAATAAGATCTAGAATGAATCCATGCAAAGTTTATGTAATGTTTCTTTTATAATCAAGAGGTATTTAATTAATATCTTATCACACAGAGAACAAAATATGATTAACAATAATAGAATATGTTTAATATATTTCGTGTCCAAAAAATGAGACACATTTTGACAAGTATTTTCTCGGCAACTGATAAACCAAATTCATTGAAAAATTCTAAGAGTGACCCTAGCAAGTTGGAAAAATAAAATAACGATCGGGTAATTATTCTTAGCCTTGCCCAAGTCGGTCTCTTTTACTATCTTGATTTCTATTATGACCGCCTTGTACCAAAGAGAAAGCCACGTGCTTTACCGACTCAATGTTTATGTCGGTAAAATTTGACCAATCAGCGACGGCCCTACAGCGTTAGCTCATTATTATGCAAGGTCAAAAACAAGTACACTTTTTACTTTTCGCCGGGACTTTTCACGAACAAACTTGCATGAATTCATCATGAAAATACAAATATTTTATCAGATAAATATCAATCAGAGTTTAGTGGATGCCGGAGCATCGATCGGTAACCGGAGGTGAGAAGATTTCAACAATAAACGTTAAAACGTAATCGCTGAATTCAAATGAACATGTAGGCTGAGATTCAATCACTGATCGACTACATGACCCGCTACATTGGACTCGGTCTTGCATTTTCATCGCGAAATCAGTTTTAAATCTATTGCATGATTTAATTTATATATCTAATTTATATTAATGACTCTTACATTCCCTATGTACATTTAATTACATAATATATTGTAACTCTAAAGAAACGATCGATCAGATCATCGGCATTGAATTTCAAATCGGGAAGATTGCTTTGCTTATGCAGGTCAACCTGATAACGTTTTTGATTGGTCAATCAGCCTGAAGTCACACGTCGTGTCCAGACTGTCCACGCGTATATCTGTTAATCCATAAGTTTTCGCGATACCCCTGATCACTGGGGATGAACTGGAAACGAGGGAGGTTTTGCCTCGTATCAAAATGGCGGCGCGTGAAAAAATTTCATTCGGTAAGATTTTTGTTTTTTACAATTTTCGTGCTTTTATCCTTCAAATTAAAACTTAATATTTGGCAAGTAAATAGTTCATAAGTTCCGGTTTTATAATATGATTACAAATTAGAAATCAATACTGGCATTGCTGAGATATTTACATATCAATTCTCTCACTTAGGAAACGAGGCATGTTTCTCAAGGAAACGAGGCAGCTATATAGCATTCTTAAGAATGAAACGAGGGAACCATATTTAATTAAAAATGTTTTGTTTTTATTACAGAACGGGGCCTACAAAAAGAAGCGTCCCTGTTCAAATGCTATTTCTGTAACACAGGAAACGACAACGTTGCTGATATTGTATTCCATATGAGGCAACAGCATGATGGCAATCTCTCTGTACGGAAACGAACGTAAGATGAGAAAAAAAAATTTGTATACACGTCTCATCATTTTTGCGTTGCCATTGAACGTGTAAGAACGCTTAAGAAGGAAGGGCATACTGTGATGATAAATTCTGATATGCAGTTGAGAATAAAGCTTGCTTTTATTCTACCTTGAAACATCATTTATTTTAATTCACGACAGCGACATCATAATATTTATGCCATCGACCATTAACATTTTTCGTATGGCTAATAATCTAGAAAATTTATGAATATTTCATTTACAAATGCATTACCATTTCTAGCATTTAAGAAAATACAAGGCATTAACATATGACACGTGTTATAACTTAGTAATAACAAATAAGTCCATTTATCTGCTACCATGGTAACATATGTTCTAAGAAATACTTGAAAGTCATAATAAGTTTATAATTGTTCACAGTAAAATATGATGTCAGTCTAAGCGGTACGCATTTGTTCAGTTTTTGAAAGTTGCTAAAATTGCTAAAGAATTTGCTATTGACGCAAAACGCCAGACGCCGAACTCCAGACGTCAGACGCCGAACATTTCCACATTTCGTTGGACTATATGCAGAATAACATAATTGATAGTGACATAATAAGGAACATACAGACATTAAAGAATACAAACAGTAAAATCCAATGTACACCAATGAGACAATGCCAGTGTGCTCCTTGACTCTGCTATTTTTGTAATATAGGCGAGTCATTTAATTATTACCATGGTTATTCGTTTTTGATCGTATCTTGAATTATATTCTATCAAATATAGCCATCTCGAGCAACAACAATGCCCCATTTGCGTACGATTAGTAGGGAGGTTTAACGGCACATGTTTTAAAGAGAAGTGTACGTAAACGTGTAAAATTGCAATCTTCAGAGAACTAGTTCTTGTCTTCAACGTCTTTATTTGCATGAATGATTACTATACAAAGGTATCAGTTAAACTGTTTTAATTGGGTCTTTGTATAAGTCAATCCAGAACGGAACTATAGTTCCCAGGGGTCATTTCACGTTTACGTTCGCCATTTCTAAAATACGTGTAGGTTAAGCTCCCTATTAAAATAGCACTTCTTTGAACGAGATTTTTCTTATTTGAGAGAACATTTTGACGATATATGCGCTACCATTGATAGCTCGGATAGCTGGCTCGTTTATTGGAATTGACACTCAAAGCAATGCTATTTAACGTTTTCGAAATATTTAAAAAATAAAACAGTATAACTCCTTAGCATAAATTTTAAGCTGCAGCAAAGAATGAATCGAGTGAAGTGCATTGACATTTTCTGTACTTAAAGATGAACCTTAACAACATGTAGCTTAACTAAATTGGTACAGTTAGACTTTTCTTTGCTGACACTTTAATCATTCCATACCTTCGGCTGTATCATCAAGTTCCTTTATCAAACATTCAGATTGTACAGATAATCAGATATACATAGGCCTTCATGCTTATCAGACATTCTTATTAGCTCATCATGTCATAGCCTAATATGTATAATTATCCTATGCCAAGAAGAGTTTTAGGGAGATAAGTTGGTAAGATATATCCCGTATCCTGATTTTGAGGTTTCCATATCCAGAACCTCCATATCTCCCGCCATATCTCCCGCTTCGGTGCATATCTTCCCGCTTCCGGTAAGTAGTGGAAATGCAATAAAATGACTTTGCATATGAATGATTTGTTTATTTTTACACCTTGTACTATTGAAATGGCCATATGCCCTTGAAAACTCTACTTGGTATAGGATAAAGCAGTTATGTACGGTCGGTTTGGATATTGGGTTCATCCCTGTGAGATATGCACATCTCCCTACGGTCCCTCAGGTAGATATGCATATCTCCCTCTGGACCTGTATATGATGTGATTGCTTTTGCCTGCATTGGAACAACTTTACCGCGCAAATAGTGTACATGTAACATTTTATGTTATACTGTTGTAATCCGATTTTGTACGTCGGATTCATCCATGTTGTCTTGCTCTGAAAGATAAGTGACCAGGCAGTGTAGCGCTTTATGAACAATATGGTTATTCTTTTTAACTCTTACATATATAATCATGTATATCGTGTAAAACGTAATCGGTCGTATGTGACCAGAACGGTGGAAATAAGATCATTAAATGTAGACACTATCACAGAAAGAATAGTTGCCTCGTTGCAAGTCAAACATTGCCTCGTTTCATCGTTACAAAATGTAGACAGGTGCCTCGTTTCCTAAGTGAGAGAATTCAAATGTAAATATCTCAGCAATGTCAGTATTGATTTCTAATTTGCAATCATATTATAAAACCGGAACTTATAAACTATTTACTTGCCAAATATTTAGTTTTAATTTGAAGGATAAAAGCACGAAAATTGTAAAAAACAAAAATCTTACCGAATGAAATTTTTTCACGCGCCGCCATTTTGATACGAGGCAAAACCTCCCTCGTTTCCAGTTCATCCCCAGTGCTGATAGCGTAGGTATTATGGAAATCTCGAAACCGTTGAATAACTCTGCATAATATCAGCGCAGGTGTATTGGATTGTACAAGGCGGTAATAATTCAAGATCAGATAAGTAAAAAATACCGACTTGGGCAAGGCTAAATTGTTCTGTGAGTACAAAGAAATTCAAAATAGCATGTCAAAAGATCCAACACCGGAGCAATGCAATGAGACCTCCATGGTGTTTGTACCAGCTATCAGCTCATAGCATCTGTTAATTAGTCAAAATAGCTTATCTGCGTGTCATGTCAAATGAATTTGTTATATTCTTTCGAAATATCTAAAATCCATTCATTTTCAAAATCATTAATGTGATATTGTTAGAATAAATACAGAAAAAGTATTTTTGCTTGGAAATGGATTAATAGGTGATCTTTAAATCGATATTGCTCACATAAACATACTCCAAATTCACACACAATGTGACAAATCTCTTACATATTCACTATTATTCTGCTATTCACACTAGCAGAAGATATCAAAGTGTCTCATCTAAAGTTTTCAGAGAATTCGGCTTTTCTATTGCTGGGAAATTACTTGTCAAATTGCTTCCCATTTTTGGAGCAAACGCTATGAAGTTAATTATTGCAGTGGTCCGGAATGGGATTTTTAGACATACTATTTTGAATATCTTAATGCTCACATAACATTTACTTGATCTTTTTCATATTTTTGTATCTTGCTGATGATACTCTTGAGCTACTTTGTATACATTTTGATTGAATTTGATTCATCATTTGCCGAGCAAATACTTTTCAAAAAGTGTCTCATTTTTGGGACACCCGATATATTTACAATTAGCTGTCTAGTTTGTTTAATGTTCTCCATGTTCTTCTTCGGACCACTAATTTATGAACAAATTCAATATTGCAGAATAAGATTTCTGTCATTATTCTAGCACTCGCCGAGTGGTGTGCTGGTCTGAATGAGTTAAATCCTCCAACAGATATTACTGTCGAAGCCAAAGAGAATAGAGCATTGGTAGATAATGAACGAGGTGCTGTAGGACGAGTTAAGCGTGAAGGCCATGCGAATGCCAAAGCGGGTACGAATTAAAACATAAATTAAGTATTGAATTGGTCCAATAAATAATCTATTCCAGCCCCATTTGTCACTACTGCACGCACATGCGATTTAACATCTTTAGACAGTCAGGTGACCAATATTAATGTTAACAAACTCTTATCATCATGATCATTGATATGATATGATATGATATATGATATGATATGATATGATATGATTTAGCCTTTTTGGCTTTTATAAGTATATGATTGTTACATCCTTAAAATCACCTTTTAAAGGTTACTTACTTCGACTCTAAAATTGGAAAATAGACGACACAAAATTAGAGGAGTCATTCCAGTTAAAAAAGATATGATAATAACATTTGATGAAGTAGAATTTTTTTCTGAAAATTGTGCGCTATGCTTAGCTACGTCTTTTGATTTAAAAACTAATTTTTACTTATCAACATCACATAAACCACAGAGGAAGGTACGGAAAGTGATGAAGATGATACAGATAGCACAGTTGACAAGGAACAGCTACTGGAGAAGATGCATGAAATTTGTACAGCTTTGAACAACCTTGAATTCATCGGCGCTCAAGTAAGACAAAAAGTGATAAAGAATTGAAATTATGGTATTGACGCTCTCAATGGTTCTTCGCATGCTCATTCATTATCGCTGTAATGGTCTATTTCATTTTATAATATATTGATCTATGCTGATGACACATCAGTATACTGTCAAGTCAAGTAACTTAGTCAAAAGAAATCTTGGGGATATGGCCTCAATTTCTAAATTTCCACTTTGTCCCTGTATACCCCTACTTCAAAAGATGTATGTTATTTGTCATTTTTCATTATGACCAACCATAAATGTATTTTTTCTTGTTTACACATAGAATGAACTTTCTGTTTTCGAATATTGAAATATGGTACTGCATTTATTTTTTTATGATATGGAGCAAACACATGCGTGTCAATTTACACTGTAATATCCTACATACTTATATACTTATAGTTTTGAAGAATAATCAAGAAAATCCTTATCAATCTTTCATCCTTGTCAAAGAACGTAAATGAGGATATTTTGAAAAACTAGCAACATGTTTCAAGTTCTTACAATTCTTGGTTAAAACAAATATTTTGATGTTGTGATTTCGAATGTAATATCCTAATTTGTTGATATTTGTGAATTTTTTCTTTTCACAGAACCTTGCCTTGTTCGTGATGCACGAAAAGTGTATTGTTAATACTTGACGTCGTTCGGATATTTGGATGTGATTTACGTTTTCGTTAATCTTCAACCACTGTAACTTCCAACTTAATTTTTGAAAGTCAAATATGATAGTCATGAATTGATATTTAAGTCACACGTTGATGCATACATCATATGTGTACATTAACTGTCGAATACATGCCGACTTACATTTATATAAATATCCACAGTTGACTCAGATTATGAATTCTCGAAACAATTTATTATATAACCTGGTGAGTTTCATTTTAATTTATACATATGGTATGGAATTTGAGTATGATATTAGTCGAGGCTTAAACAAAGCAATGAAATAGCATAAAACCTTTTGTGAAAATTCGAACGATTTTTTAAGAATCCTCCTTCAAAGTGTTACCAAAGTGCTCCCTGGGAGTGGAAATTTCGTCTTGTGCAATCAAAATAATAGCGGGTGGTTTGAATTTTTGTTTGAGTTTATAGCTTATATCTATGAATTAAAAAACATATCGCCTCAATGAGAGGTAATATTTTGGTAGATTTTGGCGATCTATCATTATAAAAGGCTAAATATTGTGCAAAAACAGGAGTTGACACGCTTACATTTGAAATTGAAATTTCCTACATACTTGTCGACCCATGTTTAAAAGTCATGAAAACAAGGTTGAACATAAAACATTGACCCAGTTACTGTCTATTTAGCATGGGATCACGAAGGGAAATATTATTAATGACTTAAATCTTTGACGGTAAAGTTGTATTCCAAGAAACTAATCAATAATGAAATGCAAAATGTTCAATTTTGTTTTTCAATTATGAAAAATGCCACCTGTAGAGATCAACGTTTACAAAATTATTTGAAACGGAGATATGCGTTGGCATGTGTCAGGGAGTAAATAAGAAGAATATGCTTATGATTCTATATCTTGTTCCTTAAGGAATTTGTTAAGGAGCGGTATATCTTCACGTACTTTTATCATCCCGAACATTTCGAACTCTTATTTCGAGAACGCTTTGTTGATAATGGATTCGAGATTTACTCAAAATGAATACTTTAAAATGTGTATAATCATCTTAATAACCACCTCACAAATTATTTTGGAAATCAAAGATGTACGATTGTTGAGATTTTTATTTTCGAATGTTGACTTAGTTACTCGACTTGACTGTATATTACCCCTTTGATCCATCTGATCCTAACATACATACAATCAATCATGATCTTTGAATATCAAAAATGGAAACTAGATTTCAAACCCGAAAAAAAACAGAGGAAGATATTTTTCAAAGCCAGCGCGGTGTACTTCCTACTCCGCCGTCAACTTAAGCCAAACTTGAAAATGGGGAAATTAAAAGGAATATTATTCATAAGCATCTAGGGTATACTTTTGATTATCTTCTTTCCGACAAAAATCATATATAAATTGACATTGTCAAAAGAGTACAAAAACTGCAGTGCTTAATCCATTGAAGACACTTACATCAAAAATTAACATTTGGAGACAATGTACAACTCATTCATTAGGCCTCATTTTTATTACGCAGACATTCTTTATCATTCATCAACTCAAGCACTGATCAATATCCCTAGCAAGTTATATTACCAGGCTGCATTATTGTGTTCTGGGTGTCTCCATGGCTCTGATACAGGTAAAGTTATGGGGGGTCTTAAACTGGTCCACACTATCCCAAAGGAGGGAACAACACATTCTTAACTTTATGTACAAAGTAATCAGAAATCAGGTACCGTCTTATGTATCTTCAATATTTGAAGAATTCAAAAATCCAGCTCCCAAAAGAACAAGCAATACAGAGGTACACCAAATTCCTATAAGGTCAACTGCCCAATTTATTAAATCCCCTATTCCTAATGCAATATCACTGTGAAACAAATTACCTAAACCTCTTTTAGAATATGCTTTAAAATTTTCCCTACCATCGTCCAAAATAATGTAACAAACACTTTCTGCCCAAGAGAATATAATCAATTCATCGTCCCTAATCAATTTAACTGGGTTTCATGAAATCACTTTCAAAAGAGCTCGTGTAGATTAATTTTTGTAAGAAAGACTTTTTGCACACCAATTTACTTTTATATACTAAGATAATAAGACTTAAATAAGATAAGCCAACTAACAAACATGGATGATAAACTTAATTTTTATATGGTGACGATACATTATCCTTAGCAGAACTAAGTAAACTTCTTATCATCGCCAGCAATTTTCTCCATGACATCAAGAGATAGCAAAGAGGCCTCGTCTAAGCCCTGGCGAACCCATAATATATTTATTTTGTTTTTACCACATCTACTTGGCACCAACCCCTCTGGTCCCTCGGTTACCATTCGATGCACGGTCGTCCTCAAACAGCTAAATATTATACTTATTAACTTTTTACATGTAAGTGATGGCCAACCTATAATGCCAATATGGCGATTGGCGGCCGAAAATGTATTGACTTTTCCTCAATAAAGTTTATGCTATACAAAATCATATGAGAGTGAAATCATTTCTATTTAATTTCTACGAATCCTATTCACAAAAGCCTTTGATTTCCTAATAATGGTATTTCTTCCTAATCCAATAGAATAGAGTTTTGATGTAATTTAAGTATTGGATTATGAAATAATGTTTCCTTGTATGTATCTGTTTTGGGATAACAATGCCTTTCTGTTAATGTATTATATAGTCATATCAATTTCTCTTTCAAGTAATGTACCTTCCCATGTATTAAATACTAGTATATAGTTAAAAAAGTGACATTAAATTCATTCTTTCACTACAATATCCATAAATTATTCCCCTTTATTTATATTACAAATATTTTCAGATTGAGACCAATGAGTTAAAGGAAGAAATAGCTTACGGATTGAAAAGATCCAACCAACCTGATGCGCTATTAACTGAACAAAAGAGGATACTTGCATCTCAAACAACGCCCCAAACTGGGCCAACAGTAAAACCTTGGACAACTCCTCGCCCTATGTCAACCGTTACACATTGGAGAACGCAACGTTCTACAGTAAGACCTTGGACAACTCCTCGCCCTACGTCAACCGTTACACTTTGGAGAACGCAACGCTCTACAGTAAGACCTTGGACAACTCCTCGCCCTACGTCAACCGTTACACTTTGGAGAACGCAACGCTCTACAGTAAGACCTTGGACAAGTCAGTTTCAAGGGCCAACAGCAACACCTGGAACATCAGCAGCTCCATCTGTCCGTAGTTTCCTGAATATTGAAGAAAAGGAAGACCTAACGAAGGAGTTGCAAGATGAAGTAATTGCATTGTTTAAAGAACTCGGCAGTGTCGAGCCGATCGACGGACAGAGTTAAGATTTACAGAATGAGCAGGTTTAGTTGTTACATGTACGTTTTTGAAAGTATAGTTATTTTGTTCAACGCCATAGATACGGTTATTTGATTGGTATTTTCCTACAATAGTTATGCAGTTTGTTTGTATTTGAATTTGTCCACCCTTCACAGACAATTGCAAATCTTCCCCAGTTGCATTTTCAATTTATTTCAAATGAAATGCTATTAACAAACTGGCAATTCTGAAGTCGCCAGCAGAAAGCTTTATATACAACGCCACTTTTTTCAAAATGCTATAACTTTTTAAATGTTTCTAACAAAATCATAATTAGCATACCAAATGAAACTTGAGGTTGTTATCTAGCCATGGATCATGAATTGAACACTTTTACTTGAATAAAGTATGTCACCGGCATCTCACTTAAACATGTCACCATGGTCTGCCATGAGAAATAAGCATAATGTTCCTGAATTGATATGGCCTGATGATCGCCAAGCTTATAGCCCTGATGCAAACCCCAGTGAGTATAGGGTATGGGAAGGTATCCAGCAAGGCAACTAAAACTAAAATATATCATCAAATAGGGTGGCGGACCAATTGAACTCCTCTTTTAAATCAAATATAATCCAAGTTGAAGGACTTTTTACATTCAATTATTGCTTAGAACCCCTGGCACTATATAACTCCAAAATTTGGGGTATGTAGGTTGGAAAATAAAAAAGTTGTGGTCATGAATTGAATGCAGGAGAAAAAGTTTATTTGAAGATGTTATGAATGGCACTAGCCCGCTCAGTTCGTGTAAAACTAGAATATCCGTACCAGACAAGTGAAATAGGTCCAAATGATCACGCTCTTACAAAGTTTTGACAACTTTTCCATTTTTAACGATTTGATGAATGTAAACAAAGGAAGTAACTTTGCTAAAGCCTAACATATACCAATACGGAACGGTGGGACCTCCATTGATTTTGACATTGGGTGGGACCTCATGGAAATCCGTTGAACTTCATTGAGCTAACTTGGGATCAAAATGACCTTGACAAAACCTTCTAAACAAAATTACATCATTTCCGTGGGACTCAATGGGATATGGAGGGACTCGATGAGACTCAATGGGGCAAAGTTAACAAGGTCTCTTGGGACATTGTGGGACTCAATATGGCATGGTGGGACTTGATGGGTCGAGTGGGATTTTGTACCATTGGAATATGTTGGCCTTAGGACCAAACTCGCGTAATGTAACATATCATATAAGTAATGTAGACAAACCCAATGCCACGGAACTGATCACTGTCTTTGAGAGAATGTAAAACACTATTATTTCCTTTGGCTTCAGGTTTCTACAACTAAACAATTTATGACACATATAATACTTATACACCCCCTCCATAAGGTTGGCAACTGCAAGTTTTCATATGATTACATATTAAGGTCTGTCAATGTTTGAACCTTGATTTTGTTCCTTATTGCTTTATTCCAAAAGCTTGATGTCTTGTTTAAAATTGCCAAACAGCATGAAAAACTTTAATAAGTGATTTAAAGGGGGACTTCCAGTTACAAAACTTATGATGGGAGTGTAATATAACACATTATCATCATAATTCATTCTTAACATACCATAACTACATGATAGAATGGCATCTGAAATACAATTTTGAAAAATGTTAATGTGAAAAGTACACAATCACATACATGTATTTCCTATTGTTGACCACACATACCCTAAACGGTTTTATGGGGTATGGCAATGATAAACTGTAAAAAATATAAAATGGTAGATAATGAATATGTTTAGCATATCATGATGTCACAAATAGTGTTAAGATTTATTTAGAATAACACTTTTTGCTATAATGATACACACTTTCTATTTGACCCTAGCAAAAAGTTCAACAACTGAAGTGTTATGTGCCACGCCCCCTTTCTTGAATTTTTAGGGGAAGGTAAAGAGAAAAATCAGAAAAATAGATACTTGTACTTTTTGTTGAAACTAATTCAAGAAATATTTGCTAACATCATCAGTGAAGTTTTAAATCAGGTTTTATACACCATAGGCCCTTACTGTTTTTTAAACGACTGATTAACTATCGACTGATTAAGAAATTTTGAAGAGAAATTATGTACTTTTAGGGACAAATTATCCCATACCTCGACCAAATTTTGTAGGTTAAGACCCAAACTTTCAGGAATTCTTCATACATGCCTTATTGATATATTGACAATGTTTCATTATAATTGCAACATCCAGAAATGAGATATTGAGTAGTTTCAAGCATATGGTCAAACTCCGACTCGAAAATAATAAAATTTGCTGACTCAGCACTTTTGAGCCTGCTTTGCAAGGGTTCACAAACTTTTTTTTACATGCCTTGGGGTCCCCTACAAGAATCTAAAGTCAAATTGAATCTAGGTGTTTTGGACACAAATCGCCTTGGCCGTAGCACTACTACTGCGCTCAAGGGCTTCGCAGCAATCTCTGTATCGAGTCGCTGACCGGATCTGCCGTTCGTAGGGGGAATGCCATCCAATTTCTGCTCTCACTGCAAGGTTTGTGGTGTATTTCCCAACTCCAAGAAAAATTCTACATGCTCTGTGTAACACTACATTAATGCAGGAATGCTGCTAAAGTCCCCATACCTCAGCACCGTATTCCAGTATTGGTCGCACTAGGCAATCGTATAATCTCGTGCAGCACAAAGAGAGGCCTACAAATGACTTATACTTTGCTGTTAAAAGACCCAACGCACGACTGGCAGATTGAGCTATTGCTTTCGCCATCAGAGAATAAACCATGTGTTCGTTGAAACTGAGTCCAACATATCTGTACGACGGTTTAACGTTGATGTCATGATTATCAAATTTAAATGCGAAGTTAGTTTGGGGTATGGTCGAAAGTGCACCACATTCGTTTTCGAAGTATATGTAGCGACCCGGGGTTGGCTAGTCATATTTTACTCTTAAATGGAATGCCAACCTTTCACCCGGTGTCGCTACTTCCCTTCCGCTCCAGAGCGCGAATAGTTCCGCTGCAGGGTCAGGGTAATACATGTAGTTACTTGAGCTAGATAGCTTTTGTATCGGGACAACTATTTTGCAAGGTTTTTTAATGTAAATCATTTTGTTAGGTAAATACTTTTTGTAAGGGTGATCTCTCGCGAGAGACGACGAGAAGATAGTTGGCGCCATGTTTTTCACTCACGAGGCAGTTTTTATTTGATTTTGATTACTTTTGATACTTGATCAGGCCTGATCGATCGTTATGGCAGCCAGAGGGATGAAGAGATTTGAGTGGCTGCAAAACTGAGGTTGTATTTTTATATTTGAACTCCACTGCAGCGCTGAGCATATTTGTAGAAATATTGTGAATTATTTTCAGATTTTTAATTTTGTCATTGCAGTCTGTTTGACTTTGATTCAACTGAGTGTGTATTTGATTTTGCTATTTGGAACAGTTGATCTTTTGTGATTGATTCTCGAGAGAATTATGTAATTTTTGGCTGGAAGATTTGGCCTAGTTTTTGATATGCTCAGCGCGCAGGTGAGATTTTACACAGCGCCACCTTTTGACAATCGCGCTTGAATCTGATGTTGTTTTCATCATAAGGGCTGAGATATAGTCGCCATCTTAGTTAATACCTTTGTAATTTGTTTGTAATTTGTCAGGTTCGACTAAAGTCAGATTTTGCTTTTAGAGCCATGTAATTTGCTTTGATTTGTATAGATAAAACTGATGTAAAACCAGATCTTAATTCTTTATTTACAATTAAACTTTAAAACTTTACTTGATTTGTCGTGTTGATTGTTTGTAGTCATTGATTGATGGTTTAGATGGAATAACAGTAAAATGGCCCTATGATTATAGCTTTCTGATATCTTCCTTGCTTCATTTCTTCATTCTGTTCCAAATCATTCTTGTTCAATTAGTGTTTCCAACTTTTGTGTCTATTCAAAGATGGCAGCACCTTACATATAGTCAAGCAATCAATCTCTTTCAGCTCAAATTAGATTCACTACGTTGCCATGGCCGTTCAGCTTATCACGCTACCATTGTTTGCTCGTTCGGTCCTGTTTGTTTGTTTGTACGGGTTGCTCTCTTGTAGTATTGGTAAGCCTAAATTGATTGATTGGGCAGCCCGTACGTGGCAGTTTCGGGATTAAGACCGGAGCTGTTACATATATAATGACATTCTCCATTTAAAGCACCATGCGCGTAGTACATCCAAAATACGTTGCACTGCCTCTTCAGTTGGGCCTATAAATGCTATATCGTCAGCGTAGACAAGGATAGAAATATTTTCTCCGTTGACGTCGACTCTCGAATTCAGAGATTTTACATCATCGATAAGTCCATTTATATATAAATTGAAGAGCAAACAAGATGTTAAAAAGCCCTGCTTATGACCAGATGCAACCTCAAATGATTCAGTTAAGTGCCCATTGAAGCTTACACAACGCCTTACGTCATTGTACATTGCTTGAAGTGCGCCCATAAAGCGACCAGATATGCCTATTTGGCTAAGCTTGTACCATAATAAATTCCTATCAATTTTGTCGTAGACTCTTCCCGCGTCCACGAAACAAGCGTTAGTGCGCTGCTTACGTTTAATCCTATGGTCGATTATGGACGAAAGAGTAAAAATATGATCTTGGCAGCTTTTACCCTTCATAAATCCATTTTGCTCTTTGTGAACTAGGTTGTTATCCTTGAAGAAAGTGGTAAGTCGAGCATACAAACTCCAGCTATACAGTTTGCAAATAGCAGACGCAACTGTTATTCCACGAAACGTGAATGGGTGGGGACTAAGTAGTGCTTGAAGCAAAAGTTAATACAAAATGTACTTTTCTATTCCAGATCATTCACAAAAAAACTTGCTGCCAGAAACATTCTGGTTACTGAGGAAAACCATGCCAAGATATATGGATTTGGTCCTACGTCAATAGAGAAAAATGAACCAAATGAACCAAAGCCAGTCGACGGGAATGAAATCATCAGAGTAGGTTACCGTAATCAAAAGAACATTGTTAAAACATTATATTCGTCCGGAACATTAATATTCCGAATTGCTAAGTCTTGTTTTATTGTTCGATTCCCTTAATGTTTTGTCAGATCCCGTTGAAGTGGCTTGCCTTGGAGACGTTACTTTCCTCATCCGGGCAACGGTATTACGACAAACAGACGGATGTGTGGTCATTTGGTGTTACTACATGTATCTGGGAGATCTTCAGTGTCGGTAAATGTCATAAATAGAAACTGCATAAAAACATAAACGATAAAACTCTTTAAATCATTTTACTGGCCTGGTCCGTGTCATTTTTAAGAAAACAATTTTTACGTTTTTCTCAATGGAATATCAATAATATTTAAAGTGAGATATTTAAAAGAGGAAACTTAGTCCAAGAGATGTTTAAGTTAAAGTAACGAAAAATGCAACAAAAATGCAACAAAAATGCAAGAATAGCCAGGGGCAATCGAACAGCCATCTCATTTCTTGATTTGTGATTTTTATTTGTCAGCCTTTGGACAACGCATCCTACAACAGTCAACATATATATTAGATTGTATTTTGTATATTAGAATGTATATTGCATAAGGAACACTTCACTTGAAAGCAGTTGGCAGCACGAGTTATTCACACGGAAAAATCATAACGTCACGATTTTGGTAAAAACAAATGATGATTGATGTTGCCTTTCCTCGTGTCAGGGTTTGATAAAATCAACGCGCACTCTTTAGAGATATGAGTTATCTGTTTGCACGTTCAGAATATACAAATTAAGATGTGACTGGCTGAAGTCGGTTATGATATCTGCTACTTTCCACATGTTCAAAATATTATTGTTAAACTATCATTAGCACTAGGATAAATTAGGTTAATACCAACAACGTATATGTATTTTATTTATAATTACGATAGTATAAATTTTCATCTTTTATTCCTAGATTTAACTAAAATATCCTAAGAAAAACAGTTTTATCTTCTTCAGGTTTAAGGATTGTATGTGGGCTTGCTGGACGGACAAGCCAAGTGAACTTCCCACCATGGGAGCCATCAAGCAGATTATTCACGAGGCCTTGTACACGACACCAGGAGATGACGTTTACTATGCAGATTCTTAAACATTTGCAGAAATGATTGTAAAATTATCTTAACATTGAAATATTAACAAGAACATTTTATATATATTGTAAAGCATGATACGTTTTAAAGCAAAAACATACACAAATTTCACTGTTCCACAACTAGTCATTTTGACGGAACGTCAATGTAACAATATGGATGAACTTCCTGGTTTTTGTTTTTCTCAATTTAAAACTTATAAGGCAACTTGCAGATTAAAATTTCGCACAAAGCTAGAAAATGTCTAGCTCTAATAAGTTTCTTTAATTTGGAATTTGTTTTGTAAATTAAGTTGCAATTCATATATTTAGTCCCTCGCTTTTGTTACGTTATTTTTCTTTGACGACTTACGTCAACGTAACAAAATAGTCTAAATGCATGAATAACAGCTTTATTCAAAAATCAAATTCCAAACCGAGAGCATTTCTTAAAGCTACTCTATATTGTCTAACTTTGTGAAAATGATAATCCGCAACTTGACTTATAAGAAGGTTTAAATCGAGAAAACAAAAAACTCATATCCAGGAAATTCATCCATGTTGCTACATTGATGTTCCGTCAAGTAACTAGTTGTGGAACAGTGAATGTGGCAAGACTTAACATTGCGTGGTACATCGTCGGACTCCATGTGGATCCATGTGAGCTGGATATGTAAGGCATACGCCAAACAACATCAGCGTTTGTACATATTTAAAACAACGAGTGAAAGTCTGCAAAATAATTTCTAGTGATTTAATATGTGCGTTTATATTGCTACAGACTATATTCATTCTTTAATGGGTGTGATATTAATTAATATCTAGCCTTCGAGTCATATTTGATATAAAATAGAAAATATAGTGGCAGTGTCCTAGCTAGTTCAATAGAAAGCCTTTATGTCATTGTTGGTATATGATAATCAAATAGTGTTGATGAGTGCCTACTCAAACTGGACTTCAAAATCCAGTTTGTCGATGATTGGGTTGTACAGGGTGTTGAACTGTTCGTTCTGAGCCACTGTAAAATAGTTTTTCCAGTTTCCAACTTGTCCTGAAATAATGAAACGTATGTCGATTGCTTATGTTTATCATCTCATGTGTGTTAAACAAGGAAACAATTCTAAAATTATTTTAACGCATAGATGGGTCGTGTCAACCAAGTATCAACTACCTCGGATGCTATTTAATGTATTTTTTATTGTCCGTATCTAATTCAAAGTATTGGTTTTAATAATATATGGTTCCATCTTTGGCAGTATTGGTTTTTATCATTAAAAGTAAATAAAGAAGTAAAGAGATCAGCAAGAATCATTAAAATGTACTAAAATGATTGTCAATGGGCTTTGCTTCTGTCGTAATTTCTATATATTCTAAACGAGATTATATAAACATACAAACAAAAGTTACTTATGCTTGCTTGAGAAGTACAAATAGATGTTCCAAAGGTGGCAGCGATTCACTTCCTTGCTATTTTGATCAATTATATAAAATGTAGCAAAAAGCCTACCCTTTCTTATAAGTGGTTTCCCAGATTTCAATCTTGCAAAATCCAGACTATCATTTTTCTTCATTGTGTCAATGCTGCAAGCCTCAGCAAGATTTTCGAAGAACTCATCGGTGTATGTCTTGCCAATATGTGCGGATAATTTCTTGGCTGTGTTGATGAAATCCTATGTAAGAAGTCATTGACTACAATACTACCATACAGAGCATAGAAATGATGATACACTTAAAAGTGTCAGATAAAGTATAAAATGCACATGCGTCCAGGTGTTGTCAAACAAGAGGGGGAGTAACCCCAGGGTTTTGATTAAATCAATCAAATTTTCTTTGTAAAACTAAAATATTATGATTGAGGTCTTAGAAAACATTTATGCTATTAATTTTGTCAACAAGGTTCAGAAAGATATTTTATTTTCATTCTCAAGAATTCGTAGAAATGAACAAGAACAATTGCACTAGAAATCAAAAATATTAACAAAAACTGTCATAAAAACATGTTTAAATAAAGTGACCATTGCATAAATGACCGTGTTTTCACAGAATGTTTTCAATAAATGGTGTAAAAGAAAAACAATGTTAAATTCAGTTCGCCATATTGAGAGAGCCCTGTGCATGAATTGGACAGCAGTTGTGTTTTGCATCCCAAAGCCTGCTGTTTGCAATAGCATTGTGCACAAGTATAACGAGTGCATAATTATATCATATACTGTCCCAAAGGGTAATTATGACGAAATTGTGACATAGCTCATCATCTGAAAATGGTCTTGAGAATAAATATCCACCTTCAAAATATCCGTGTATGTATAAAATGTATATTAAAAATATCAAGCAACACTGCCTTTTTGTTGACCATTTTATCTTTTGTGTGTGCACTTTAAAATGATAAATGCCAAGGTAATACATAAAGGTACCAGAGTTTTATTCCGTTATTGCCCGAGTCGCATTTGCTCCGATTCACCAGCCGGCGTCCGACAACTTGTCGTATTTTGTTCAAAATTTTATTCAATTTTCAAATATAACATACTATGCATAATATAACCTCGGCAAATATTGCAAATAATACCTGGGTCTCATTTGCTCCTATCCATCGGCCGGAGCCTGGTCGATTGAGAGTTTTACTTAGAATTGCATTCACGTTTTTAACACAATCAGCTTGGCACCGGCCGATGGAGAATGTGAGCGAGGCATAAGCGAAAAAGGCGAATATTGAGAGAGCTTTCACATCGATATGAAATCAGCTAGTCTAATCCCCTAATGTAAACTCTGTGCTATAAGTAGCTAGGAAGGGCGGATACTTAAATGTAATATTAAAACTAAATTTTACTTACATTTTCCAACGGATAAGGCAGAGACTTTTTGAGCATCTTTATCTGTATATTTCACACAAAGGTAATTTCACAATTGCTAAATATTATAAGCCAATATTTTTACCCGACTATCCCACTTTGTCCCTTATAACTACCGTAACATTAAGTTGATTTGTCTTATTCCACCAGACGTTAACCATGATTTCACGTGATTACGTTAAACGATCATAAAGAGACGTGTCAACTTTTACCTTTTTCAAATTCTCATAGCTAAAGACCAGTATCTCTGGGATTCCTTTTGACTTTTCTAACCAGTAAGGTACAGAATCAAGCCATCTTCCATATTCATCTACAATGTATGTAAAATGAATGTATGTAATGGAATTTGCAAAGAATGCGTTCGTTACAACATAAAAACCTTGAACTCTAAGTCAAGTTTGTAGGAGATAGTTAAAGGGGCAACAAGGACTGTAGAGAGAAAATTCGAGCTATCAGGTCAATATTTAGCTTAATCTTCTTTGACATACCTATTTTTCTTATGTGTGGATAAACTATCAATTTCAGCATAAGGAAGTGTAAATTCAGTTCAAAGCTTCTTATAAAGGGAGTCCCACTTATAGATTTCACCATGTTTCAAGAGGAATATCAGCTGAAATAATGTTCATCCAGGGGGTTTCTTTGTAGATAATAAAAATATAAGTGGGTCTTGATGAGATATCCAAGCTTCAATATATTTTGACACTGGTCGATGATTGTTGAATGGCCCCCTGTACTAATTGTTGCACCTTTAATACATGGAAATTGTAGAATATGAGTTATTGACAATATACAAAACCATATTAGTCGAAGTCAAGTTAGTAGAATACTAAATTATTGGGAATCGCAGTGTTGAAAGGTCAGTTAATGGGATTGAACTGGGCCATCAGTTAATAAACCGTACTTACGCTGTTCTTTGAGCATTATGTCAAAGTATTCATTCCACCCTCCAGTGTAATCATATAACGACTCTAACGCAATTATATGATAGAAGTATGATACTGCCACATCTTTAGGATTTCTGTACATGTAGAACATCTTACAGCCTTTGCTCAGCATATCCTGCAAAGTATTCACTTATATTGCATGTCTCAAACTGATATAGACTGAACAGCCTTTGAGAAACTGTTGTATGGCCTGCCAATCTAAAAAATCAATATTAGTGAATACTTTAACCACTAATTCACATGATTTGACAATCACATTGAAAACGATTCGGCCGCTAGTAGAGCAAAACGACATTAACACAACGTGTCTCTCAATATTCTAATTGTACAATGGAAAGTTTGGTTTATTTTAAAAAAGTATCTTGTTAATGAAATAAAAGGTGTATCTTATTTTTTATCTACTTTGTGGGGTTTTGTTTTAAGCTTTTGCATATTTTTGTGAAATCAACCAAAATTTCCTTTGTATAACTATAATATTGTGAGGACATGTTGTATATGTTATTTTGTTCCAACAAGGTTCGGAAAGACATTTCATTTCATTCTCAAGAATTGGTAGAAAAGAACAAAAAATAACTGCACTAAAAAACAAAAAATGTCAACAAAAACAATTACATAAAATATGTGTAAATAATTTTTGCATTAACTTGTTGCCAATCAGTCAACATTACATAACGGACCGTGTTTTTACAAAATGTTTTCAATAATTGGTTTAAGAGAAGAACATTATTGGATTCAGTTCACCATATCGATACCTATCCTTTACGATAATTGATATTTTCAAATATAGTCAACTTCTGTTATTCTAACAAAGCCTGCGCCGTGTGTGTGTTAATATCAACATTTAATACATAATTTCCAACTTGTTTGGTATGTTTGTTAGCAGCTCTAAAAAGGGATTTGCTTGATATTTTATACTCATAAAATATCAATCATGTCCATATGATTTGTATCCTCCAACACATACTCACCACATTCAATTTACTAAGAGACTAGATATAATTGAGAATTTATATAACAATCATTTAAATCTAAATTGGATTAGTTTCATTTTCCAAAATAATTATTTTCAGTATAGGTCGTATGGCCATGATAGCCAGTTTTGTTGACATTAAAATAACACACATTAAATGTCATTGATATTAACACACACGGCGCAGGCTTTGGTAGAATAACAGAATTTGACTCTATTTGAAAATATCAATTATATCGTACATTTGGCCCTGTATCAAAATTCAAATTAATTCAGTGTTGGCACAATTACATCTTCGTATCTTCGTGTGATCTTTGGTAAGCGGAAAACGTACCATTACTGAGAAAATTGGAATTTAGAATAGCTGCAGTCCCACACCGGAATAGCCTGACAACGGTAAAGTCAGATACCGTTGTCACAAATGGCGGACATAACCGTCGCTTCAATTAGATTTTCATGAATTGTATGTTTAATAGAGCACCTAGACTAAATTCCAGTGGAACAAAAATCAATCAAAGTGTCTTAATACTCATTGTACAGTTAATAATGTTCTACCATCGAAATAACCGATCAAAATGAGATACGGGACAACGGACATTGTAATTATTATCATATGCCGTTGTCTCTCTGAATTACTCAAATTCAGATTCCGTTGTCATTGACGATATTGAAGACGCTATTTTGTGGCGATTCACGACCCAATTTGATCGAAATCGGAACTTCATATGAAACATTATCACAAGAGTTTGATACATGCACAGAATTAGCGACGATAAAATCCCATGAAATGAGGACCAAGTGATTAAACAGAAGCGGCGGTTATGTCTGCCATTTGTGACAACAGTATCTGACGTAACCGTTGTCAGGCTATTCCGGTGTGAGTCGATCCATCTGCCCAACGCAGTCCGGCACCCGGTGTTGCTTTAAACAGACCACAGCGCATTTATTATCACATCATTCTCAAAACTCAAACTTGGAGTTTCAATCAAGGTTTTACACTAGGTAAAATCAATATGTTCCTACTGTTTCAGCTTAATCTGGATAACTGCTTATTTTTTTATCAACGTAACAACATTTGATACAGAGCAATTTTGGCCATTTATGTGGAAGGCACTGCCGGATGTCTTTCCATTTTGGCCACCTCATTTTGGAGCTGAACTGAGTTGAACAGTAACGCGAACATTTACGCGAATCAAATATTGTCATTTACATTATTTCATAGTTGCCTTACTTTTGGAATGTGTTCATATTTCAGATGTGTCAACAAAAGCCTTGGCGACGGCATGCTTTCAAGTTCTTCCATTGTTTTAACCTCAATGAAATTACGTCCCTTGGATATATTAGCGCTTTCTGTTGTGCCATGTTGTAGCATATAGACAACCTCATTCATCCAATGGTGTCCTGGAAATTAGGTTATAGACGACAAGTTTATTGATGAAAATTTCTCGATACTTCATTCAAAATATACAAGTGATAATCAAGATGATTGCTTCTTAAATAATTAGATATTTTAACTTTTTGCATTCCACACTTCCAGCATGTTTCTGTCCAGGCAATTCCGATAAAAAACAATCAAAGTCGTGCATATTATACAAATAGTGACTTCCATAGTGAATTTGTTATGATTAAGAGAACTATTCAAAGTATATAAGTTACATTATCCTACATGAGATCACAAATATTGTTTTGTCTTTAACATGCATTTGAAACTCCAAATCGCCACCAAAAATGCTTAAATTGGTGGAAATTCTTATGTATTTCCAATGTCTGCCTTTCATCATCAACAACAAATAAGGGTAGAGTAAATGGTAAATATTATATTGTGACATATACACAGATTCATGATTATTTTATTTGTTGGGATTTGCAACTGGAGATGCCGTTTTCAAGTTTCAAAAGATTTTGTTATTACTGTGAGTACCTATATTTTACCTGATTTCGGATATGATGATACAATGACGTCATCTTCCCTTGCCTTGAAGTCCTTGAAGCTTTCAAACCAATCTTTCCAGTCAAGGTCAACAATCTGTTGGCCTGGTTCGAAATGAGTCCTCGGCCAGAAGTTTGGGAAGAAATCACCTTTGTACATTGTTGATTTCAAACCATGCTTTAATAAGACCTGCGTTGCCACGTTAAAGTCCACAGTTGCCAAATTAGTTTCATGGTTAGTTGTTTCTTTGTCATCCTCAAAAGCACCCGCTTTGTTATTTTCTGCCATAGTGTAGTCTCTACGTTGATGAATGTTTTATGTTTGAATTGTTAATACAAGTCCTGTAAAGTATATGCTAAAGTTCAAGTTGTGCTGTTATCAGTAACATTACTAGTGTTTTAATCTCTTGTCTTTTTAATCTACACTGCCTAAACGTTTTTAATATGCAAGTGATATGCAAATCACATTTAGTGCAATATATGTATTTATTGCAATATTTGACAACTTGCAACTCTCATTTAGTGCAATATATGTATTTATTATGCAATATCCTTCTCACATTAGGTGCAATATATGTATTTAATATAATGATTGACAATATCATTCCATGAACTGCTTATTTATGCCAATTTATATCATTGGTTATTAATGTATAAATTTTTACCAGAGACATTTTTTGTCTCTGTCTTTATGAATGTTGACCCAAGCTGCCCATTGGGGGTAGTAATGGGTGACACTCAGATATAATGTATACTGTGTCTCATAAGTCGGCACCGGCTGCTGATGTTACAATATGTTGTTTTTATTATGTATTTTATATGTATATTGTAATATCAGTGACACAAAAATAAACTATTTTAAACTAAAAAACTAAACTATTTTAGCTTTTTCAACAAGTAACAATGGTTCAAACTATTTGAAGTTTCACCTCAATGATTTCAAGGGAAATGATAGGTATCGATATGGAGAAATGAAATGAAAAACCAATTATTGAAAACATTCTGTAAAAAAGCACGGTCCTTTGTGTAATGTTGACTGACTGGCAACAATTTAATGCAAAAATTATTTATATATATTTTATATAACTGTTTTTGTTAAATGTTTTTGTTTTTTTAGTGCAATAATTGTTTATGTGCCTTTCTCCCAATTCTTGAGAATGATTGATTTAATGCCCTGTTTGTCAATGGTTTGGGTGTTTAGTCTGGTGTTTGAGCTATGTGTTGGTTTGTGTGTAGTGGTGGTAATATCTTATTGATAAGATATTAACTAACTAGGGGTTCTGTTTTCCTGTGTTGGGTTGTATTTTGGTTTTATCGGAGTTTTGCGGTATTTTGGTTTACGTTTGGTGGCGTTTGTGGTATGTGGGTAACTCGTTTTTCAATGGTTTGGGTGTGTTGTACATGCTGTCTGAGCTTTGTTTCGGTGTGTATGTTATGATCGTAGCATCTCTTGCTATTGAGATATTATCCTGTGTTTGTGTACATGTTTTGTCGGGATCGTGTGTATTGGTTAATTGCATCTAGATGTGGTCAGTTGGTTTGTTGAAATTTGTTTTGTTTGGTTGGTTTTTTATTTAACCTATATGGTGAGGTGTTTTTATTTTGATAGTGTGTGCGTTCGAGGAGTTGCTATTTTGTTCGCGTTTTGTTGTATTTTGGTTTTATCGGAGTTTTGCGGTATTTTTGTTTTTAAATTTCGTGCTTGTTTTGTAGCATTTTTTGGTATGCAAGTGGTTGGTAAGTGTTTTTCAAAGGTTTGGGTGTGTAATGTGATGTCCGAGCTTTATTTCGGTGTGTATGTTATGGTAATAGCATCTCTTGTAATTGAGATATTAACTTGATTTGGGTTACTGTCTTCCCTTGATTTCATTATGTTTTGATTATTCCGTGTTTGTGATTTGTCGGGACCGTGTATGCGCACTGGTAAATAAACAAAATGTTTTTACCAAAAAGCTTCCAAATAAAATGTTTTCGCGCAAAAACCTTTTATTTTTTTTCGAGGATTTTTGGCCAAAATCGCTTTGTTTCGAGGCTTTTTGCGTTAAAAACGTTTAATTTCGAGGCTTTTTGGCAACAAACGCTTTATTTTGAGGTTTTTTGTATGAAACTTTGATTTCGAGGCTTTTAGGCCAAAAACGCTCTGTTTCGAGGCTTTTTGCGTGTAAACGTTTTATTTCGATGACTTTTGGCCAAAACGCTTTGTGGCGAGGCTTTTATAGCGTTGAAAACATTTTATTTCGAGGCTTTTTGGCAAAAAAACGCTCGTCAGAATTGATCAGGCCAATTTTTCTAAGATATGTTATCATATCTGAACTAAATTTATGGCTGAATTTGATCGAATGCGCCTACGATCGGATAAAATTTGAAGAAGGATATATACCATGGTATTTAGCCAAACTTAGTCTGTTCTTTTGATTTGAAAAGAAGTTAATGATAGAAAACCACTGAAACACTGACTTATTTAGTCAGTTATTGGCAAACTTTGCAACAAATAATTCAAATTTTAGTGTCATGGTCCAGTGATTTTTGCCAATCAAACACTGAAATCAGTACATAGAGGCTTCGTCGGCTCTTTGGAGGTTTAGTTGTTTAGATCACAATTAATGTCGTCATTTAAATGTGAAAATCTTAAATTCACAATACAAATATTTGGCCAAAATCCAAACCACCCCAATGTTAGTTAACTGCCCATAAAATGCTTAATTACCAATAGATCATTCTTAAACTGCACAAAAAATCTCGAAATACTCCATTCTTTCATATGGTGGTATATTGGGTTATGTACCGAAAATCCTCTTGTTTTTCATAATTATTCCGAATATTCTAATGTTTCCCCATTGGATTGTATTAGAGCATTTGTCTGTGGAATTAACCCTAATTCAGATCGGATGCGGTAAAACCGAACGTTCCGGGTATTACGTTCGCTCTTGTATAGATTTTTTCCTATCATTGTTTAATTAAAGTCACGTGACTCGAGAATTGCAATCTATCGTTATGTTTCATTTCAGCATTTCCTTATGCACAAATATTTCGTTGCTATGGGTACTATACTATTTGTAAAATATATTTCTTTTTTCAAACTACAGACAATTTCCTTGAAATATACGAATTATATAAGAAAGCAAATAATAAATTCTTGATTACAAAATATTTCTAGTCCTTACAAACATGAAATTATGGGTCCGATTTGAGGATCAATATGCACATTTGCTAGACCACATATATAATATGCATTTGTAATATCGACATTTTTATTTAAGAATGTAACAAATACATTCGTATGGGAAACAATATTACTTACAAATAATGAAGCAGTTTTGGTCCTATGAAATTAAAAGGTCAATGTGCAGTATGGCAAGTGATTTTAGACAGTCATATGTTTCACCATGAGTATTTTCTGGGTATAAATACAGTGTTTTTTATTAAAACAATATGTTTTCTTTAAAGTGAAGTCCCCGTGATGATGAAAATATCAATCCAACATTCTGAAAAATTATGGATTAGGACCCCATCTTGTCACCTTTTTAAAAATTTAAGGCTTATTTTCAAAAAAGAGGATCTTTTTCTCAATTTAAATGTATTAACGGTTTCTTCTACACTATATTAATTACTTCTGAAAAGAGGATGGGTATTGAGATGCGATAAAGTTAAAAACCACATTTCCCATGTTATTTTCCCATATAAAAAACTCATGCTATCCATTGTTTTCAGCATGATTTTGGTCATTGAAGATTGATATCTTCAAAACTAGACTTTCAATACCATAATTTCGAAGATGTTTTAGACCCATTGTTGAATAATGTTTTCATGCAATAAAAATCAGAAAAAGAAGATCCTCTTTTGAGCAAATAAGTTCAACATTTTGAAAAAAATATAATTTTTCGAATTGTTCGATTAATATTTTCATCATCATGGGGACTTCAATGTAAAGAAAACATATTATTTTAATAAAAACCACTGTTTTTGTGCCCAGAAAGAACTAATGTTGAAAGATATGACCGTCTAAAATCTCTTGCCATACTACACATGGACCTTTCTATTGTATTGATCCGCCTTGTGAAAAAACGTTATAAGTAATTATGATAAATTAACCTGCCCATGTGGAAAATATTAACATATAGATTTCTGCTTGCATCTTTTGTTTAATAACATGCGTAGACGGAAAGCATGATTTTCTTTAAATGTCAAAGCTGCAAGATTAGTACAACACTGCTTGCTCCTTCTGACTCTCTACAGTGTAATACAAAAAGAAGATTCGAGGAGATTCCACCATTATTGAGAGTTTTTCTGTCTAAATATTCGTACAACATGCGTTATTTACAACTCAAGTTTTGGAACATATATATTTTTCTCGTTGTTATTAGGAATCTGCATAATAAACGTCATCTCCTGGTGTCGTGTACAGCGCCTCGTGAATAATCTGCTTGATGGCTCCCATGGTGGGACGTTCACTTGGCTTCTCCGTCCAGCAAGCCCACATGCAGTCTTTGAACCTAGAATGCGTAAAACACAAAAATGACATGATTCTAGACATTTTCTGAGAAGATCATATACAGGCAATGCTTTCCATGGAGCTGTCATGTGTTAGGAGGGGCATGAACAGTGATTTCTTGTCATCACAATGCAACCTCATTAGAACGTTATATTGAAACGATTATGTCATTACATCTAAAGGTACAACTCACAGCCAGTCTGGGCACTTGTCAGGAATAGCTAACCGCCCTCCCTTTGATAAGAACTGCTTCACTTCTGTGCTTTTGAGCTCTGGGTACGGTGTTGCACCTTGAATATAAAAAGTGATGTTTTATACCTCAATGGGGTAAGCATGTATTATGTTGAAATTAAAATGTACGTAAAGTTATACAGACTAAGTGATTCATCATGTGTTAAACAATCCTCATTTATGATAATTACAAATGGAAATGAACGCAAAAATACTTTTTCTTGCTTAATATTTTTCATTCTAATGGTATTTATTACAACTACACAATGTACATCTACACTAACCGACACTGAAGACCTCCCATAAAGTAACACCAAATGCCCACACATCCGTTTGTTTGTCGTAATATCGTTGTCCCGCAGAGGAAAGTAACGTTTCCAGCGACAGCCACTTCAACGGTATCTGATCAAACATTAATAAGTAACCAAAATGTTGATTTTTTTATATCAGTTTAGTATCATTTGGAATAGATATTGGGTATGCTACCCTCCCAAATGCTCGGTAACAAGGTGCTCCATCGATATTTGACTTTTTATTTGGTGTTTTAACAAATACACCTTGTCATTCAAATCTGTCATTGAGAAAGTAAGCTTCGAACAAAAAGAGACCCTTTGACACGCATACAATGTAAACTTTTACGTCGCCAAACTTAAAGAGAAATTGTATTAAAAAAATGGTACATGACAAAGTTGACTAACTCTGATAATCTCCTTTCCGTCAACTGGTTTTTGTTCATTTTCGTTCTCTATTGTCGTTGGACCGAATCCATATATCTTGGCGTGGTTATCACTGGTTACCAGAATATTTCGGGCTGCTAGCTTCTTGTGAATGATCTGAAGTGAAAAAGCATATAGAGCAATCTTATTAATGTATTTCTTACCTTTTCTCCAAGAAACTCATGTAATAAATAAAAAAATTAAAAAATTAATGTTGTAAAGTTTTGATTTTGTCCATGTTTTAAATAAAATCAACTGGAATTGTTTAGTATTCCCAGAAGAGTTTGTAACATTCTTAGAGTTTGTCTAAAAGTAAAAGCCCAACATACACCAATGGGTCACGGTGGGACCACCATAGACTTAACATTGCCTGAGACCTCATCGGATTTTGCCCCATGGACTCCGTGAGACCCCATGGGACTTTGTCGAACTTTGCAAGATGGGGCAAAATTCTACGAAGCCATATCGAGAGTGAACATGTTCATCCTTTCTATGGGGCATCGTGGGACTCTTGACCATGTGACGTACCTCGTGACTTGAGATTAAAATGGCCACCTCAAAACCTTCTAAACTTAATTACATCATTTCAGTGGGACTCGACCCCGACGGGACATGGTGACCTCGATGGGAACCCATTGGGAAAAGTTAGTGAGGTCCAATGGGACTCCATGAGATTCGGTGGGGAAAGGTGGGACTCGATTGGTCAAGATGGATTTTGCCCCATTGGTGTGTATTGGGCTAAAGTAAAAATGTCAGAATATTCCATATGCAATATTAATATGTAGCTCACGTTGTGGTCATGAAGATGAGACATTCCCTTTGCTATCTCCAACGTGAACTGAAAGAGATGGTCTATGAGGTCCTCTTCTGGGTCGTGCTCGTGCCTCTTGAGCCAATCCTTCAATGTACCCTCAGAGCAGTATTCCAACAGGATGATTGGTCCCAGAGGTCCTATATAAATGAAATAATTTTAAAACTAAAGAATTAGTTTGTAACCCATATATTCCAATGTATTTCTATTTCTTTGATTGTTTAGCTGTTTGATCATTTAATTAGATTAGCTAGAACATGCAAAGCTGAGTGTGATTTTTGAGAAGACCAAAAAACTTGGAAATCTTGATAGCATTTGAAGATTTTGTATACCGTCTGATATTCCTCCAATGAATGTAACTATATTCTCGTGCATTGGGACCGCAGTAGCCAAGAAGTTCAATTTGGCATTCATCAACAACTCCTCGTCTTCACCAGCATTATCTGTGGAAAATAGCACTTAAAGATAGATTCATAGATAAAGAGTTCCTTTCTCAGAGGGTGTGTTGATATTTTTGGATCATTCTCTGTAATTAATAACTCTCTCTATAAGTTTGGCAACAAAAATTTCCCATTTGATGTGATGTAAACGTCTATTAGCACGTGTTTGAATCTGTCAAAATCGCCTCGAGGCTTTGAATAGAAATCGGCAGAAATTTGCAGGTATAAAGATGGGCATTTATAAGCGTGTTAAGGTTAAGACCAAATCTTTTTAAAAATTGTTCCTCAATATTCTTTACTTTACTGAATTTTTTAAATCAAAAAAAGAAATAGCTTTTAGCACGTGGACCAAAAGAGGACTTCTGAGCTACTCATTGTCAGTTAATGCTTAGTTCCAGAAAACAGGTTACACCAGAAGACGACAAAGTTGTTAGTTCCCACGGAGAAACTACAGAGTATACAATTACGAATATCAATTATTAACACTACCTTTTAGCATCTTTGCAACAACAATCTTGTCTTTATCCTTATGATTCTTTGCCAGTTTGATATCAGCAAACTTTCCACTCGTTAACATTTTTATGACTGTGATATTGGACATCTTCATCTCCCAGGGTTGGCCAAACATCGACATACGACCATAAACATACACATCTTCTTCGTAACAAGGGTTTGCCATAGCGAAGTCATCATTTCTCTACATGTAAATCATTTAAGTTATGATCTTGTCAATGTGCTTTTCAAGACTCATTCATGCATTGAAAAGTCGAACTACGTATTGACGTTACACGAATTTACGTATGGTCTCAGACAGCGTGTGCTTTTAAAATTCGGATATCTGATGCATGTTACAATACACATATACAGGGTGGGCCAAAAAAACAATACCCATCTTTAAATCAGATTGAAAACAGCTATGTTCAATATGATACATGATTTATATATCATTTTAAGGTAATCCATTTTCGAACAATTTGGTATATAACACTATGTCATGAAATCAATATTAAAGTTTTATTATGCTTATTTGCGAGGCCGGGTCGGTATTTAAGGTATCCAGATTTTAGGGAGAAAATAGTAAATCTGTGGAATAATGTTAATTTTTTATTCATAGAATATCATTTTGTTAGGTGAATAAATGCTTGTATATTTGCATATTTTTGTGACTAAACTTATTGTTTATGAATTTTAGTGTTGTTTATTATCATTAAGTACTCAATGTGTAAAAGACATTAAACGTATATGTGACGAAGATTTTATTTTCCAACAAGACATTGGTTCGTACCATAGATCTCAGGAGACATTGGAATTCCTTTGCAAACAAGGTGTCAATTTGATTGATCTCGATGCTTGGCCCCAAAACAGCCCCGATGCTACATGTAATGTGTTTGATTACCATACATGGAGTCATCTCGAGGAAATGGTACTATCAAAAGCATCCAATGAACAGCTTTGATGAGTTGAAACAGAATCCTAAAGTGCTGAAATTAATTGCAACAGAAATCTCTCAATAAGGCTATTGATAGATTGCCCTACCACTTGAAGCTTATTGTTGATGCAGAGGGGAGGGGGTGGGGGTAAATTGAGCAATTGTGAAAATTGTTTAAATAAATAAAGTGTAAAATGTTATTAAACAACACTGAAATTCATAAAAAATATATTTAGTCACACCATGATGCAAATATTAATATCCAAGCATGTATTCACCTAACAAATGAATGATATTCTAAAAATAAAAGATTAACATAATTCCGCAGATTTACTATTTTCTCCCTTAAATCTGGAGACCTTAAATAGCAACCCGACCTCCAAAATAAGTATAATAAAACTTTACTATTGATTTTATGACACAGTGTTCTATACCAAATTGTTTGAAATTGTATAACCTTTAAAATGATATGTAAGTCAATGTACCATATTGAATGTAACTATTTTTATCCTGATTTGAAATTGGGTATTGGTTTTTTGGCCCACCCTGTAGTTGTACATGTATATCAACGTATAATCACGAAAGTTCAACGCTGGAATAACTTACATTATGGATATCCTTATTGGTCCTGAATGCGACCTGTTTGTTCCCAGAGTTCTCCTTGCGTCGGCGACACAGTAGGAATACAACCAGCAGCACTACTAACCCAACCAACACTTAAACAAACATAAGTTACAATATAATGATACAGCTTCTCTTTCTTTTTGTAACCACTGACACACTGTTATAAAAGTGAAAACAAATAAATAAAGACGTTTGATTTAGTCTCAGATACTACCAGTAGGGATTGTTTGTCTTTATTTCATTTGTTAATACCTCCTTCCCTTGGGTGGTCACCTTGGATACCGAAACAGAAATGATCCGTTTTGGTAACAAGATGGCTATAGTTCCGTTGAAAATCCAGTAAAAAATGTTTTCCCTGATTTCTCGAGATATAGCATAAATCGTTTGAATATTTTCGGCACAAAACATGTGTAAATATTCATATATCGCATCTTCAAGGTTCCGACATTTTGTTACCGTTTCGGTAACTAATTTGAAGAGTACAGCACATGTGACCATCCCGTGTACCTCAATCTCTACAACGTTTCACTGCTATAGCCGAATCTTACCTAACACTCCTATGATTATTCCAGCAATACCCCCTCCTCCTAATGCCCCTATAGATGCACCTGGAGGTATTAAAATAATTAACATTACAGCAATATACGTGGTCTTCATTCTTAGAAATATCTCACTAATATTTTATTTGAACAATGACTAGTGAAGTTACTTAATGGATACGACATACATGTATTTTTAGTTTTTTAGATATTTAGAACGGACATTGTTCAGTTTTCCTCGAATATTATGACTTTTAACATACCAGTAAAATTCGGGTCATATGCTGTTTTGAATATCCTTTCAGCAACATCTGATATGAAATTATTCTCATAAACAACTGCTACTCCTATCACATACTCAGTGTTGCTATCAAGGTCTTCGAGCGTCCCCCTCCTACTCGTAAATTTAACTTCAACTTCTTCTCCTTCCCCGTCTCGCCGCTGGTACGTCACTTTATATTCTTTAACGTTATAACAACTGCGTGGCTCTTCCCAGCTGATTATGAGAAAAGCATGATCCTGTTGAACTTGTTTCAAAGTGGAGTTGTCGACATGAGGAACTGAAAAAGGATTAAATATATGCATTGGAGTGATTTATTTAAATACACGATATATCATTTATTGTTTATATAGGTGGGTAGAGAGGCAACTGGTCAACTCAACCCCAAGTCAACTCCACCCTTAGTCATTTCGACCCCAAGTTAAGTCAACCCTTAGTCAGGTCGACCCCAAGTCATCTCAACACTTGGTCAACTTAACCAAAGAAATGTTTATTTTTTGAAGTTAGATTTTATATCAAGACTCCACAAACAATGGGATTCATGTTTTTCACCATCCTACAGTATTATACTTATCCTTTCTCAATGTAAAATCTTGCTGAATTAGGGAAGGAATTCCTTGCATTAATCAAATCGGATTCAAATAGTTAAGTTTACCTTTACCATTAGTATTAATTTATTCCTTTAATTTTCATATACTATATGAATGATATATTGTATAAATAATGTACCTCCAGAAACTAGTAAAATCATTGGGGTCGAGTTGACTAAGGGTTGAGTTGACCAAGGGTTGAAATGACTTGGGGTCGAGTTGACTAAGGGTTGAGCTGACCAAGGGTTGAAATGACTTGGGGTCGAATTGACTAAGGGTTGAATTGACTTGAGTTGAGTTGACTTGGGGTTGAGTTGACCAGGAAGCGGTAGAGAGGTGGGTCGGGTACTATATAGACATTGTTTCTTTTCACGTTGGATTATGCTTTGGGAAAGATGGGGTTTGTTTTCCTTATGACTGATGTAAAAATGTTTTCTTTTTTAGCTTGTTTCCGTATCATGACAGTAGCTCTATCAATACAATCGTAAATCAACAAATTGTGGCGATACCATGTTATCTTTCTTTGGTTGTTATGGCTTTGAATTAGCATGTGTTATCAAATGCTACGTGTATACAACTCACAGTAATGTACTCCGTCAAGCTGCCCCAGGGGAGGAAGCTGAAACAAAAATGAAGATTTTTACTTGATTATTGAAGTACACGCACATTAGCGTAAAATAACCAACAGACACATTCAGTTGGATCTTTTTCAGGTACAACAGGTGCATCAAATAGTATGACTGTCTAACATGTGTTCAAGTTCCTCTAAAGCTAGATAGAGGACACTGGTGTTTTTAGATACATAATTTGTTTCAGTAAACACATAGCTATAGACTACTCTACCCTCTCTTTATAAGGTTTAACAGCTCTGACTAACTATTGCCGCCGGAGTGTTAGCTTTGATTTGAAATTCTTTCCTCTTTCTATTGGGCCAAAATAGAATTAGATGCTTTTCCAAATCGCCAATCAGCAAACGTGAACAGCCTTTAACATGTGGTTCAATGATGGCTCTAACATGCATGTGGTTCAATGAATGAGACACACGGCCCAATGGCTCTTACGTTTGGTTCAATGGATCCAACATGTGGTTCAATGGATCAAACATGCGGTTCAATGGCGAATTTGGCAGACATTTGAGTGAATATACGAGTTCTTACCAAAGTTAATTTACAGAAATGAATATACACATTTTTTTCCATTTTGGTTTTCTCTTCAAACCGATCAAAAGTATGTATGTAAATGAGACGCCGGATTACTTTTAAACGATATGAATATTTCAAAGCATTAATACAAACCTGAAGCGTTCTGTTTTTAGTCAGTCCAGCTTGATTTTGCACGTTTATTCGCATTGTGTAATCGTTCCGATCAATCAAAAATTTGAAGTCACAGTTGTTAAGTGGGACTATATTATTGCGCGGATAGCATGTTTCGCCTCCGAGTATAGATGGGCAGTAACACGACCCGCCATTGCCAAGACAGGAAGAGTCTACTGATGTTATCTGTAATGAAAGGCATAACCCCTTTATGTTCAATGAGATATTAGATACATCGATAAGATTTAACTGGAGGTGATTCGGAGTAAGAGAATTGCAGCTACAATTACGTTTGTTCAGAAGTACTTTTCCTTATAATGTTTGTTAGTTTTAAATTCAACATCTCACCGGGACTTTGCCTTTAGCCTGTGTGCCAGTGATCTCCCAGTCTATTTCCATTATACCACTGTGTTCATCCTCTGCACCAATTGTGATTCTGCAAAATATGAACTACGTGCCCATTAATGTACCTCAGATTATTCGTTTAAGGAAACTCCACGAGTAAAAATAATGATGTTGTCGTCATAATCCTAAAAGTAAATTTTTGAAAGGGGGCATATGCCATTTATGTACCTGCTTTCAAACGTTCCAACATTTTTCTCAAATATAGGCTCTTGGATTATGGGAGGGGAGCCGTCAATGTAGACCGTCTGTTTATCTTCCTTCATGTGTCCCATAATGTCCTGCGCCTTGATCCAAACAGTCGCAGCTTCGCCATCTTCTAAATTAGCCTGGAATGTCGCCTGTGTGCGAAGTGGACCGTCGAGAGTCATCTTATCCCCGTCTGAAGGTCCGATCTTTGTATCCAATGACTCATTGTGAGTCTTCTTAAACACCTCAAAGCTTGCAACTCCTCTTTTATTTAATATCTCAGCCCTTCTTCTTTGCCCAGTTGTGTCGTCAATTATGTTTCCCCCTTGGAACTCAGCAATGCTGTCTAACAAGTCGCCATCTTCGTAAATTTTATTAACAAAATGATTGGTCCAGTCTACTTGAATAAGATCTCCAGTTACTTGCCAGACTCCTCTATTGTGCGCCAAGGGGAATTGGATGGGTCTCGAATCATCAGTCGTTATCTCCGAATCATCGTCAAACAAGACAAACCGTCTAGCCTTGTGCGTGTTCCCAGCCTTGTCATATACATTCAGTATGACAGAATAAAGCCCAGTTACCAGAGTCACGCGTGGAGGTGTATCCCCAGTTCTCCATGTTGTCGAATACGTCTTGTCACTACTTTCAGTGAGACTACTGGCTCCTTCTGGTTTGATTAACTTATAGATGGAGTATTCATACTTCTCAATACCAGCTAAAGCATCTTCCCATCCTGCTGCAGACAATGTAGGCCGTTCCTACAAATTGAAAAATTCGTTTTTTATGACTGAAATTCTTTATCTATTATTTATTTAAATTGTCACTGATGTTGTCTTTGACCAAATGTAGGATTAATAGAAAATCAGAACTCACGTAAGAGGCCATGGTTAAGATACTTAACCCTCGTCACAGTGCCTTTCTTTCGCGGCTCTTAAACAATAATGGGAAATAATAATATTTTCCCCAAGCAAGGTAAGGTTTAATTATCCACAATTTAGTATTGTAATTTCGTCCACCTTACGAACATAAGGGTCCAAAATATGTCTCTTTGTAATTACACTTTTTGTTGACATAGAGAGGGACCCATTTGTTATTGCAGATCTTGTAGCCATGCGTTTGGAAAAGGATTTTTTGAGACCGTTCGTTCTTTGTATACTCACATCAGTTATGTCGGTTGTTCCAATATTTAGTGCATTTTGCACACCTGAACATGTGTCAGTTGGCTCACTACAATGGTATGGTTTCACCAAATCTATTACAAGGGTCATTTTTCTTGATATTCTTTGTCCAAAATAGGGAACCCTCACAGAACTAGATACGCCTTGATAGTCAGTAACAGATAGATCTTTGTAGCCGCCATTAGTTGTAGTATGTTGTACTTCCAAACTGTAAACAGTTGAATAAACGTTGATGATTAAAATATTATACATTTACACTAGCTAGCTGGTATGTACTGTATATTCAATACCAGTACGTGAATACAGTATTTCAAATAATCTGCATTCTTAATCTAAAACATAGTGCATGGCTTAGATTCACGGCATGTGCTTTAATGCGGGTCAAAATGTCAAACCTTGTAAAACCCTTTCAAAAATGCCCTGCCCTTAAATGCTTTAATAGCTATCACGAATTTCAAAGGCGGTAGGTTAGACCATACCTTTTTAGAGAACTTGACGTGAACGTGTAACGTGTGCCCCCCCCCCGATAAAACTGTTTATCGAGCAAGTAAATACTTTGAAGGAGTGAGCTGATCTCATCATTTTACATGTTCACGTACAAGTTATATCAAAAACGTGTAGGCTTAGCTTAACCTCCCTAATATGTGTTGAGGTCTTACGTATCTTCATGTCCATGACTTGTTTGAATTCCTCCAAATGTTAGGTCGCAAGATGAGGTAGTCCGTGGGTTGGTTTCACTTAAGGCTGAATTGCACTCTTTTGTTGTACCATTACTCTCCGGAGTACTAAGTCCTTAAAGAGCAACGTAGAGAATAGAAACAATGCGGGCCCGTAGCCAGGGAGGATTTGGGGTTCGAGCATACACCCCTTTCCACCCTGGCCAAAGATTCTTTCAAAATCATGCAGTTTTTCACCATTCACGGCACTTTTCCTATTAATAGTTTTGAGGGGTGATTTAATCAGTCAGATATATATTACATTGATCTCAATTACCATATTTAAGGAATAAAGACCGAGATTTTATGATTTATGGCGTAATACATGTAATGACCGAAAATTTTATTTTGTTCATTGTTGAAAGACCGAAATCGCGTAGCAATTGAGGTCTTTATGGCAATGCCAGAATAAAATTTATAGGTCATATATTTGACATAAATCATTCATTCACGCATTCATGAATGTTAGCGGTCATACATACTCGATCCAATATAGGCTCTAGCGATTGTGACGCCACGTATCATATTAGAATTCTAATATAATCATGATGCTGGTGATGTTACAAAAATATAAGTTGTTTAAGTTCAAAATAGGGACCACGTTGTTCGATGATAGCTTTTAACACAATACAAGTAAACTTGCTTTTATATATTTGCGTGGAACAAGTAAGAGTGATGACTTTCGATTTCATTAGATAATTTTGTATTTTTGACACTTTTTCTCACCTTTACGGTTTAGAGTGAAAGTTACATCTGACACAGTGATTCCTAATTCGGAAGCAGTTACAGTTCCGGGTTTATTTGGAAGATTGGTCTTCTCATATTTAGCCGTCATCTTCATAGAGATCTCGTTTATGTTAACATCGTTGGAGTAGATTTCATCGTCGAAGCAGTTGGCTTTAAGAATGATCTTTGGCGATTCTCCTGGGGCTTTGTAGACGAATTCACAGTTACTCAAAATCGGCTGCTCATCGGCGTTCACTGTTTAATTAATTAGAATTGTTTAATAGAGAAAGCACTCACAGATGTCTTGTGCACCATTCAAAAGTCTGCGTGTGGACACCCCCTCCCCCCAAATTGATCTTAATTAGCGCTTGATCTAAAAGGAATGGATAGTGCAATTTCTAAATACAACTTACACGTGTCACAGCCGCCCTGTTCAAATCCTTCTGAACAAGTACAAGGAGTTGCTGCAGATGAATCACATGTTCCAGGGAAACACGTCTGACAAGGATTAACAGCTACAAAATAAGCATTATAAATCAAAGACAGTTAAACAATTCTCACAGATTTATCACAAAAGTGGTCGTCGACAAATATTTTTGATCTCAGAGTACATTTTGTATTTATATTCTCTTACTCAATTCATTCTTTGACAATTCTTAGATTAACGAATAGTCCCATCTCAGCTGCGAATTAGTACTCGCATAATTCAGAACGATTATGATTATGTCATAAACCATCACATTAACAAAACAGTACTGAAAATAATACTTACATATTAAGAATCTGTATAGAAGATATTTCCTTATACTCTCAAGGGCATTAAAATTGCCAACGTAGAACATATGTTCTTGATCGGGATCATTTGCTATTGCCCTCAATTCTGCGTCGTCTGTTCTCCCAATTCCTACTGCAAACATTACAATGCCTTCGCTTCTGGCGGCATTTGATGGTTGAATAGGGTCTGAGTTATAGCTGGCCTTACCATCTGTGACAACAACTAACAGTTTTGGTGTGTTTGCGCGCCCAGAGCGTAATTCAACTCTACCTGCGTTTATCGCTGTTCCGGTCGCAGTTCCACCACCCTGGTACGGAATACTTCTAATGGCGTTCTGTAATGAGGTCTGCGTTGTGTATTGATGCAAACGAATGATGTGATAGACACTCGATTCATAGGATATGACTCCAATTCGAACTTCATCACTGGCAATTGGTAAGAACTTAACGATGTTAATCACAAATGCTTTTATTTTGTTAAAGTTTGATGATCCTACACTCCCGGATGAATCCAAGACGAAAACGATTTCTCCCTCTTGCTTCTGCTGCTGGGAATCAACTGAAAATATTATAACTGACTATAGTGTTATTTCATGAAAAAATGGTGAAAAGGTAAAACTTGCCCATTAAAATTAGATCAAATAAAATTTAGATAAAATAAGGTTAGATTTTCTACAAAGCTACTTCGGAACGAATTCTACAATCGTTTTCTTTTTCTTCGTACTAAAACCTGATGTGAAACAATCAAAAGCCTTAAACCTGGTGTATGTGCTTTACAACGCAATCCAAAGTACCATTTCGGACTTAGATGTTCCATTATTTCGTATAAAATTATTACATAATCTTAAACTGACAACGTTATTACACAAATGGGTAGATAGATACTTTGCGTATGATACAAATGACCACCTCTGCACTAGGGCTCCAATACACCATCCGAATTTTTAGTTAATGCAAAATTAGATATTAACCCTTTCACTACCAATGGGGTCATTTATTAATTTTATGAAAATCAATTTCAAATTTGCCTAATACCCTTATGGCCATAATTTTAGGCCTAACTTATTCAATAGCAACTTATACTTTGGAGAATATTTAAGAGTTTGAACCCACATATCCTGAGATAGGGGTCATTAAATGCAGTGATCTCACAAAATGCGTCAGAATTTTTGTTTTCGGTAGAAAAGAGATTTGATATTTGAAAACAGTGTGTAGATCTGGGTAGTTAGTAATGTAGAGTACAAATTATAAATTTTCTCCTGAGAATATTAAGATTAAAACAGCAAGATGTATTGAGTTAACATGAGAATATGCATTTTTGACTTAATATTAGGTATCATATCCTTTTGACATTATTATATACTACTTATACATTATACATCCATTACTACTTATATATTCACTGTATGTACAGTGATCGCCTACTATTAAAAGTGCGTGATCAAAGACTCGACAAGATGCGCAAAATTCGAAATGTCGGAGGAAAGGTATGTTTGTTTCTCTTCTCTTTACCACCTTAATTTCATTTAACTACAGATGGTATTCCATATGCAGTATAAGAGACTCAAGATTCATTTGGTAACAGGATTCAGTGATTGGCTCAACCGAAATACCTGAACTGAGTTGATAAATAAAAATCAAAAACCCGCCGAACGAAAATGTATATTTCACAAAATTTTCTGTTTTTAGATTACCAAAACCACAATACAAACATGCCTATGGTTAATATACATAATACTTTGATACGACGTCAGATACTGTACATTATTGAATCACCAGTTGCCTAATATAATATAAACACAAATAAATCTTTTAAAAATAACCGTTACAAAATATTTGAATTTTGCGCATCTTGTCGAGTCATTGATCATTAATAATAGGCGATCACTGTACATACAGTGATATTATATACAACTTATAAGTACAATTATTCCAATGCTTTGATTCTTTTTAAAGAAATACAAACATTACATCTATAAACAAATGGTATAACAGGTGTTCCATTACTATTTAAGTAAGGTAGCATCCACCAAATGCAAGCAAAATATTTGACATTTGACCTCTATTACCAGGCCTTTTTCTCACATTGCAATATTTTACTTCGCTCTGAGTATAATTCTATACCAGGCTTTCATAATGTCAAATATTAAGGAATACGTTCTTAGGCATATCAATTCACAAAGGGATTCTGAAAATAATATATTTTTATATAGAACCTCCCTCCCTCATTTCAACTAAGGGAAGATCCATAGTCACACAATTTATCATAGCGAAGATTTAGATTTATGAATTTTATTTTATTTATTTTTTTTTTTATTTATTTCTTATTTCCTTCATATAACAATAAATCAAAATACAAATTACTTACAGAGGACACCTAAAATAGGTGTATATACTGCTTGATAAACATAAATTGAATATAATAATAGCGCAAATAAATAAATAAGTATAAATAAGAGCACATCAACAGTTGTTGGGTAGGAGCAGGGGGAGTGACAGTAAAAATAAAGTAGAGTATGATAGCATGATGATAATATTAGGACAAATACTGCTGGAAATGATTAATTGTAATTAAATGCCTTTAAGACCCAGAATGATATATTTGGTGATATACACTCTAATATAAAGAAATTTTATCTATCAAATACTTTTTGTACCTTATCTTAAAAATATTCAAAGAAGAACTTTCTCTTATTGGCTTTTCAATACTGTTCCATATCCATTGACCTTGAATCTTAATAGAAAAAAATCCTACTTTGGTGGTATATCCAAAAGCATGTAGATCCTGACAATGGCGAGTATGATAATTGTGAATGTTAACATTTATTTGGAAAAAATCACCAAAAAGTTGTGGAAACACTGTTAATCGGTTGTACCATTTGTATACAAATTGGGCGACGTTAAAAAGGTGGATATTGTAAATATCCAAAACTTTAAATTGTTTAAAAAGTGGAGCTGTATGGGCTCTTCTATCTTTGAAAGCAAGCAATCTCAAAAAGCTTTTTTGAATTTTAAAAATTTTATCAAGTGCAGTTTTATAATTGCTGCCCCATATTATAATACAATAATTGAGATAAGAGTATATCAATGAGTTGTAGATTGCCAACATACTTGGTACATTTAATAGATATCTGCATTTGTATAGAATTCCAATTGTACAAGATAATTTTGTTTCAAGATTCTTAATATGTTGTTTCCAGTCAAGATATTCATCAATTTGAACACCAAGAAAATTAATTGATTTTACCCTTTCAATATTGATATTATTAATTTTTATATTCACATTTTTATTAATTTGCTTTTTCTTCTTTGTGAAAATTATGTATTTGGTTTTATCATAATTGAGTGATAGTTTATTTGATCTAAACCAATCATCCAGGGATAAAAGTTCTCGATTAAGGTTATTAACAAGTAGGTCTATATTAGAGTTATGTGCAAGAATGTTGGTGTCATCAGCAAATAAAACTGATTTCAAAGTGGGAGATGCCAAATACATATCATTTATATATAAGATGAATAAGAGTGGCCCTAGAACCGATCCTTGGGGTATTCCATGAGATATTGATTTAACTTCAGAAGAAGTTCCATTATAAAAGACTACTTGTTTTCGATTGGCTAAATATGATTTGAAAAAATTGAAGGACTTATCTCGTATCCCATAAAATTCTAATTTTTTAAGCAATATTTCATGATTTAACGTGTCAAACGCTTTAGAAAGATCAAGAAAAAGTCCAATTGAATACTCATCATTTTCTAAGGCTGTTCTAATATTTTCAACAAAAGTTAAGATTGCCATATATGTAGAGAAGTCTTTTCTAAATCCAAATTGTTGTAAGTAAAGGATTTGATTATTTTCGATAAATTGATAAAGACGTTTATGAACTAGTTTTTCAAGAAGTTTAGAAAAAACTGACAAAAGAGATACAGGTCTATAATTCGTAAAGACATTTCTATTACCCTTCTTAAATAAAGGTATAACTTTTGCAAGCTTAAGAAGGTCAGGAAAACAGCCATCAGTTAAAGATTTGTTGTAAATAAATAATAATGGATTAATGATTTCATCTTTACTTCTCTTGATTACAATAGGTTTTATCTCATCAATTGAGGCCGAGGAATCTTTTAAATTTGACATCTCTTGAAGAAGTTCATCTTGATTAATGTTTGAAAAGGTAAAATTGTTGTTATTTCTAAGTTGTTGATTCATATATTCAGACCAAAATTTCTTACTTGGTAAAATTTTATCATTAAGTTTCCTCCCTACATTTGAAAAGAAATCATTAAACATATTAGCAACCTCCTTTGGATCATGGATAATTTGTCCATCTAGGTCAAAATCTAATTGGGGCTTGGTGTTTGTTCCATTCTTTTTCAGTATTTCATTGATAACATTCCAAGTACTTTTGATATTACCATTAGTAGCTTGGAGTTTTTCCCTATAAAATGACCTCTCAGATGTTCTCAATATTGATCTTAATTTAGCTTTAAAGTCCTTGTATTTTTTCAAGTTTAAAAGAGTAGGTGATTTAAGATATTTGTAATACAACTTATTCTTTGTCTTGGCAGATGTTATTATACCTAATGTTAACCATGGTCGGCTATTATCATTAAAATATTTTACTTTTTTCTTAACAATAGGGAATGATTCATTGTATGCATTATAAATGTCATCATAAAATATAGAATATGCTGAATTTACATCCGTGGAAGTATAAAGTTTTGACCAATCATGGTTATGCAATTTTTGCTTGAATTTCTCAGTATTAATATTATTATAAATTCTATATGAAATCTCTTTTTGAGTATTTTTATTTATATATGCACGTGTTAGGAGAAAAACAGGAAAATGATCAGAAATGTCTGTCAGGATAACATCACTGTGGATAACATTATTTAAATTTGAGAAAATGTTGTCAATTAAAGTGGCTGAATGTGCTGTGACTCTAGTGGGCCTATAAATTAATGGTTGATGATTAAATGACTGCATAATATTAAGAAATTCTCCAGTGTTTTGATGGGAATCACATTTAAATAAGTCAATATTAAAATCTCCTGTCAAAACTGAGTGCTTATTTTCAGAAGAAACTTTGGTCATAAATAAATTCAGGTGGTCATTAAATTCTCCTATATTGACATTTGGAGGCTTATATAAAGTAGTAACAATTATGTTCTTTGTGTTTGAATTAATAATCTCAATTGAAACTGATTCACAGTGTTCATCACCAAAAGAAAGATCTGTTCGTAATTTATAATTGATACTTTTAGCCACGAAAATAGCCACACCACCACCATCTTTATTTACCCGTGATGAAAACTCGGCTGTGTAATTAGGAAAAAGTGTTTCATAACGTTTTTCAGTATTTAAATTTAGCCAAGTTTCTGAGAAAGCAAATATTTGAATAGGGTTCTTCTTGAATTGTTCTAGAAATAATTTGAGATCAGTTTCCTTACTAGGAAGGCTCTGGGTATTAAAGTGTATTAAAGATAAATCATGATCTTTACTTGATTCCATAAGAGATGTTAGCTCATTAAGGGTCCTAAATTTACATTTAGACTTTGATGTCTTAGTTCTGTCATTTATAATATTACTAACATCATCTTGATCATTCAATCTTTCTTCATATGGGTTAAATAATTTGTGTTCAAAGTTAAGAAGTCGGTCACAACTTGGTATTGATTCTAAAAATTCAATATCATCAATGACATTGAAAAATGGGAGAAGTGACATCCCAGCATTGTCCTCAAAATCATGCAGATCAGCCATCTGGTAAAAGTAATACTATGAAATATACCGACATTACCCATGCTCCAACCAAACCACCATTGTGCTCAAAATTTAACCATTTGTTCATGGTGTGTCACCAATCAACAGAAAAAGAAGTAGTGCTCCTGCACTTAATCATGGTATTACTAGTGAAATCTGAGATAAGGAATCCAAGGAGTTGTTAATAAAGAAATGATATGTAATTTAGTAGTTCTCAAATAAAAACCCTCTCTCATAAGAAATGGTAATCGACAGTTGTAAAAACCATTATTTCTCGTTTGTATGTTTTTAACAGGTGTTTTTACAAACTATCAATTGCAAAAATAAAACATTGATTAATTCAAAAGAGGGCTGCATTGAAAACAGTATTCATAATTGATACTGAGTATAAGTAAGTTTAATTTTCACAAGATCATATGAAATTGATCTGGCACTGACAAAATTAAAATGACAAGAAGCAAGTAGTCAATTGCTGTATTGAAGTGTTGATAAACACAGTCAATAGATGGCAGTATTGAAAACAGCAATCATAATTGTTACTAGTTGAAAGTAAATATCGTCAGTTGTAAAAACCATTATTTCTCATTTATATGTTTTTAACAGTTGTTTTTACAAACTATCAATTGCAAAAATAAAACATTGAATAATATTCAAAAGAGGGCTGCATTGATAACAGTATTCATAGTTGATACTGAGTATAAGTAAGTTTAATTATTACAAGATCATATGAAATTGATCTGGCACTGACAAAATTAAAAATGCAAACAGTCAATTGCTGTTTTGAAGTGTTAATTGACACAGTCAATAGAGGGCAGTATTGAAAACAGCAGTCATAATTGTTACTGGTTGAAAGTAAATATTTTGTTATACTGCTATCAATGCATGCTGGCTTTTACCTCAACTTGAAATATCAACTGAAAACATGCTGAATAGTATAATACCCTTTATTCAAAACCCACACATTTCTGTACAGGTGAAATACTATCAGGTTACTTGAAACTCTTGGCTTTCCAGTCCTTTGAAATAGACACGATTCAATCCCTTGTGAGATTTCCACTCAGGTTTGGACCTAGTAAAAACTAAACAATGTTTTGGAATGTTCCACTCATCTAAAGAATTTTATTACCCATGTATACCCATAAAGGGTTAAGTGTACACAAAGTAAACACCAATTTTACAATATATCAATACAACAGAAAACACCTATTGTAATTGAGGAAAAAATTGAGAATATTTGGAGGAATTGGACATGAAGTCAAATTATGTTTCAATCAATAGTATAAGTATTTTCATCGCAGGTCAAGTAAATAAAAATTCAAAAGTAAAGAGGCTTCCACACGTAGTTCAATGGGGGAACTAAGGTTGCCAAACTTATGGAGGGGAGTGTATGTTCTCTTGTTTCATATGAAAGGTCAATGAAAAATTATGAACATGGTATTGTTTTCATGGATATTTGGGTGGTAATTTCATAGAAAAACTGTAAACATAACCACGATGTTATAAGATCATAATAGCATACTGTTGTCAGGCCCGTAGCCAGAGGGGGAGCTGGGGGAGCGGAAGCTCCCCCCTGGCCAAAAATTCTTTCAAAATCATACAGTTTTTCACTATTCTGAGAATTTTCGCATGATTTTTAGCCAAAATTTTGAAAAAGCTGCCCCCCCCTGGAAAAAAGCTCCCCCTCCTGGTAAAAGCTAGCTACGGGCAAGGTTGTGTTGCTTAGACAACCTTTGTTGTTTTGGACTTTTAGCTTGAATATGGTAACCGATTGTCAAAACATATTTTGATTGAAAAAGCATGATTGATTTCTTAGTTTTACCCTTTTGTGATGAAAGGGTTAATATCTAATTTAGAATTCAGCTAAAATTCGAAAGGAGGTTAGATACTCAGAGCTGACACTTTCAGCTTTCCAATGGTGTATGAGAACCTTAGTTCAGAAGAGGTAATATGAAAATCACTAAGGAGCGCACGTAGAGGCTCTATTTTGCACAAGTAGAAGTGGCAGAGATAATTGGCCAAAAACATTATTTTAATCGCAAAGTCTATGTCCCACATTTATCGCATTGACTAATATGAAAATGTCAAGAACATATCGCATCAATATTAAAGAAGCATTATATAAGGTTTCGCATTTTGAATTCTGTTGCCCTATATATTATTGATACATAAGTTAAATGGGTACCTATTTTAATAAGTGTTTACTTTAGTAAATGTTTTCATGAACGTGGTACACAGAGACTTTCCCATTCAATTCATAATACCCTTAATATTCCCCTGCAACGTAAGTTTCTGGAAACTGGACCTATTTTTATTTCGTCTTGTGCAACCTCATTGCAGTCCAAGAACTCACATTGCAAACCCTGGAACTTATTTCATTTCTTTAGTACAATCTCATTTAAGTCCAATCAGGTCCCCTTGTTAAAAAGTCTATCAAAATCCTGCCGTTTTCACCATTCTGTGAACACTTTTCAGGTTTTTGGGGTGGTTTCTGGTATATTGAACCACCCTGCATGAAGTCGAACGAATACAAAAGTCAAAGGCTGAAGGAGTTTGAAATAAGATTTAAATCATTCCCCATATATCATCCGCTCTCGGAGAAAAACATCTCGCATCTCAAAAGGAATAGGAGTCTCGGCCGCACCGATGAGCAACTTCAACATATAATCAATTTCCCCTCCTTTAGTGTAGTGATGTTAAGTGTATCATTTAAATTGAGCAAAGAATAGAAGGGATAATATATAACTTCTTGCAGTGTTAATGTGTTCATGAAAGTGATGATAATCTAAAGTAAACCCATTAAATGAAAATATAAACTTACCGCTATCAACGAACAGCATGCCAACGGCGAGAACAACAATTATCCAAAAAAGCCCGCTTCGTCCCATGTCGAAAGATAACGTTTAGGCATCCAAAATGAATAACTTATTTTCTCTTTTTGATTCTACCGTTTCTTAAATTTTATAATTAAAGTAAAGATCAATTTGCTGCCGCTATGTATGCTGGTGTTTACATGAAGATTTCAGCAACAGTTATTGTCGATGCCAACTCATAGATGACATGAACAAGGAAGTTAATTAATTTTTATATATTACATAGCATTACTTGTTTGCGTAGTTCCATTTTAAGCGATTCAATAGACGATCAACGAACAGTCACGACTTTTTAAAGAAGTACAAATATTGAGCTTACAGAGAAAAGTCATTTTAACAATTACTCATTCATATTGTATAGTACTATAGAAATAAAGTTTAGTCTTGGTCTAGGAGGTGGTAGCCAAGTATGGGCATTCGAAGCGATTGTCTTATAGGCCTATAAGTTTCACTTACAGAAGAATATTTTTGTTATGTAACAATTAAAACTGATGCAATTAAGTTTAATATACTATTATATTCCCTTTAACCAACATGCCTTTACTTTTTTTTCATTTTTCCTTACCTTATTTTAGAAAGTGGCTTGGTTCTGGGTCCCTTTCCTTGCTATTATTTTTAACATCTAGAAAATATGGAACGTCTGTAATTCTCATTATGAAGCCAGTTGCATACAAGTAAAATGTAGCTACCCTGTAATGAGTCACTGCAAGTGACGATATTAAGATATATCGCTCTTCCTCCATGTCCCGTGTATTAAAAACACACTTGTATCCCTACATCCCCTTCTTCTTCTCCTGTCTTCTTTTCACCAACTATAAGAGCTTATTGAATCTGCTTACATGGCTAACTTAAGAATGAATCTTGGATGATGGAAAATTAGGTAAAAAAAATTTTCTAGGTCAAAGGTCGATATTTAGGTCAAATCTTACGTTTTCCGTATTTTGCATTTTGCCAATTATCTTTGTCGGAATTCATCATTTCTCCTAGATCGGTTTTACATCATGTACATTGGATTTTTTATCACTCTTGCCGAAAGTGTCCGGAAAAATCGTCAAAAAAAAGTTATCTAAATTCAACGCTTGGTGTAGCAAAATGATGGGAGATTTACATAATCATAATCGAAATCTGACTTCGGTTGAAGATTCTATGACGTTTTAAAATCTCGAAAAATCTCGTACTACTAGTACTAGGAGCCTATATAATACCGTACAATGCATCCAGTCCTAAGTTTTTTAGATCCATTATGTATTGGTATAGGACGTTAAGTAAACGGTGTTAAAATGATGAATGTAAAGTTGATGAGTCACGACTCATGGGGACGTGCGTTAATTTCATTTTAACGTTAAACCATGGTTTTGGGATATTGGGGTCAATTTTCTTATGACGGGTTTCCACTTAACGAGTTTGTTTTTCTTGTTAGGTTTCTTCGCAATTTTTGGTACTTTTCTTTTTGCCACTTGTGCTTAGATATTCATACTTTAAAAAAATTGTCAAACGTCCGTCTCAATGCAATTTATTGATTAAAAATATTGTTACTCATAGTACAAGCCATCCATCTAAATATATTGCAATGACTCCTACTGTGTAAACTAGCACTTTAATGCACTTGCAAAATGGGACCATGTCTTGCAATCAAAGTATCATCATCAGTTACTTTTCACATGATTTGTTTTCGTTTTATATTCTGGGGCTCAACTTCAGGGAGCTGTCTAGATCTTGTTAAGAAAATACCCTATTTGAAAAAATAGTTTTAATGTGCGATCACAGCCCCTTGTGGTTAAATGTTTTCTGTTTTGATTTTGTGACATTCATTTAGAGGGGTAATCGGATTCCTCACAAAAGGGGCTTGTTACAATATAGAGTTTCATTTATGGGTGCACAAAGAAGATCGTCATTCCATTTTCTGACAACAGTATTACACTATGATTAGGAAATATTTATCATTAGATTTTCTTCAACTTCAGATATCCAATACAGGTTGAATTGTTTGCTGTAACCATATTGTAAAAGGTAAATATTCGAAAATGTTATGTCTGGTGGCGCAATTTTTTTTATCATAATCATAATGATATACATGTACACCAGTAAGGGTAAAACTGTGTTTGCGATTGCCGAACGATCGGTGGGTGCAGTAAGTGGGCGTCTCCATTTACACGGTTGATCTTAAATAGGCTGTTACTCCATCCATCGAAACTACCTTCTCGCTCTGTATTTCTGCCCCCCTCCCATTTTTACTCCCTCCACCGAAGCTATATTTTCACTTTGTATCTCAGCCACCCACTTCCTCATCATTTAGTGCATATTATAGCCGGATAAAATTGCATAAACTAAGATGAAGTCATAGACGATACAATGTAGGTTGCCAATCATACCCAGTCTGATTGTAACAAGACACAAATATTGAGTGTAGCAGGATATCATGATGTATTTAATTTCATAAAGATTATGAGTAACATTATGGGTCGCAATAACTTATAGACAATAGACTCCAATAGACTATTGAGCACTAAACATAAATATCTACAAATTCTGATGAATTACTTATAGACATATACGCAAAATCCTTAAGGTAGACCGAATACGGCGATTAATCTGAATTAAGAGTTGTGTACATTCTACTTTTATTGGTCAAATTCATTTCCATGGTGACACAAATGTATTAAGAGTTCGTAATTAAGTTACTTAATTGCAAAGCGTGTGACTGAAACGACGTTTATTCAGTACTCACGCATACATAACATGTTGATTCATGGCTTCATAATTATAGAACTTCTTGTTCCTGGTTTCGAAAACTTATAGGAGGTATTTCAACTTGATCTATTTCACGACTGTAAATTAAAGTAAATGGCCCTTTGATGCTCAAAGAGAGCTAAAAATATAGATGACTATAAATCCATTAAGGTGTCACGTTTCGTAGGACATCCTGAATCTTTTCAATGTACAGGGTAACAAAATGAAACGATTTTTGGTTAAGTATTTCATTGCATTCCAAGAATAGGTAGAAAAGAACAGAAAACATTTTTATCAAAAAGAGAAATTCTATACAATAACAATTACATAAAAATATATATGAATGTTTTCAAATTAGACTGTTGTCATTTGATGACTATTTCATCCCTATTCCATTGAACAATGTAGTTTCAATCATCTAAAATCGGTTTAAGAAAAAAACAATGTTAACCAAACCATAACCAATCCTTTCGGTATATACTGATTTAATGAGTAATCGAATGTATTCATAGATTATACCATGTATTATTTCATTCTATTATAACGTAGTGGTATATGCGGAAAAGCCGGGTGGTTTTATAAGCTATGGGACAGGATTTCGGACATACAGTATTTTTCAATGTTCATCCACATTACTGTATTGGTTAGTAGGTCGGTCGTTTGGACTGTTTAGGTGAGACCATCTAAGTAGCCACAACAGTTATATATCATTGTCTCCCGAAGGAGTAGCCTCTCTGCTGAATACGAATACAATGAATGAATGCCATCCCCTGCCAATGGTCTCCACTATCTCATTACATACATATGTAGGTATGACACTGGCTCCATTTCATTCTCATATAATACGACAGTTTCATTACGAGGACCACTTCATGGGACAATAAATCGGTCACATTGTATTTATTCTCTTAGTTGAGATGGCTTTAAATCTTTCATCTCGTCACGATTATCGTCTTTAAAGTATTTTAAAAACTTCCTGTATTGTCCCATATGAGGATTGGTCCGTCGTGTTTCCTCATACTCAATAGCAATTCTTTCTTTTTCGATTGCTGAAAGAACAGAAAATGTGAATCATCCAGGGACGTTGCTGGGGTCAGTTTCTTTTATAAATAAATCGATCCAATTAAAATGGATAGAGAGTGTAAAATATGGGGAGAAATTATTTCTTTAATAAATCCCTTATCAGGGAATGTATTTTGACATCGCATGTATAAAACATAAACAATGGCGGCTATTATAATAGAAACATTATTAGGAGAACCACTGATGTTCTACAAAATTGCCAAAATGTTACGTTTGAACATTTCCTTTTGAGTAGTGCATATACTATAGATATAATGATGAAAACAGTTATCAAGCAAACAGATGTCTAAATGTAAGCCATTTTTGATGTGTACAAATGTAAATAACCTGTTAATTGATCAATCTTCACTTATGTGCATGTGGAGGAAATAAAGATACTGAACTGAACTTCGAATACCTTTATAAAGAAAACTTAAAGGCCCAGTGTACAGTTTAATAAAGAAATACTTAAAAAGAAGGAGTGTGGAATTAAAGTGATGGAGCTAAACTAAAATGGAGGTTCGTGAGCATTTTAACACAATGTGCATTAGGAGTACTATTCTATGTGAAAGTGTCTTTGAATAGAGTTTGAGACGGGGTGACCAGTCACTGCAATGTCAGAGCTATCAACCTTGGTGAGAACAGAGAAAAACTGAAACAATACTAGAATGGCATAAACGAAGATCTTATTTTATATCCTGGTTACACACAATTTGCACTTAAACTGATTTCCATGAGAAAATATCATCAGAACCCGAGATGATGTAGGCTACAGGGGCCGACTTCTGGTTGTTGTCACGCGGTGGGATTGGGTAAAAAATTTTGTTTTTCAGAAAGCCAAAACATGTGTAGTATTTTTCATTAAAATATTCATTTTAGACCGCCAAAGTAATATTTTTAAAATCCCTGGATCAATTTAAAAGTAGATGGCAGTTTCCTAAAAAATGAGGACTATAATGCAGGTTGCTATATGAATGAGGAAAATTGCACGCCGAATAAGATTATCATGCAACATGGGCCAGGCACAATCGAATGTCATCTTCGTGATATGAGTTCCTTACGACGTTGTTATGAATAGTCACGATTGTGTGGCAACTGTTTATAGATTTACAAATGCATCAGATATATTATTTAAATCAAACATCTTCTCAGGGCAACATTCCTTTTCATAAAAATAAGGTATTTACTTTCTTTTGAAGGCAGTGTGTTCTTCTCAGCCACGTGTGTTTTCTGCAACTCGTACCAATACTTAAAGTTCTTGACTTCCCCATTCACAGCACCAACTTCAGGTTCCACAACAGGCTTTTTCACCAAAAGTGGAAACGAGGCTCCATCATCAGACGATTCTAATGAACATTTTGTTTTTTCAATTACGTCATCTTCGGGTTTAGTCTTTGAAGTTTCCTCACTCGTTTCGAGACCTTTCAGGAATTCATCCAAGTTCATTTTTTCAATTTAAGGCACAAAATAAAGGTCGATTATGGCACTATTCAAAGAGCTTTGTTCTGCACATTTTTTGCCATAACAGCGGGTAAACCTGAAAATATGTTTCATTTGTAATAAACAAGAGTAATATTACAAAATTGAATGATTTGTACAAAAATGAATTGAAAGGTCTCTGTTGTATTGTATTGTATATCTTTATTGCCCATAATAAAATGGAGATACAATTTATATGTACAGTGATGTAAAATAAAAGTACAAAATTATGACAAAATTATATACGTGTTAGACGTATACCAGGTCGTTCAATAAGTTCACGGAAAAACGCTCTCATTTCAAGGATTTTTGATATTTTCTCATGAAATTTTTACACAATGTATGAAAAATACTTTCTGATTGATTCTGAAAATATCAGCATCTCTTATTTGATTGGTCAAAAATAAGGGTTACTATGGTAACTTGACTTTTGGGTAGGCGGGGCACTTTTTACGTCACATTATTCATTAGAAAAACAACAGAATAGTAGGCAATTTATGAGTATATCACATGAATTTCTTCTCCGCTTTCTACTTGCACATGATATTACTTAATGTAATGATAGTAAAAACTATTGTCCCATAAGGTTTTAGAAATATTCTCCCTCATGTTTAATGCACAGTAGGTTGCATTCAAGCCATTGACGAGACAATGCTCTGAAGCCATCTGGAAAACTTGTTTAAGGGCAATCTGGACTGCAGTCGAAAGTAGTTTCATTGTTTCATAAAGTGCACCTCTTAGCTGATCCTAGTGGAAACAGCAAAATCAAAGTTGTCTCATCTGGAGAGTTTGTAACTTGGGGCAGCTTTGCCATCTATTTTGCCATGGTTTGGTGATGGTTTCCTGCACAATATTAGCAGTGTGATGGGCTGGATAATTCTGATGGAAAAATTTAGAGTTTGGCTGAATGGAAGTTTTAATCAACTTACCATACCATTACTTTGTTGATTTTCTGGTCCACTGGTACAGCATTGACTAGCACAATTTCAGAAATGTTCGTGAAAACAATGAACATCAATTTTCCCTCAAAGATTTGTAATTTGAATAAGAACAAATAAAAAAATAAGGATCCTTCCTTTGCACATATTGATAGATTTCTGTAATGGTAAATTGTGTGACGTAAAAAGTGCCCCGCCTACCCAAAAGTCAAGTTACCATAGTAACCCTTATTTTTGACCAATCTAATTAGAGATGCTGAGATTTTAAGAATCAATCAGAAAGTATTTTTTAAACATTGTGTGAAAATTTTATGGAAAAATATCAAGAATCTTTGACATGAGAGCATTTTTCCGTGAACTTATTGAACGACCTGGTAGAAGCTATTCAATGAGCAAAATGCTCGTACGGTTGAGTCAGGTACTGTAAGTGTCTCAAACACAGTCACAGTCTGTTGTCTAATATAGGATGGAAAATGCATGATGGTTTTTCTTTCGTTCTCAAGTCGCTTTAGAAGTGTTTCCATCTTCCTTGTTCATAATTGGCTTAATCAAAGTAAAGGTATCTACCACCAATTCCCTTACAAGTATTTTTGGGTAGTTAAAGGAACAGTATATTGATGGCTTTTGATGAGTGTTTGGGAGAGGTTGGGAGGGGGTGTGGGGTGTCACTTTAGAGGCATGTAAAATGGACTCGTGTCTGAAGTCGAGTCAAATCTCTTCTTTTTCCGAAGCATGAAGTAAGGTGTCTGTTATAGAATGGTACAAATCTAATCGATGCTTTCAGATGACATCAAATATGCAACTACACTTACAGTGTATCTATGTTACTTATGCAATTTCCAACTCTTAATTATTTCTAACAACGAGGAAGTTCTATAAAAATCAAAGCAGCCGTAATATTAGACTTACCTTGTTATATATATAGAAGCAGAAGGTCCTTAAACCACTCCAAAAAATTACATACTTCAATCCTCCCATTAGACAGGCAAGCTCAATACCTGAATAACAGAAACATAAATTGGTAATTAATCAAATACTGCGTTGCCAGTTTGCCACATAGCGGAGTGTTTAATAGCGTCTCGGGGTGATATTGGATAAGTTTATTGATTAATCGCAGTTGTATTAATCCAATATTGTCTTTCGGTTCAATGTATACAATAACATTGTGTATGAGTAAAATAACATTGTATGTTCATTGAATGCTGTGTGTTTATATGACGTTTCAGGAAGAGAAATAAGGGTTATGTACTGGGAGGTTTTGGATATGGGGTTTATCCAGAGGGAGATATGCATATCTACCTGAGGGACCGTAGGGACCGAAGGTAGATGTGCAGTTCTCACGAGGGATGAACCCAATATCCAAACCGACCGTACAATCTCAAACTGTACTGTACAGCGCTGTTTTTGAAATTTGATTAAATAAAATAATTATGAGTGAAGAATTATAAGTGAAAGATAACTTATCTATCTATCTTATCTATAAATCAGTCTAGCCCATTGTCATTTACTTTTAAAACTGAATCCCTCAGATTAAATCAAAATGTAAATCAAAATGGTCAATTTATAGTATTTTCGGTACTATTTGGTTATTTAAACCTAAATTATGTAGCATTCTTTATGGTTGATAAACAATCAAGGTGATCGGTTGTAAAACTGTTATTTTGATAAAGATGAAATTTGTTGAAATGGCTGTTGCACGCATTCAATTATGCAAGTTGACTACCAATCTCTTTTCAACAGTAATGTAATGTAATGTTTCATGATTCAATTCCAGTCAGTAAATTTACCTAAAATGTATCAGTAAATCCTCAGTTTATCCGTGTTTGGCCAGTCATTTAATCTTTGTTGCACTTCTGGAATGTTGTGTGTGGTCCCCGGGGTGTGGTCCTCCCCTCTAATAAAGACTTTTTTCATTTATTTAAAGGTGCAGTCATATTGTATGTAATAACCATGCTGAATAACTATTTACATTACTGTAATCATTCTTCGAATCTTAAAAGTAATTTTAACGTGTTCCTAGTTTGATATATACCTATAACAGTATAGGTAGACGGTTATGTATCATCAGAATCGGTATAAATATTCAACTGTATCATCAATTATGTACGGCGAGCAATGATTGGAAGGCTAAGCTACACGTTTTAAGAGAGCTCGTACGTGAACGTTCAAAATTACTGTCCTCAAGGGGTAAGTGCTTTACCCTTCACAGTATTTACTTGCCCGTTTGAGAATGAAGGTTATACCTCGGTCACATTTGATCTACGCCCGTAGCTTTCTTAAATCGATACGGCCGCCGCGGGACAAATGTGACCGAGGGTTTAACAAGGAAAAAAGCTCCAACAATGTCTTCGGAAAACGCGATTGAAAGGGGACAATCATCATATAGGGGTTAATGATAACACCTGTTCACGTACAAGTATTCTTTAAAAACGTGTAGCTTAACCTCCCGAGCTAATAACTCGGGTAAAACATAACACCATTCAACCCTATTCAGAATATTGACATATTCGCATGCCATTTGAATGGAGGAGCGAATATCAATTTCATCTATTTGAAGTTGTTGATCTTCATGTTTACACGAAGTTGTTACATTCATACTGTATTTATCTTAGAGTCGTGACATGAAAAAAGTACAAATAAAACCATGGATTAAAATAGACCATGATATAACTGGTCAATACAGTGTATTATCACTTTGCCGGGCCAGTTCTACGGGTTTTAGTGCTAGTTTAGAAGGCATTCATTTTACTGTATCGACCTGAGCAATATGTTACGTCATAGTGGCGGTCAATACTGCCGGTCAAGAGTGCAATAGACATATTCGCAATAAGAGTTCAGGTGGTAATTTACATAAATATTTCCCATGATGCATCGCTTCGGAAGGGACAAATTTTCATTGGCCCGCCGAACTCGCTTACTCTGAACGAAACGTCTAGAGATTGCAAAGTCAAAGGTCACGATCTGCTAATTTCATTGGTCGATGATTACATCATATAGCATCAAAATGGCGGACGATTACTCGAACAAAATTTCAACAAATTCTGATAAAACTAGCGTCAATCTTGACAAAATGACAGTTTCTCAGCTTAAGGACTACCTTAAACAAAGAGAGGTTTCAACATCTGACTATCGGAGAGATATGCTCGTCGGACTTGCGAAATTGGCGCATGAAATCCAACTTGAAAAAAATCCGGAAATAAATGAGGAAACATTTTCAACTGAATCGAGGAGAACAGTTAATATTGATGGAAAAACAATCACTTTTGAAGATCCCGAACAAATAAAAAATTGGAATATTGATCTAAAAACCGTACCGGACATTGAACTTTCCCACTGTTTCCACTATCTTCATACTGTTTGTGGATGGAATGCTGGAAGATTGGCAAATTATACCAAAGACAATGGGTTCAAACTTTTCAAAGATCGACATATTTCAGCAGTTAAAGTCAAATCATTGAGTCATGAGCATATGTATGTGCAGGCCGAATGTGTTAGACAAACATCACTAAGTGAAAATCCGTACAAATTATTTGTACTTTTAGAGAAGTCGGGCATAATCAAGTCAGCTGGGTGTCAGTGTGTTGCGTAAGTTAGATTATCAAAAATATATCATTAAATATTGCTAAAATTAAAATAGTCTCTTCTGTTTTGCAAAAATAAATTTTTGAACAGTATACAGATCAATTTATGAATAACTTGAAAATGATCATTTCTTGTTTCCTTCAGATGGAGGATAAGTGATATTTGTTTTGATATCAACAAATAGACCGGTTAAATGTAATTTCTAACAAATCAAATATTTGAAGCAAATAATTTTGTACTTTCAGTGGAGATGGAAGCTGTAAACATGTTGCGGCCCTGCTGTTTTCCTTGCATGATTTCATCTCTCGAAATGAGGACCGTAATACTGAAGTCTGCACTGATGTGCCATGTTCCTGGACAGTGCCGAGGAAACGCAGCAAACCAGAGTATTGGGACGATATCGATATTTGTGCTGATGTAGAAAAACCATCTAAAAAACCAACATGTGACAGTTATACACCATTTCCACCCCTCAGCCCTGCCGCGAAAGATGCAATTGAAAAAGATTTCATTGCTTTGATTAAAAACACTGACTCATGTATTGCCATAGATTATAATGATAGTGAGAGTGACTCTGACTGTCAGGCTCCCAAAAGTTTGTTCGAAATTGTGGAGTGTATTGATAAACCACGCAGTGCAGATGCTATTATGGAGGCATTCCATGGAGAGACAACAAATGATGTTATCAACGCTGTTTATAATCTTACAATCTCTCAGTCAGAGTCAGATGACTGGTATAAGTATCGCCATGGAAGGATAACCGCCTCAATAGCCAAAAAAGCAGCTTGTGCAACAGAGCAAACACTCTCAAACCCTGATAATTATATCGCCAATGGAATCATGAACAATAACAATACTGACTTCACTGTGGATAGCATTGAGTTTGGAAAATTGCACGAGGAAACTGCCCGCCATTTATATGTCCAAAGTGAGAAAAAAAAACACACCCGATTTTCTGTGGATACTGCTGGACTAGTTATCAACAGTCAGTACCCTCACCTCGGGGCTAGCCCTGATGGGATTGTGAAATGTGATTGTTGTGGAAAGGGAGCACTTGAGATTAAATGTTCATATAGATTTGCCAATGTAAAACTTCAAAATGCACTCTCATCATCTACTTGTAAATATCATTGCACATTTAAGGACAACAAACTTAATTTGAAAAAATCTTCAGCATGGTACTATCAAATCCAGATGCAGATGTTAATAATGGACGTTGAATGGTGTGATTTTGTTCTGTATTCCACCAAGGGAATTTTAGTGTCAAAAATTCCAAGAGACTTTGGCTTCTGTGAGGAATTGCTTGAAAAACTCAATGTGTTTTATAAAAGGTGCATTATTCCAAGGCTTATTGCTCAATAACAAGGTTTTAATGTATTCAGTGATAGTGTAATGAGATATGAAAAACTGATGTACTCTCTGACTGTACTTTGAATGAAACACAAATGAAAATAAATAAATAAAATTGACTCATCTCAATATAAGTTATGTTTCAAAATGAGGTCTCTCTGGACTAACAGCTGACAGTCTCAGTATGAAATAAATATCTTCTTGATCAAAGTTATATACATGCCTGGTCAGATTTATGACATATTGGTATATCATGAAAAATCCCTGTTGACTGGAAATTCCAACAATCATGGTCATGGACCAAGAGCGTCAAAAAATATTGAAGCTTGGATATTTCACCAAAGTTATTTTCATTATCTTTAAAGAAACCCCCTCAATGAATATTATTTCAGCTGAAATTCCTTCAGTTAAAATCTTGAAATGGGTGAGTATCTTAAAAATTTATAATTAGAACTGGACTCCTCTTTTGAACCTTCAAACTAAATTTAACCTTCTAAATGCTGAAAGTCCATTGTCCATACATTTAAGGAAAATAGGTTTGACAAAGAAGATATCTCAGAAAATGTTCCCCTCTTCAGGCCTTGTTGCCACTTTAATTTAGAAATCAGTAGGCTTCCTGAGAAATACACCTGTACCAGTACACAGTTGGACAAACAACGTTTTAATGTCAATAAAGTTTATTTAAAAATACTTACTAATAATAATACTCCAATATTGTAAAATATACAATACTACCATTTTCACTACAAAATAATAATAACTAACTAAAAACTACAGTTTAATATGTACATACAGCCATGAAGATGGTCTCTAGCTATTCACAATCATCTAACAAAAGGCTGAATTGTGAAAAGTAACCCCATAAATATGCTTAGTTGCTATAATATAATATATATATGATACTAATAAGATACAAAATTGCCACTTAAAATACCATGACTAGGAGATTTCAGAAAAAGTAATCCCATCAAATGATTCACATTATAAAGATAGAAAGTACATAAGAACTACCTCTTTAGTATCCCATGACTGCAAATTATCCTAGTATTGATTGTATGTAAAAACTAGTAAGAATATAATATGAATTATAAAAATACAATATTGCCACTTTAAATCCATTGCTTTGACTGAGCAAATTGCAA